AGGGCATCAACAAGGATGACCCAGTGCTCTTCACTATGGACAAGATGCGATCGTTGGCAGAGACGAAGCAGAACGTAAGTGTGCCATACACCTTCCACATGACAAACGCTAACAATTCCCAGCGCACGCCCGATCAACAACAGGTCCTTCGCACGGAAATTCTGACCGCGATTCAAGACAAATGGGTCCCGAGCACCGTGGTGTTGGAATACTGCCAGCAGACATACCCCAACTTCTCGGACTTCTGGCTCTTCCGTCGTCAATTTGCATACCAGTACGCAGCGATCGCCTTCATGACCTACGTCATGCACATTGGCAACCGATACCCGAACAAAATCATGATATCTCGTTCAACGGGCGATATCTGGGGTGCCGAATTGATCCCCACCATCAACCCAGCCAAGGCGTTCTTTTACAACCCCGAACAAGTCCCCTTCCGGTTCACACCGAACATTCAGACCTTGCTGGGTCCCATTGCGACCGAGGGTGTGTTCGCCTGTGCTATGATGGCAATCGCCCGCTGCCTGACGGAGCCGCGACACGAGCTGGAGCAACAGCTCAGCGTCTTCGTGCGCGACGAGATGATGTTCTGGGCTACGGCGCATCATCGCGGTGTCCTGCCCCCCGGACAACTCCGCGACCTGGTCTACAACAACAGCGAAATCATCGTCAACCGTGCTGTCAGTCTTGCCAGCCCGCCGGAGGGTAACTTGCCTGCCAATCAGACCACTATCGATCTGATCTCGAAGGCAGTCAACCCCCAGCATCTGGCGTCGTGCGATGCATTGTGGATGCCGTATCTGTGAGCAATTCTTGTTGTCGGTTTGCGTGTTTCTGTCCTGCCAATTGGCGATGGGAGCTTCCTGCATGGCTATTGTGCTTTCTGAAGTGGTGGTTTCGTCTCTGGGTTTGTTTTTTTTTTCTGAGCGTGGGCGCTTCGGCGAGGTGCGTGCGCAGCTTTGACGTTACTATGATTGTGATACCGATTTCCTTCCTGTTTTAATACCTTCTACAATGTCTTTGATACATCGGAATATTAGCTCTGGTACTAGTTAACAATTGTTCGATTTGATTGCTCTGTCGATTTCCATGTAACCTGATAACGCCTTCTCAGTGGGTTTAAATGTTGATTCCGTAAGACACGTACATATGTAGAACTACGGCGTTTCTGGTAAGATACGGGGGCTGCTGCAGCCAGTACAAGGCACAAGTTAAAATAGAAAAATCATCTCGATATTTGAAACGCCTGGCTCAGCGGCCGGATATCACAACATCAGTCCTCGGGGACCGGGTAGAATTACCCTCAAGGTCCGTTCCGACAGAAATCTGGGAAAACGCTGCTGATTTCTTGGCGAGCATTTCTGCTTGCGCTCGAGTATCTTCGCACTTCATGAAGGACGCAACTTGCTCATTGCTTCCCACCAAGCTTCTAGGTGAAAAGATGAAAGTTGATGTTTGATTCCAAAGTCGACGTCTCGGCTTTGGTGACTTGTGTCTACACCAGCATCTTTTGGCTGATTGGTAGTCTCTCAAAATGTCACGGCCTCTAATAAGTTGTAGGGGTCTGTCACCCGCGGCAAATTGATGATGGCACTTGACATATGCCCGTTCGAGTTCGTTGAGTGTATGCCAGATATCGCAGCCAAAAGTGCGAAGCTCGTAGGGCAACGTGTTTGATGGGCTGCAAAAGCAGAAAGCAAGTGAAGCAAGAGTCGGCGGTCCTTTGAAGAAGAACTGCGGAAGGATACGCGGGGAGACTCTTGGCTTTGGCGATTTGGCGGGCAAAGTAAACGAGGATCTTCCAGCAAACGAGTATCTCCTTGGCATCAAAGTGAAAAGGGATGTAGGTGGGCAGGAGTCAGGTTAAAGGGCAGATACGTATCTCATGTGAGATGAAAAGGGCAAAAGGAAGTTGGGTTGAACGAGGATTAAATAGTGGTGGGTAAGAGTGAGAAGTGAGGTAGACGATGTCTCGTTTGTTTGTCAGTGTAGGATACGAAGACATCGATAGTTATGTTGTAACAGTTCCTGTGTTTGTAGGCGCTGTATGGTAGCCTTTTGACGATTCCGGCCCAAGTCGCCATATTGAAGCGAAGCGATTCACATTTGCTTGACGAGTTCGCCCAGTAGTGAATCGAGATAAGAGCCAGCTGAGTTTCTGAAATAAGAGAGAAGTGAGAGGTAGTAGACAAGTAGGAAGTAGGAGAGAGGCAGAGGTAGGAGAGATATAGAGTAGAAGAGAGGTAGTACCTAGTGAGGGAAGAGAGAGAGGAGAGAAGTAGGGGAGAAGTAGGATTATTATTGTTGTGTTGTGCCTCTATGACCTCCTATGCGTAGAAAGGCGTAAAAGAACATCCAAGACGATGTCACCCGGATGATTTATAGCTTGAATATCTGCGAATCTCACGGCAGACATGTTTGGGAGTGGCTTGAATGCTTTCATCAACGGGTAGGTTGACGGATCCGCCAAAGAGACCTAGTTCAGTCCTGACTTGACTCTATATAACTCATCTTCATCATACGCAGCTACCGAGTTATCAATGTTGGAAAAGTTCGAAGCCGAATGAATTGCACTGTTGCGTAAAGTCCATAAAGCCGAGACAACTGATGCGATGCCAAGGAAACAAGTGACCCACCAGAAGTCACGTGGTGAAAAACGCCTTCTATAAAAAGAAATCAGATCTATCCTGACTTCACAAGATGTTAGGTATTAACACATTATTGTATATAGTCTGCCGTATCCTCGTTGCGTATCCTTTACAATATAGCCTGCCATTGTTCAGTGATAGCAGCTTCGAATTCGTACATCTTCACGCTCTCCAGAAGCACAAATGATTCGTATCGAAGCCCTCGTTCGCGGCCCTTACGTTCGGACCACTGCTCGACGGTTCCATTCCACACATCGGCGTAGCCATCGAACAGTGATCGCCAGTAGCAAGCTTCAGCGGCAGGGGTCAGATACCGCTCACGGAAGGTCGTCACGCTGTTGTTGGCGATGCGCTTCGCGGCTTCCGTATTGCTGACTAGGGGCTCCATCTTTTCAGATAAGTCGCTGAAATCACGCTCGACTTCGACGTAGTTTTGGTTGGGACCATCTGATATTAACAGATAGTGGTGATGTTGGATGAACTGGAGTTTGTGTGCGACGACGACCGAATTGCAGGCCTGTCGGTATTTTAATGAAGCCGAGTAAGAGCGACCTAGGTAGTTGTCAGTTGGGTGTTCCCAAGTTGTAATGAAAAGCAAAAAAAAAAAGGCAGACTCACCTTCAACATGCGCAATAAACATATAACGGCAATGATCTTCCATCTTCAGCACATTAGAGCCCGTGTTCCAATCGACCTGCTTGACATCACCCCACGATTTGCCTCTAGCGGCCTCCATCAACGCGCGTCGCAATTTCGGCGCAAAACTGGGCTTGCCCCGCCAGACCAACTGTGGCCTCTTCTCTGACCAAGGAATATCCATGTGTTTGATTCGTTCCACAACCTGGTCGTATGGCCCTATATAATTGTCCTTGTTGTCCCAGGCCCAGAAACTGAAATCCGGCATAAGCCAGACCCCTTCTTCGGAGGGCGTGCGCGAAAAGACCCAGACCGGCCATTCTGAGTTGGTCACATCGTTGACCTTATCTTCCACCGAGAAAACAAATTCAAAGTCGGGTCTCGAAGCTCGTTCCGGGTCGGCGGCCAGCGCACGGTGGATTGAGCTCAATGTCCCCAGGATTTTCCGTCGGTGATCCTCGCCCTTGGGCCGGGTCGTGACCACGTATAATTGGCCACCGGAGATAAATGCGCGCGCCATACCATGTTGGATCGGAATGGCGTCCAGTTCTACCGATGATAAGCGACCGTGCGAAGACCAAAATTTGCCACCGCGCGCGACATCCTCAAATAACCCGGGGAAGGCAGCTTTACACTGGCTCTTGTTGAGGGTCTCATTGCGACCGTCACGAGTATATTCGAAGGTCCAAGCGGGGGAGCTGTTTGTTTGTAGACCGGGTTCCGGGCAGGTAAGGCAGGTCGAGCATTGGAAGGTAGTGGAGGATTCACAGGCGCAGTGCCCGGCGGGGATTAACTGAGTGAGAATGGGGTGAATGTATTCTCGATCGGAGTTCATGCCAAACCAAATGACGATGATGGCGCTGAAGCTAACGGCGGTTATGACGCACAGAAGCGACAAGCCGCGTCGCGGGCGAATCGGAAAGGAGGCTGTCATGATGAAGATCCAGACTGGCACGGCATGGTCTGGGAGTTGGAGGTCTCTATAGAGTTGTCTTGAAAGAATAAAGAGTCTTAAAAGAGTCAAGAAGAGAAAGGCAAGGGGGGCCGATCAACCCTGAAACAAGCCCCCCCAAAAATGGTAGTGATGAGCAACTATGGACGCGCAAGTTTGGACGATCGCCCCTAAAACGCCCCCAAAATCCCTGTAAGCCTCAACAGTGGGGTGTTGTCATTCTCTTTTTTTTTGTTTTTTGGTTTCTTTGAAACAGCGTTATTGGGGTTTTCTGATTGGTTTAATATAATTAGATTGGTTGGATAGGAACAATCCTCCGAGATGTAAGAAAAGAGAACACTAAGATAAAGAGACAAGACGGAAAATGCCACACAAAGTCACGGTGGACCCTTTTTTTTTCCGTTCTGGGGAAGCTTGTTGATCATATTTTGGGGGCCATGTGGGTGGTTTAGACGGCATACAATATACACATCATATGTCCTAAGGTTTGGATCGACACCACTTGCCCTGAATATCTAATATCTAATAGACGAGAAACACTAAAAGAAATAGTCTTAAAGGCTAGAAAGTCAGAGGACTTTGATGATCATTTCCAGTCCATCAGGCTAGATACTATAAGCACTGTCTCTAACAATGTCTGCTTGATCGTCTAGTATGCCATTAACCAATTGCCCAACAGCCAATTTTCCCTGGCAACAGAAACGCCCACTGGAATGCATGGAAGATAACGCAAAATTTCAACTTGGGAGGATTCAAAAGCCCCATCATTGTCCAGAATGACTTCGCCCATGTCGTATCCCTCGGCGACCATTAGATGGAGCAGGCGTCTGATTGGCATCCATATCCGGGGTAGCAGGTATTGCTGGTCGACGTTGTCGGCTGTGTCGCACACGGCCGAGAGCTCGGCGTAATAGCCCGTCAGCTTCGTCGTCAAGATCCATTTCAACCTTTTCATCTTCGGCCGCGGGCGTGGCGACCTGGGCCATCTCCTCCGTCCAGCCTTCCACAAAGGGCTCCTGACGCCCACGTCGTCGAGACATCTCTTCTGGGGGGACTCGCTCTTTGCCCTTGTGTTCACGAGATCGAGTAGATCCCCGGCGCTTGGAGGAGGCTGCGCTAGCTTCTCGCATACTCTCCTCGAAAGTCGTGCGGTCCTTTTGTCGCCCCTCCATGGCCCAGAGCTCGAGTGCACGAGAAAGTAATGTACCGGCCACACCCGCACCTCCGGCTGCATCGCCGCCGCCACTCGCTCCCAGTACACGTACAGCCTCATGCAGGGCAGTCACCGCGTCCGTGGTTCTTCCCAGCTCCAGTAATACAAGGCCACGAGATGTATGAAGAGAACCGATCAGCCCCCGATCTTCGTAGCCCCCGACCCCAGATGCGGTAGCGATCGCCGCTGAACCGCCCGTCCCACCACCCAGAAATGGTGAGTAGCCCATGCTGCTCCCTCCTGCCCCCCACACGGAGACATTCATCAAATTCACGAAGCGACTCCGACAGGCGGCCCATGCGACGGTAGGCATGACCTAGGTTCGCACGTGTAGCCACCCAGGCACTGGGTTCGCAGTGGAGAGAAGTAGCTAAAGCCAGTGCTTGCCCAAACAACCCGATGGCGTCGCTAAGATTATTCTGGTGGTAAAAGACAACCCCAAGCTCGTTAAGGACCAGTGGGTCCCCGCCAACGGCGGAGACAATCCCTGAAGGATTAGCTGGGAGGGAAGGCACAGAGCCGGGGGCAGCTCCAGTTGACATAGCGTGAGCGGCACATAGATATTCGTGCGCCAGAGACATGTTGTTGAGGGCGAGATGTTGCATTCCTAGGAAGAGTTGGGGAAGATGGCTGCCCTGGAAAAGTCGAGCAGCCGTGCTATACGCCGCGATAGCTTGGTCATGTTCGCCCTCTGCGGCAAAGGTATGCGCAAACCCAATCCAAGCCGGGGCCGAATGTGGATCTAGCAGTGACGCCTTCGAGAAGAAGCGCCGCGCCTCAGCCACCTTCGATACTGACAGATAGTAGACTCCAATTGCCAGGTATGTGTAAGGCTCCTCCGGAGAATGATCCGCGAGCATGTGGGAGAGTAGGAATAGGGCATTCGTGGCACCGGTCTCGTAAAGACAAGCCAAGTGGAGTGGATAAATGGCTGGGGCATGGCCAAGGTTGTTCTGTGCCGGGATGCTGGGATTTGTAGACGGCAGGTCGGTTGATTGCGAGGTGGAGAGAATAGAGGAAGTCAATTCCAGAGCTTCTGCAAACCGACATTGCGTATACAAAGCTTCGGCGCGGGATAAAAGGATATCGGGATTCTCTGCAAGATTATAATGGGTGGATAGGGTTTCAGTGGCGTCGGAGAGTATGGTAGGGGAGGAGTATTTGGATAGGCGGGTCGTGTAAAGCATCTTCGTAAAGTGGGCGGCTTCTTGTGCCATCATGGGATCTGGGGATGAGACGGAATCAAAGTCTAATGATTCCAGGAATTCCAATTCCTCCGTCGGGGACATTAGAGAGTTCTTCATGAGCTGGTCGAATGCTTCAAAACACTGCACGTCAATCCGCACGGCATCCTTGTAACAGTCTCGGGCACGATCAAATGCATTCTGCTTGGCGAAGCAAAGCCCCCGTAAATAGCACATGGCGGCTTCGAATCGTACATTGTTCGCATCCTCACGTTCTCGCTCCTCGGCTCGGTCGCTGCGGGGAGTCGCGCTCTTCCCATTGCGCAGTGTCACATGGCTTTGGTGCTGGATCTTGCGCCGGGTGTGGTTATTTCGGATGAGGTCCGTGGGGTTGTGTTCACCAAGAATAGAGAGAGCTTGTTCGAATTGGTTCTGTTTGATGTAGCAGTGTGCAGCAAGATAGCGGCAGGCTGTGCTTCGAGAGACGAGATCCTTGCGGGAGAGAAGAGCTAGGGCGCGCGTGAAGTTGTTATTTGAAAAATGTACTTGAGCCAGCCAAAACGCGTCGGAGTCACTGTCTTTACCAGCAAGTCAGTATCCCTTGTACTGTTGAATGTGCATCATGCTTGCAGTCCTTACTGGTAAGCGCCAGGACTTTGTCCCCAATGTAGATTGCGGAATCATGCTGGCCACGGTTTAACGCGTCCTGCCGCCAGGAGCGTAGAAATCTTTCCATATCGACGGGTGAAAATCAAGGAAGGGGATTTAAAAAGAGAACATGGATATTCCCGTTTAGAATCCGGAGATATCCAAGCAATGCAAGTCGCAACTTTCGCATGAGCGGGTCCTTGCCCTCCAGGGCTATTTTGAACCAAACAGCGGCCCGTGCGTACTTGTGAATTGATGTACGAATGTACGCAGTAGGGGGATTATAGTGGGTTAAGAAAATATGCCATCTATAATCAAAGGCTATTCGAATATACCTACATATGTAGGTACTATGCAATCACGAAACACGTAGCTCAAGTTACCAGTATATAGGCCGATTCTATCTCGACGTCACGTGACTACGTACTTTGATGTCATCCCAAGCCCTAAAGCATCCAAGTCATTAGGTATACTTTGCATAGTTCTATTCTAATTATATAGAATCACTGTAGGATCACATATTTAAACGTAGTCTTGGTTCAAATGTTTCTACTAGGAGGAAATGGATAGTTCATACCTAGGTAGATATACTACCTTTTGTATTGTCTGGGCTCGCACCTTCCTTGTATGATGTGGGCATGCGCCTTCCAATTCCGTCAGATAGGATCCAGGGCTGTTGTAGGGGGCCTACCTAGGTACACCGGAAAATGACGACGCTTTATCGCGAACCGATATCCCGTTATCGAACTTATCGCGTTATCGGCAACCTCGACAATCCCGCTTATCGGCCTTATCGAGGGTCACGTGATGGTCGAAATGAGACCAAAAGATAAGGACAAGGTGAGATCTCATCTACCTCTCTTCCTCTTTTCCTCTACAACCACATCTCCTTTCGCCACCCAAAACACAGGCAATATGGCTGAGCGAAAGGTTTTATCCAAGTATTACCCGCCGGATTTCGATCCCTCGGCAATCGCGAGCTCGTCCAAGCGCTCTCGTAAGGATGGCAAAGCTGAGTCGAAGCTCTCCGCGAGCCGTCTCATGACACCCTTCTCGATGAAGTGTACTCACTGCGGCGAGTTCATCCCTAAGGGTCGCAAGTTCAACGCCCGCAAGCAGACCCTGGACGAGCGGTACCTGTCCATTCCAATCTACCGGTTCCATATCCGTTGCACTCGATGCAGCGGCGAGATCACCTTCCGCACTGATCCCAAGAGTAAGTTTGAAAATAATGCCGCTACCACCTCGCTGTATAAAAGAAACTAATTCCATTATTAGACAATGACTACCAGTGCGAGCGCGGCGCAAAGCGCAACTTCGAAGTTTGGCGCGACGAGACGGATGAGAAGTACAACGACGAGACTGAGGAGCAGACCCTCGACCGACTCGAGAGGGAGCACGGCGCAAAGGAAGAGCAGCTGGAACGCGACAAGATGGCTGAACTCGAAGACAAGATGCTCGACTCCAAGCGCGAGATGCAAATTGCCGACGCCCTTGACGAAATCCGGACCCGCAATGCGCGCATCGAGCGCAACGAGGCCCGTGCCGACGACGCCGCCATCGCTACTGTTCAGGAGAAGATCGACGAGGACACCCTTCGAGCCGAGAGGGAGGCTGCCGAGGACGCGGAGGCTCTTCGTCAGTTCAGGGCCAAGCAGCATGCCGCCAAGCAGGCCAAGCTGGATGAAGAGATTGCAGAATTCGAACGTCGTCGCAACGCCCCGCCCGATACGTCGTCCTGGCTGAAGGCCGCCGCGGAGCGACGCGCCGCGCTGAAAGCCAAAAAGCTGCAGCGACAGCAGCGCATCTACCCCAAGCCATGATCCGATGTTTTTCTTCTTTTCCTGTTGGGAACCCGAGGGGAATCCCATCAGCGCGACGATATCCGGGCCCAGCGTAGGCGTTCTTTTTTTCTTGCAAATGATACTGAGGATACGATATTTCTTTTTTCTCTCTAATTGATCTTTTCTACCAGCTGTACTAGCAGTAGCCCCCTTATCTTGTTCTACCAGGAACGTAAGCCCGTAATTCTACTTGCCTTGGTGTCAACACCATAATTTGACCACTGGAACCACTGGAAAGGCGTTGTTATTGGCTCGTTTCTATCGTGACGGCTCTGGGATTTCGTTTCTAAATATGTCCTTACTTTAGTACTGACTTGTTTCTTTATCATCTACATAGTCAAGCCTTATATATAAACTCGTTCGTCTAAATCTTCGAAACATCTACGGATATGATACGAGAGTTACCTTGGACAAATTGGACAATCTAGTAATTTGATGATGTCCAGATTTCTCTGATCATATCAAGTGCTTCCTCTCATTCTAGTTGCTCATTCTAGCGCTTTGTTCCATGTCAACCAGCCCATCTGAAACCAAGCATCGAGCATCCATCAACCGGCACTCAGTCTATTCACGAAGACCCCAACTCGGTCAAGATAACCCGACAGCCCAGCGGCGCTAGAATCCCACCCTGTACAGATCAGCATCCATCGTCAAAGCCCAGGAAAAGAAAGAACAACATACCGGTGTCATCTTCAACCGATATTCCGGATCAACAACCCACCTCACCCTCCCCAGCAAAACAAACAGCAAAATCTTCACCTGCAACAACGCAAATCCCTGCCCAAGACACTTCCGCTTATGCGCATTAAACGGGATATACGTTCCACGAACCGTCTCCCGCCGAAACCGTCCCTGCATCTCCTCCACCGTCTCCCCCCACCTCTCAGCCCGGAACTCGCGCGCATTCTCACCCCATACATCCGGGTTACTATGCACGGCCCATGCATTCCACCCCACAAACGTCCCCTTCGAAATGGGAAGTTCACCACCCAGCAGCGCAGGCTGCAACGCAACCCGGTTAATGAGCTGACAGACAGGCGGGAAGAGACGAAGTAGCTCCAGCACCACGGCCGTCAGGTAGGGGAGGCTGTTGATGATTTCCTGGGATGGATTCGGGTGTGTCTTGGCTGTAGCGAGGATCTCCTCCCGTAGTCGATCTTGGATGTCGACTCGTGTGCCCAGTTGCCAGAACATGGATGTTACCAGTTGCTGGGCGTTTTCGTGGGCTGTTAGGAAGGTTATCTTTAGATTATCGCGGAATTGTTTCTCGGTTATTCGGCCCGATGTGTATGCTTCGCCTAGCATGTGTGAGACCATTTCTTCTGATTGGGTTGGTTTGTCCTGTATGCGTTTGTGCAGCATTGCCATTATCATTGTGTAGAGTCGGTTGTCAAATTCGTGCATTATGTTGTAGGCCCGTTTGCGGGATGGGAGGAGCCAGGGGAAGTGGTCGAGATCCGGGAAGCTGAAGTACATTGGTTTGAAGAGGGTTGCTTTGATGATGGATTGGAGGGCTTCGATTCGGACGGCGCCGTTTGGTTGGCCCAGACTCTAGTGTTTGTTAGGTTTTCAGCTGCGGCATTGGGGGATTGATGGTCGTTGCTGAGAGGCTAAGACCAGGACGAGGTTGATACTCGATACCTTGAAATCCAAGTCCAGGAAGTTCTCGCCCATCACATCCACAGCCCATTTCTGTACATCTGCCATGACCAGAATACCTTTATCCGATCCAGTCACCTTCTGCAGTTCGATCAGAATGTCCACCAACTTCCTCGACTGCTTCAGTAAAGACGTCGTCTCGAAAACCTTCTTCTGCAACCCGGCCTTCATAATCCCAGTATAAAGCTTCCAATTCTCGCCATGCGCATTGATGATGTTATCGCCGACTAGCGTCGCAATCACAGCGTGTGGGATCTTCTTCTGGCTTCCGGCTTTCGAATATATCTGTTCATTGCGGAACATATCGGTCAACCAATCTGGTCGTGAGACGAGTACACTCCATCGTCCAGCGAACCAGACTAGCACGGCGCCGTGTTTCTCTAGTGGAGCCCTAAACCATCGTTTGTAGATCTCGTCTTGGCCCATAGAGGACCAGAGACTAAGGATTGAGACGTAGATCGGAATTCTAGGGAGGTTTGGGAGTGATCGTGGGACGTGGAGGTACCAGATTAGGAAGAAGAGGGGTGCGAGGAGGAGGGTTAGGAGCGTGGAGAGGAATATGGAGGGTAAGGTCATGTTGTAGGTTTGATGGATTTGGTGGAAACCGGAATTGAGGAGGTTAGGAAAGGAATCTGTTACTCTCTTGCTGGTACTATATAGCGAGTTGGGTGTCTACCTGGCGCTCTGTGCCTTAATGCATCTGGTGTCAGCGGAAGTCAACATGGCTCCGCTGATGTCACACTGTCCACCGTGACTTTCTTGCTCAAAGTTATGCTGTATGTTACTATTAGGTGGCTTCGGTTCTGAGGTATGACTTGGTATACTGGGTTTGAAATGTGGTGGTTGTTCGCGCAATGTTTCTGGGTAGTGAGAGGTATACATTGAAGGGTGCCGAACTTAAAAAAGTGCTCAAACTTGTTCCTTGATTTTGTCATCGAGGTCAAGGAGATCTTAGTGGTCTCCAAATGACCAAGCGTGTAAGTTGTAGTCCCATATACAGTGGTGATGTCCGCCCACAGACCAAGGTTATAGTTATGTGACTTTTGGAGACGACTTGGGCACAAGGCGTGGGCTAATAGTCGCTTTGTCTGAGTGCTTCCCTATTAGAAATCATGTCCTCATTCGGCATGGGAGCAACACTAGATCGAATAGTATTCGGGTCATCTACAATATAGAACTCAATCTTTAGGTAGTCTGATATCATTCAACGGAGAAAGATATTTCCCGTCTTAGATACGGGGATCAGGTTATTTTCAGAAAAAGAGAGTTGAGATGTATATTGAAAGCAAAATGATATCAAGAGTCAAAAGGAAATATGACATGAACACATCATTCTCGAACCTGTGACTACAGTCACATATGTACCAGAGTTATGCGAGGTAGACGATAGGCGTTGTCTAGAGTCCTGCTGAAAGAGTAGCAGACAGGGAGAATCCGTAAAATACAGTAGCTATCATGGCGATAGCATTCAAATGGATGGCCATTGCGTGATTTCGCGAAAAGGTTCGGTTAGCACGGTGCACCTTTGACCCATCTGAGTCAGCATCTGTGTTCTCGCTCTCTGTGGGTAAAATGAATGTTAGCCGTATAGTCAAATGAGACGGATCAAGGTAAACCCACCCTGTAGTGCCCTCCTGACCAACGTCGCAGTCGTCGTCCGAGGCCCATAGATGAACCAATTCAGACATCCGGTCAAACCGGCGACAGCAAGAGGGGCCACACTCCATGGGTCTTGTACCAGTGATAAGATACTGTACGGTGGGTGTGTTGCGGCCGTCAGGGCTGTGAGTCCGACTTGCGTCCCGAAGTAGACGGGGAAAAGGCGCTTTTGGAGGATGATGAACTCCTTCATTGGTAAGGCTTGGTAACATATTTTTGTGTTGATAAAGCTCTGGAGATGGTTAGCGTTGCTTGTCTCTTCGGGGACAGAAGCCGTACCTGATAGAGCTCTGTTCCGAGGAGAGCCCCGTAGGAGAGAAGATGATATGGGAGGAGATTCCCCACTGTGTTGAGAAAAGACTCCATCCTGTCAAGCTAGTCTGATGGTAGAATGAGTCTTGATGTAAGTGGGAGAGGAGAAGATGGTAGAGTTGGAGAGTTGGAGAGAGTTGTGGTACTATTTGGGGGTGGCTCGGCTGTCAACGGAATCCTTGGCTGCTTACTGGCTGAGATGTCGAGCAACGCTGTCAAGGCTGAAGGACGTTGGTTTTGATTCTCTTTGCTTAGATGGTTGCTCAGAATGTACATTGATTGGCTGTGGTCGCATTCATACTGATATTGGCTTATTTTCCATATAATCTACTATAACGCGAGACTATACGCTGGATTGCTGCACAATCTGCTTTCTATTGCAAGACGGTCTCCATGCAGATAGAAAACACGAATCACTTGGAAAAACACCACTGCATGCAGTTACACAAAGAGATTTGCGTTCCAGAATACAATCCAGCGACAAACCAAACCGGATCTTCCGTCCCTACGGCTGGATCTCCCATGCATATATCCCGGGAGGATGGAAGACCGGTCACAGTGGAACATAGAAGTGTCCTAGGTTCATGAAAGAAGTTCATGGACACTATAAGCTGTTAAACGGAGGATAGAAAATCAGCCCATCTATGACGCCACGGCATAAGTGGCTTCTCTAGGAGGCTCCCAGTACCATAGAATTGGACGCTTGAACGGATTGAGAACAATTGAGAAGGTAATTCAAAATTGGAATTGTAATGTGACCTTCCTTAAACCCAGAATACGAGATGGTATAAGATAACTAGCGGTTTGGGTCAAGCCCGGAGTATATCCAGCGTGAGTTCATTCTTCTTGCAGGATCGAGGGGGTCATGGCCCGCCATGTCTTATTTTTAGACTTCAGATTGGACCTTGTGCTAGTGTACTAGCCTCACAGCTGGTAGTCTGTTACCATAGCCCTGGCCTCCCTGTCTTTCTATGAGCTGTTGATGAGTCTGGCCTGGCGACAGATAAAGCCCAATGGGAGCTCATCTGTCTGGTTGGTCCTCAGCTTGAACACAAGATCATGGCAATTGCCCTTGCCACGTGGATCCCGTGTAATCAGGTAGGATACAGGCTGAATACGGAGATGTCCGAATCTACAAGACGGTACTTTCATGCAAACATTTGATATGAAGTATAAGTAGGCGGAGATAATCGTCCAAAGTACCGGGGCAAAGTATGTTACCGCTGAGGGAAAAGGTAGGACGGTCTTGCCACGTCAAGGGGCCTAAAACAAAGTTGCTGGGCTCCGACACAGTCTTTAAGCCCTCGAGCTGGATCAGAGCTGAGGGTTTCATGGGCTGTCCTGAATCCCAGACGGTTGGAAAGGAATGAGAGTCTTCAGGGCGTCGCCATGTCCATGCACATGTCCAAGCCGGGGATAGCCTCTGATTACACCCCTCGTACGACCATCCTGAAACCTTCGCCCAGAATGCCCAATTCTGCACAAGAGCCTTGTCCCCATGGAGTCGAGAAGCTGAGAAAGGTAGGTAGTTTGACATGGCCAGACCCAACATCATCACGCGGCTGAAAAGGCAGAGAGTGAACCAGTGGCTTTCAGACCGAATCACTGATCACCGAAGATCCGTTGTACAGACTGCGTCACACAGTGAGGTCAGGCGAAATTTTCCCTCGTGGGCGCACGGCCGGTATAAAGGAAAGAGAGGCTGACAATGGATCTTTTGCTCTTGAGTTTCCGCCCTTAACTCTTGGAAACTTGAAATCTCTGCTGATGGAATTTGCATAAGATATGCAACATCCTCGGCCTTGAAAATATCCCCCAAGACTATAGCACGACAATCTCCCTCAAGATGAAGATAGAAGATCAATCTACGAGCCCCAAGGACGAGGATATCCTCAGCCAAACGCAAGATCCGTTGGAAAGAAGGAGATTGCAGAATCGCCTTTCTCAAAGAAACCACCGTAAGACATTTCCCAAACAGAGAAGACAACCCCGAAACTGACAGAACCAGGCCGCAAGATCAGGGAACGCATTGCAAAGCTTCAAGAGCGCGTTATCGCCAACGAACTGAGAGCCGCAGCTGCTCTCAATGGATGGGATCAACCATATAACCCCTCACTGTTCCCAAGGCCTCACTCATCTTCGGAGAATGAGCTCGGGTTAGCCTCGCGAGATGTCTCCCCTTTCATCCCAGACCAATGTACTTCATTCATGCCGCCATATCCTCCATTCTCGCAACCATGGCCAAACGACTTGAACACATTCCCACACGGATATCCAGGCGATCTATCCCAATTCACTGGAGTCACCGAAGCAAGTCCAATATCTCCTGCAACGACGGCACCAGCACACAACGGCATGTCACCACCTACCTCCGGTCTTGGTGGGGATACATATCAGGAAATGATAGGTACCCCAGACTCCTTGATGCCAGACTCCCTGTCTACATCAGCGCCCAATCAGCCGCTGTACTACGTTGCAACCGGTCAGTACTCTAACTACCTGGTATAGGTATCACGTGAACCAACTGACAAGAAGTAGAAGAGGCATTGCCGCAGATCATCCAAGTCATCAACACCATGTCTCCCCAATACAAAGTCATTGTTCTGGTTCCTCCCGAGTCCCCTGCATCGGCTTCTATGGCTTCGTTCCCTTCACCGACCTCTCCCTACGGCGCTGGCCATAACGGGTCGGATCATGGTGTTGCAGCACAGCAGCCTACCTCACAAAATCTGGCTTGCCTTTGTTATCCTCAGAATATTCACTCTGGTGCTCCTGCGCACTGCGGTTCACGGCCATGGATGGGTGCAGGGTCATATGGGCAAATTTGTCCTTTACACAAGACGGCCAATTCAGTCCACCCGAGGGGAGCTTTTCCTGTTAGGATGGTGTGAGTCTGGTGTTGCTGTATATAAAGATAGAGGTGGTAGAGTAGGGGTCTACAGTGGGATATACACAAGGGCATGGATAAATTGTGCATATATCACGATCTCTACTGTCTAGAAAACACTGTTTCTAGCCGTTTCGACTTTGGATATTGATAGCCAGGGTCTCAATAGCGGCCTGGAAGAGATAAGGTATTAGGTTGACCATATAAACGAGGATGCTTTGATGTATACTAATGACCTTAACTAGATTGAATTGGGCCTCGTAAAGAAAATAACCGAATAAGGTAGAAAATGAGATTAGTAAATACAATCTTTACTCCATGTCCACACAATTGGGCAGACTAAAGGAGCAAAAAGGAAATAATCAGGGTTGGGTTGATGTACGACTAACCAAGCACGGAAGATATTCAAAGATACCAGACAAATCTATTGAATATGGCATTGAAGACTTGTGTACTTGCATCAAAATACTGAGCAATTTCACACCAGATAAGCCAAATATATGAGAAAGAAAACGAGTGACCGAGGTCTGACAGAAACGAAGGACAGAAACGAAGGACAGAAAACACAGAAGACAAGGTCAAAAATCAAAAGCCAAGAGACCTGAACATCTCAGTCACAGTGAATTCGCCACAGCTCCCGATCACAGTCACTGATGTATCCAGTGCGAGTATGCAGCATGGCCGTGTTATCACTAATCAGCAGATCACCCTTCTCCCAAGCAAAGCGAAGACAAACTCTATAGTCATATATGATGCGATCGACAACCTTAACCAGCTCATTATCATCATTCTCAATTGTAACATCACAAGTCGAGAACTTGGTCTTGGTCGAGTCCCACGGCTGATGCCAGCGTAGACACGGCAGTCCAGAGACAGGATGTCTCACGATCAAGCGCAGGTTCTTGAGCTTCGCGTCCCAGAACCCATCGTTATCCATAGCCCAGGTAACCTTTTCAAGACGCTCTGCGGTCCACGGGAGAGGCAGGTACCGGAAGAACAGTCTCGAGCTCGCAAACAAGGTGTACCCATTTCCCTTCGGCGCAGTGGCGGGACAAGTGAAGAACTGATAGCCCGGCGGGTGTTGGACTTTCTTCTTCTCGCCCGTTTCTGGCTCGGTGATCTCGTCGAATTTGAACATCCCGTCGAAATGCATCGGCATGGCCTCGTTCGAGGTCACGTTGTTGCCCATCTTATCCGAGCGGCCGTTGTCCCGGACTTTTTGGATTATGCCGAAGCTCCATGGAAGAATATTGCCGAGCTCTTCTCCCTTCTTGACGTAGAGTCCTTCTTCTAGCGTCTCGGAAAATCCACGCAGGACAATTGGTGACATGCCGTTCGATAGTTGGCGGACCTTTTTCATGGGGATGGAGCGGATGGACGGTGGTGGATTGACATTGTCGATATCGGCGGGGCGGATGATGAGTCCGCAGGGATAGAGATGCTCGAACTTGACGGACAGGCCGTCCTCGGTCCAGTCGAACAGACTTGTTTTCTCGCGGAAGAAATACGGTTGTCCGTTCTTATAGATTAGGTCGTGCGTGTCGCGTACGTCTTCGGCGTGCACGGTGCGATACGAACCGTCCAGTCCGACTGCCACAGATGAGTGCCAAGGTGTGAAACCCAGTGCGCCTCGGATTTGTGGAATAAGCGAGACGGAAAGTTTCTTCTCGCCTGCGGACTCGTGGATAGACAGTCGGACGTAGTCTTTGCGGTTGGCTCTAATGGCTGCCGCGAACATCTTGCCCCGAATGATCATCTGCCGTGCCGTGTCGGCGATCTGGGCTTGCCGAGCGCGTTTTGACATGGTTTTGTCCTTGTCTTCCAGATGCGCTAGATCCTTGGTCAAAAACTTGATGTAACCGCGATATGTCAGGCACGTATCATTGTCGGTTTTGATAGCCTCCGTCGCGTCGAAGCTCGGGTCAGCGAAGGTGTACATCAGTTCTCGACGGAGGCAACTAGCGTGAGCCAGATATTTTGCCTTTGCAGCCTCTGGAGTTGTAGATGGGAACCATGGATGCTCGAGAAGTTCGAAAAGACGAATGAATTTGACATGATGGAGCTCTTTCTCGATGGCCATTTTTCGCAGGGTCTCTCCATAGTCCCAAACGGTTTCATCGGGGACGCCCAGAATGTCTGGTCAATGTCAGTATTGAATAGTTATGAAGATCGATTTCATTTTTCTTACCATTGTATACAAGTCCATCCGAACTGATGTAGACATCGGCACCAGGAGCGTATACTTCGCCGATGTTTTGGCAAAGTCCGTTCAAATGGGCCAAGGCCAACTCTTCGCCAAAGTCGGGCATGTTGCCCAGCACTTTATTGCGCGCATTAGGTGACTTGAAAGGAAATGCGGGCAAGATCATCCGGATTGGCTCTTGTCTGACGATCTGCTCCAGGACAACTGGAACAAAAGACTCGAAGCCCTTCCAGGAAATACCCGCCTTCTCATAGTCAACACCGTAACTTTCGATAATCTTCAATACCTCCATGGTCTTCGAATCATCCTCAGATAGAGTATGCGAGCCCTCAGAGACGAGGGATCCGTTGAGCCCATTTTGTTGTTTGATGCCATTGCCGTTTGAGGTAATAGCCGGATCGGCACTGTCATATCCAGGCTTAACCTCCACAGTCTCGATACTGACTTTCTGATTGGCCATTCCATTATCGAAGGAGGAAATTCCATTCCCGAGCTTGGGGTGGAATGTAGTGGGAACAATTTCAGCACCCGGTGCCAAGGCAACCATTGTGACTCGAAGGGAAATGTATGCTGCCAACGGAGATACTCGGAGACAGGCACTGTTCTACCCAGAGACTGTATAAGGAAGAAGCCTGAATGAGAAGTAACCGGATTGGTCTCACTTTAGTCCTGAGGAAATAGAGATGTGTTTTATCCAGAACCAGATGGTGCTATATAACCAGCATCAGCCAGAACACTGACGTCGGGACAGGAAATCTGGAAAGTTCAACCCTCCGTTCCGATGACTGTAACTCCTGATGCGGACTAAGAAGTCGAGTCTTAGGTTCAACCTAGGGCATCCCAGGCTCGAATGGCCATCACCCTGTACAACTTGGGGGTATGTCTTCCTACTATACTTCACCTTATGAATGAGGTCATGGTGGAGGAGATTTGTTAGAGAGCCTTGGTCAACTTAGTAAAAGGCTTGAGGTTGAATCCTGAGCAGGTTGAATCCTGAATCTGGGAAGTTAAAACCCAGAAAGCTTCACTTATCCTTTCGGTAGTGTCAGCACAGCTCGCGTAGAACAGAACCGAATGAGGTGGCTTGAGGGATATTCCCAGAGTAAATGTGAAAACCCCTCGGTTATTCATTCGTATCTGATGACTAGGTATGCATCCATGTTTCAGATTCCATTGGACAAGTGAAAGAGTTGTGCCTATATATCAACGAGAGTAGAAGGCTGATCTCGGGATCCCTGGCAACCCGCCAATGCTGGGAAGCGAACAAAACCTAACTGGGTCATCCTATGCAGATTCAAGACACATGTAACCCATTGTGACTTAGTCCGCTGGAATCTGAGCGGTAACTTTGGTCCGATCCACAAGGCAGAAGGGAAGTGACTCTATGGTATCTTGGCCGTTGATTAACCGTGAGATGTAAGATAATGAGCCCAACAGTGAGACACTCCGAAGCTGAGGCGATTAAGGCATGTTTATTTGCAGGATTTCTACCGTGAGATGTACATTGGGTCTACACGATCAAATAATAGTACAACTAGAGAAGTATATATTGTCTAATTGCCAAGCGCACGTGTTGTGATACCTCTTCTGTTGTGTTCCGATTCCACGGCTGTGCTTGATCAGCAATATAGCATGACCGCTTGGCATGCAGCTCACTCTTTGATCTCATGCCAATCATACTCCATGACCCGAGTGATAAATGCCGCCATGTCAGGTGTTGTCAATTGACTAACAAGGTAGCATGTGGCGTCCAAGCCTGAGCTTACTCCTCCCGCCGTGAGGAGTTGAACACCGCCACCCTTCAACAGACCCCCATCAAGATATCGCTTGTGCATTACAGTCGTCGTAGGCTCACCCGGAGCATTAAAACGAGCACAAACATCTCGAAGTCTGTCAAGCGCATGGTGGTGGGTCGTCACAGTCATTCCGCCGAGTACACCTGCGGCCCCTAGCAGAAAAGCGCCGGTGCAAACCGACAGCAAAACCCGGGTGCCTGATGACGCATCTGCAGGAAGCGCTGCAAACTTGCGAATCAAGCCAAGCTCCGGTGTGTTGGTTTCGATTAATGGCTGCACAACTGACGGGGGGGCCACCTGGGATGACTAGGAGATGAAAGTCTGAAATTTGATCGATTGCGTCTGGCAAAAGCAGGTCTCCGTGAACTGTAAGCGAATTCGCAGCACGAATCGCAGGGCTGCAAGCGACGGTTTTGATTTCGAACATTCTGTCGGGTCTTTCTGGGTTTCGGTTGTGCGAGACATGGGATAGTACCTCGATCGGCCCCGCGAAGTCGAGGATGTCTACGCCGGGAAATAGGAGGACCCCGACTTTGTAGTACTTGTTGGAAGATTCGGGAGACATAATTGCGATGATAGATTGCGATCTGGTCTTGCGAGGGGTACAGAGGTAGATGTCATAGATGTCTTTATGGTGGAAAAGTGAGAGAGATAAATAATAGCAGTGAGATTCCTCGAGCTGATTCTGGGTTTTGCTTGAAAGAAATCAGGCTGAGGTGCATTTTACCTCGGGGCGTTTCTGACTCTGCTGACTCCGAAAATAACTGCCCAGGTGCCTTTGTACTACGCTGATCTCCGCATTCCCCGATTCGACGGTTGGAGGGTGTAAGTCCAATAATATCGACAGTTGGTGTTGGGAATTAAGCTGTCTAGGATGTTAGTGAAGCCCGATGTGTAATGATCTCACATTGATCTCATGAGCTACCTAGGGAGATAAAGATTAAAGCGATAGAACTTTCAAGAATCCAATACAATGAGAAAGATGGAGAGAAATATAAAAAGTTGCCTTAGGCATGGTACTTTCTTCGATGTCCCTCCTCAGTTTCAATTAATAGATCCTAGGCATCTGGCCATATCTTCAACCGGTCTTAATATATACCTAGATCCCAGAACGCCAGCATCCCCCTGGGTCAACTCGATACTTCATCGTCCTACTTTACCTCGATTTATGGCTATGGAGAGTGGCGCTCAAGAAAGCTCCCTGATGTCTTTGTCTGGTGAGATGGGGATATACTCGAGTGATACAAGTCACAGAAGAGACAACTAAGATAGGAATGGTGCACTTCAACTACCATGGTTTAGCAAGAATAAACTGAAGCTATTAGGACGTGTCAGATCCATCGATGGTCTCCTTTGTAGTTCATAATCGAAGTCCCGACCTTGTCAACTTCCTACCTAAGTAGAACCTTGAGGTTAGGGCTAATATTAGTCATGATATAGTTACCCCAGGGGGCGTCCACCGGTCAGGTCTCTGGGCATATGGGCTCACTCTGGCTCCCCGCTATTCAGACGGTGAGGAGACCACGGAGCTAAATGCGAATCCCGGTGTATAAGGGGGAAATGACATGAGTTGACTAAAGAATGAAGCAATTCTACTCCAAGCCTCGTAGGGCGATGGCGTTTTTGCGTGAGTATTGGGCTACGGTAAGCATATTAGACCCGAGGTATCGCGATCTAAGATTCTGTAAAAGAGATTATACACATGATAATGTCCAACAGCGCATATCACACTGGAGAACCCATTCAGTTCGTAAAAACCGCCTCCCTCCCGGCAAATTTAAGGAAATAAAGTTGCAAAAATTAAAGACAATCATGGGTGGGCCATAAACTCCGGCGCCGCGCTGAAGAAAAACAATGGGAGAACTAAACGCTTTTCGGGGGACAGAACGCCTCCGATCCCTAGCCCCACAGGGGTGGATGAATATACTCTGCTGCACGATCCATTATATTCGGCATCGTCCATTCGCCGCTATGAGAGCTTTCTGGCGTAGGGGGCGGGAGAGAACCAGCACTGGGGGTCATGTTTGCCTGCCCAGGAACAAGTGTTCCCATAGACGCGGAGGCCGGGTTGAGGTTAGGATTAGAGCTGGAGTACGCGGGTGTATCATTCCGTCCCATCCGAGGACGCGTGGATCCACGCGGATTCCCAACTGCAGCAAGGAGCTTTTGCAAAGCACGATGTGTCTTCGCTAGCGACTTGGCCCATTGCGTTTGTGTATCAGGGGGTATCCCAGCCGGAGAAGTTGGATCCACCGCAGGAGCGATGGGACCTGGGGCATTCGTGGTGCCCGTGATTGGGTCGTAAGTGCCGAGGGGTTGGGGTGGCGAGGTCATACTGGCCACTGTGGGGCCCTCATTGGAATCATATGCACGTTCCGTGCTTGCCTTCTGGGCGATGATGCCTTCGAGTGAATGGAGAAGATTCCACACATTCGGGTCCGCTTTCGCCTCATCAATGACAGCAAGCAAGAATGCGGAGCTGATCGCCCGCTGCAATAAGATCCAAGAACGAGCTGCGTGGGAGCTGATGTTGTGCATTTCAATATATGCTTCAACAGTCGTCATCAGATTCATCACGCAATTTTCGCGCATGCTGGCTGCGTTGGCATCACTCAAATCAGCCATGGGTTTGAGCGCTGGCCGGCAGAGCTCAGAGGCGAAATAAGAAGAATGCAATTTTAATACAACTCGCTCCAGATGTTGCGTGGGTGTGGAACAACTCATTGCGTCTCGCAGGTATGGCTTTGCCTCTACCATGATCTTCTGAATGCGGTCCTTGTATGTTTGTATGCTTTCCACACTTATCTGTGCGTGTGGACTCAGCATGCGAATGCGGACAACCTCTAACGCAAGAGAAATGACACGAGAGAGAGTCTCAAAATAGGATAGATCACCAGGTTGGGCGCCATCCCTATAAGCGATATCTGGCTGGCTCACTGCAGTGGTGGAAGGCCGATCGTAGGAGAGCGAAAAATGGCTGTCTTGCCATGCCATGGACCACCTATTCATGTTAGCACACATACTTTCTGGTTATGATGGGGAAAAGTTTCCTACCAAACGTGTCGTCGGCGGTATCGTTCAGGTGCCGAAAATCGACTGGACTCCACATGGAGGCCAAGCGCCAAGCCCATGCGAAGTGTCATGCCAAGCAAGACATAAGAAATTCCAGGATTCATGTTGTATGACAAGACGTTTCCGATCACAAGGAGAGTTTGAATTGCCTCAATGGTCGGTTGGGAGAGGAAATTTGTCATGCGGAGGCACTGGTAGGAGCAGCACACTATTTTGAGTGTTAGCCAACGACTCGTAGAATCCCTGGTGTGGATCACATACCATAGACTTGCGAGGTCAATTCCCTTTCCTTGCTCCCATAATCGGATGACTGGCATCCTGAGGCAAGGATAGCGAACAGTAGTCCCAAGTACGCAATGCTCACGCCGAAAGGCTTTTGTGCTTGATCTGCATCAGCCAGGTACTCGCCACCGATAGAGGCTCTTGTCCCCAGTAGAAGCTCGAGAGTGTTCTCAAACTCAAAGATGTCCTCTAAAACAGGATATATGGCTCCCGAGATGTCCCTGTAGTAGTAGAATAACCTATAGCGAGAAAGCAAAGTTAGCACAAACAATCCCAATCGGAAGTTCGACTTAAAGGACTACCCACTCTCTACACTGTTGATCACTGGGAAGAGCACTACAGACAGCAGTTACATCAAACGTTGACATATCGGATGACCATAGATCAACAAATGGATATGTCGCAGACTCATTGTCCAAACCAAGCTTGGGTAGTATCCCTCCTTCCAAAAGGGCTTGAAGCTGATCAGACCCGGACTGATTGTTCAGAATATAAGCCAGAACAGATCGCGATCCCAGATGCACAGTGCCTTTGCCTAGAGTATTAGCAGCGTGGATGCCCTCGCGTTCCGGTGAGGCACCCTTGGAACGGGAACCCGCATCGACACTCTGCACGCTTCGGGTGTCCATGGAGGTTGGGAGACCGTCTTCCGCCCTCTCCAGCCCAACTCGAAGGGAGGAAATAGTAGACTCCATTTCCTGCAATCTATTGCGCACATTATCCCATTCCTCGCGAGCGATTGAAACACGACCACCACCTGTGGCAGGCACGCTCCGTCGGCTCAAGGTTGGCTCATGTTTCACTTCCGCTGGGGCTTCGTCGTATGCATATGTGGTTGAATATTCAGGCACGGGCGCCGCTGATGCACTGGAGCCAGCGCTCTCTTGAAAAGCTTGCGATCGTTTTTTGGAAGGGCGTTCGTAGGAGCAAAGATCTGCATGGTCGCGCTTAACGCATCCGTCACACGGCAGATTGCGATCGCATTTAACCTTGCGCGCATGGCATGGATAGCAGGCTTTGGGCTCACGAGCCTTGCGCTTCGTGCGGATGATCGCGTCTACCTGAGACTGCGGCAAATCGGAGACTGGTCTGTTGGGCGCTGCAGCCATGTCGGAGGCTACAGAGGGCGAGAATGAAGTTGATGGTGGGTAAGGCGATGTCATTCTGACTCGAAGGAAAAAAAATTGTCTCCAGCACAATATATCCTAAGTCGGTCTTGAAGTTGTCGGATGTCGGCCTATACAGCAGTGTTTCATTCGGTCATTGGCAGCATGGAGGTGAAGGAGCGGAAGCGGTTTGGGAATGAGTGATTTCAACACATTGGCGACAGGTATAGCTCCATAAATTCATTAGTTAAACCAGAGCAGCACGTTAGGCTATGAAAGCTTTGAAATTGCACGCGATTTGTTCAAAGAAGCTGGGATTAAGCGCCGGCACAATACTACAGGGGCACGTGATGTGGGGCGTCCAAATGCGGAATAAAGCCCTACGTCAGTATTGTCTATGGGAATCGACTCGGTATAATTTCGACATGGGATATTTAGTAGAAGATATTCTATATAGCTTGTAAGAATTTGGATTCTTCCTGCCTTCTCGCCACGTAGTGGATATATACAGTCAAATTCAAGCACTGTCACTTATCGCGTAACATCGTGAGTGGCCTAAGTATCCGTATGTGTCGATCGAGATGATAAAATGGAACAACATCAATTATCGGCAAGCCTAGGGCAATCAAGGACTGCCTCGAAATACTATATAACTAAATTGGCAGTACAGACAGTACCCAGGGTATTAGTACGCCCTGTTCGAGCATCCATAGATGACGGTATATATATTTGTAGCAAGGCAGCATAAGAAATGACCAAGAGAAGAATAACACCTTCGAGCAGACAGTCTAATTTGTACAATGATCATTGTTCTGCTATTATTAATGTACACCTGGTCTTCACCTAACTATCAGTCTGTTTATATCTTCCACTTCTCCTTTCACTTCACCTTACACTCTTGACGCCTCTTTTTCCCACAACTATCTACCTACTTTTGCGCTTTTTACGCCACACAACTCCATATTATAGTTACTAGAGTTGTTATAGTCTAAAGCTGACTCCTACTGTTGACAAAAACCAATCGCTTCTTCGCCCTTTGTGATTTATCTTGATGGGCTAAGTAACAATCGATGAGGGAGGATCCGATCCCAGCACCACATATATCTATGTACTCCATGCCCACTAGTACTGTTGACTTCTAAGATTGCTGTTGCCAGCTTAAGTCCCGTTACGTGTAAATTGGTCAATTGAAAGTGCGGTTTATAGGGATCATTGTACTTTTCGCTCCATTTATAGGCGTCTAAAGGGTCATCCAAAGAGGCGTCCAAGAGGCATCATTTTTCCACCGTGCGGAACGAACGGCACATTGTCCCGCCTAACATATTATATTGAACTTGTCTTTAATGTAATTGGCAGACTAAACCTAGGTAGGCGTCTATTATGGGTCCTGTAGATGAACGTGAGGGGACTTTTTCCATAAATGATTGGTCTATTGTAAATAGTCTGGTATGATCTCGGCAAGTCCTACCGCATCTAGCCAGGACACGACAGAGCTCTACGGGCTATGTTGCAGTTGATTTGCAGCTATAAATCGATTTGTTGTGCGGTGTACCCGGTATTATGTAGCCCTTTCCAGGGGATTTCCAAGCCCCTATTAATACAACTATAGCTTAAGGAGAACCCGGTAAGTGATCTTGAGTATTTCGACCATACCAGGTGCTGATTCCGCGATGCATTATTGGTTTGTTAGGTCCACGGGCGTTCTGAAATGCTTGGCTAACTGTGCCAAGCGCTCAGCATACAGTGACACCTCTTAAATTTCAGCACCCCGTCAGCTACCGCCTTCCTAAAGTAACGTACCGCCTACTTAAATAGTTATACCGCCCATCTCTTCGTCCTTTTGATTGGTAGATTAAGATTGGCAGAATAAGGGGTGTTGAAACTTAGGAGGTGTCACTGTACTTTTACTGTGTTGATCATCTTTTTCAAATAAAACCGCATATGTCTTTGACATTATTACACACTCAATGGCTTGTTTCATCAAATCGCACATAAACTCGGAATTGATGTTGGAGATATCTGGGGAGATTATGATGTCAAAAGCGGATTATCCCGATGTTTATAGAAGTAATAAGACGCCATTCACCTTCTCGTAGCTGCTTGAAAATAAAAACAAGAGAGTATTTCAAGAATATCAGATGACGACATGACCTTTTGTCCTATGGTGCTCTCCGGGGCATCTTTAGATGTAACACAGGTGCAGGCTCTGCATCATCTCCAGGAGCTCCACTAGGCAGCACGGAGGTTCCGCCGCCTGGCCCTAGGGGCATTTTGCCGATATTGTGAGCTGGACCGCTTCGAGAACTTCCTGTATCAGGTATAACGCGGATAATGTCAGGGTGGTTGGACGCAATATACATCTTGTCATTGTTGCGCGGGGCTGACGCTGTGTATAGCAGTTGCCGTAGTGGGCCGTCCAATCTGTAATCACCTGTGCCACACCAACCTCGTGATACCTCACATTGGATTCTGACCCATCTCGTCAGCCGCCTTCTTTCAGTATCCAGTATGGTAACTTCAACTTCGACCACCGGACTAGTCATAGTGCTGCCATCGGCTATAACTGAAGTGTTTAGCCCCATGATCGGGGGTTCAACATTCGATGTTCCCATAATATTTTGAATATCACCCTCATATAGTGTCATCATGGATGCCCCGGTGTCATAAACAAATTCAAGCTCTGCGTACCACCTTGTACCGGGGACGCGAATGGCAATCTCGTACTAAGAACAAATCAGAATGGGTCAAATGGGGACATCTGGAGTCTTTCGGGGGCATACACTGCGAACAAATTTTCCATTGGGCGGGAGTAGTCCGGCTAATGAAATCGCCACTAGTGAGTGTCCAGGTCCCAGCCCAACCAGCTATTTGCGAACCTTTTGTATTATTATGACTGTCTAGAAGAAGAAAAAAAGAAACGGACTTCAAGGGCAACTCACTCCTTCCATCCAAAATCCGGTTTTACCAGAATGATGCGCATTGAGGACCTCGAATTCATCCCAACTGAACGGTCTTGGCTCACACAATTGCACACCTTCAAACCAATAAGTGACCAATCCTATGTTCCAATGAAGCCTTCCTTCGCGGTAAGCCTGCAGCAACGCCCGCACATTAGGGAGCTGATTGAAGTTGTCCGAGCTTTGTAGCTCAACTTCAATGTTTCTCAAGACTTCCAAGCGCTTGAGGACAGCCAAACTATGGTTCCCAGGTTCTGATGCGACCAATGCACTGTGGGACATTCGATCAGCAACTCATCTGTTAAGGGCAGTAATTTCTCTTACTTTCGCTTGGCCTGAGAGATTTTCAATCCCTTCAGCCGGTGTTCAAATATGTGAGGCATGATATTCTCTTTGATTCTCACGTGGCATCTTTCAATTTGTGCATCGATATCACTGCGCCATACCCATTAGTATGGGGTCAAATGAGTGGTGGATAGACACAGATGACACCGCCAACTTACTCTCGGTCAAGATCCGGTTCAGTCATGCTCCAGCCTGGAGGCAATTTCTCAGGATCTATCAGGGGACTGGATTGTCGTGGCCATGGCTTCCTTTTCGCCCGTGCTGGTGCGGCTGGCGATTTGAATCGACCGACGTACGACGTAGCAAGATCCGGAAGCAGCGTATCAATTGTAAAATTTTCGTCCCTTGGGACGTCACTGATCAGATCGTTCGCGGATGGCACATACTCGGCTTGTACTTCGCCGGGCTGTCCTTGCGCGGCTTGGCGTTTCTTTGCCTTTGTCTCCTCCGATACCTTTCGGCGTTTCCTTCCCTTCTGTGGATTGAATTCCACCGGTGATTTTGATTGTGATTTTGCCTTCCTTGCGGGCATGACTCTGGTGGGCTTTTCCTCAACCACATGACCCTTTCTCTTTGATCTAGTCAATGCCGTAGTTGTAGTTCCCATTTTGAATACGGAGAGCTTGCTGCAGCCAGGTTATGGGCAATGCTTAGCAATAATATGAGAAATGATTCAATGTTTTAGAAAAAGCGAAGATTGAGAGAACGGTGCGTTTTTCTTATAGCTCGAATGCAAAACGGCGGACACGTAGGAACAAAGACAGACTTCGACAATCTTTCGCGTCAGGGGCCGAGGGGCTATACAAAGAGAAATAGAAGCACGTATTCACATCAAAGCAGTGGTTACTGGCATTTCCGGGTTCGCCTTCAATGGAACTTGCTCAGTTGGGGCACATCAAAGGAATATTCGAAGTTCATAAAAATATGGCTTTCGTAGCATGAAAGGAAGGAAAATGATCCTTGCTCCAGCAGCCCGATGCCTCTGGTTCTTCGCTTTGAATCCCAGGGAATCTCTTTGTGAGAAACGTTCTGACATGGAAACAGGGCTTGTTTGAACGATCTGATCCTTTTGTTATTATTTTTGTTGGCTTGGCATTGAGTTTATTGATCGAAGCATTCCTTTGTCTTCAATCAACACTCATTTCTTGTCTTGCTCTGCGGGTGTGTTCTATGATTATTTCGCCAATAAAAACAAGTGAGTAGTCTGCGTACGATACTGGGGATTTGATAGATGGTAAGTATGGAAACTCAGGGGAACAGCCATTTTCTGGCGTTTCCTTGAGCCGTAGGGGAAGGGAGCATCATGATCGAGAGTTGAAGCTAGTCAGGGCTCAGGTGGCAGGACCTGCGCCGTTCTTGTCCTTATCCAGGCCAATGGGCGAGTTGTTGGGGATCAAGGTCAATGAATAACTTTTTGCACTGACGGGTGAATGGGTAATTCACGATTAATATTGAACTCGATGGTTGATGTCTTCGTAATATGTTCCAGAAGGGAACAATATATATCTCGACCCCAAGGTCAAAATAAGTGGGGCCCTGGGCGGGACGGAATATTCTTAGCGCCGGCTGACCAATAATCGAGAGTGACGTACCTGGACAGCTGTGTTTAGGTCTGTCCTCCAACACAGCTCTATTCCAAGGTTGGCATTCACATTGTTTTCCTTCCCTGTATCTCAGACAAACACCAGTTTTTGCTATCGAACCTCTCTTTAATTCTTCGCTCGCTCTCGCCTTCCGACTTGGGTCTCCGAAACCCGCCAACCAACCTCAACCATGGAGGGTAACCCCGCCGAGCACGATGAGGCTGTGTCTCAATTCTGTGCTATGACTGGAACTCAAGCTTCAGATGTAAGATTCTTGCTGGACCTACACGCTAATACGGCCGCTGACTTTGACTGCGTGATGTCTAGGCTCAGGAATATCTCGCTGCCAATGGTTGGGACATCGAAGCTGCCGTTACAGAGTTCTTTGCAGAGCAGGACGAAGCCCTGCAAGATACCAGTGCTGGTGGCGAGCGACAACTAGGCACAGAGGGTAGCCCTGGAGCTCCCACGGGGGGTAGAACTCTGGGGGGAAGTGCCGTACCCGCTTCATCTGCCGCTGAGTCCTCATCATCTGCCCGACGCGCTGCGCCCAAGAAGAAGTTTGCGACACTGGGAGACTTTGCTTCGGGAGGGGGTGGTGGCGGTGGTGATTCATCCGATGGCGATGACACCGACGAACATGATTTCTTTGCAGGTGGTGAAAAGTCTGGACTAGCTGTGCAGAACCCGGATGATTTGAAAAAGAAGATCCTCGAAAAGGCCCACAGGTACGTTCTTTACAGATTGCCTGAGATACTGAACCCGATTAACCTTCAAACGTCAATAGGGCGCAGCCTCCTCCTTCCGACGCCCCTCAGCCACGGGCATCACATTTCACCGGCACTGCCCGCACGCTCGGTGGTGATGATGCGCCAAGCCAGGTGATTGAAAGCCCCTCGGCGCCTTCTCAACAGCGTGCCCAGCGTGTTCAACGGACTCTTCATTTCTGGGCCGATGGATTCTCCGTTGATGACGGCGAACTGTTTCGATCAGACGATCCCCGCAACGCAGAGATTCTGGACGGTATCCGCCAAGGCCGCGCTCCTCTTTCCATCATGAATGTTCAACCCGGGCAGGAGGTCGATGTGGAACTCAAGCAACATGAGGAGAAGTACACCAAGCCCAAGCCGAAGTACAAGCCTTTCTCTGGTTCTGGACAGCGCCTCGGTAGCCCGACGCCCGGCGTACGGAGTCCGGCGCCCCCGACGCCTTCGTCCTCCACGTCTGGAACATCTGCCCAGGAGCCAGCGAAGCCCAATGTGGACGAGTCGCAACCTACGGTTACCCTACAGATCCGCCTAGGAGACGGTACGCGGTTAACGTCTCGGTTTAACACCACTGCCACCATTGGCGATGTCTATGCATTCGTTGCTGCTGCTACTCCGGATGGTGCAAACCGCGCATGGGTCTTGATGACGACTTTCCCCAGCACGGAGCTCAAGGACTGGGATGTTGTTCTCGGCGACATGCCCGATTTCAAACGTGGAGGTGTCATTGTGCAGAAGTGGCAGTAAAGTGCGCTACTAATACTCTCTTGACATTTTCCTCTTTAGAGTAGTTCCAAAAGCGAATACCAGCAGGACAATGGGTTGGTATGGGTGAACGTTACATGACATATCTGATACCGAAGGAGAACCTTCATATTTGCTACGTAGAGCAATGGCATTCGCCTAACAAGCTCCAAATTCAAAATAAGTGGCCAATCAGACCTATCGTATTCCAAGTTGCCATCCCGGCGTTGTTGTAGAAGGTTAGTCAGAGGGCGATTGATAAGCCGCCCGCATATCCCGAGGTCGGCCTCCCCACTCTTGAAATCATTCATCGCGCTTTCAGTTGCAACTTTTCCTTTCTCCAAATTAGATATACACGATACGAATATGCCTCTTACCGGGGTAAAGAATGTTGTTTTGGTATGTGCGCCTTCAGACCCTTGCGAAGTCTTCGGCATGAAAAAAGAAATCCATGCCCCTCATAGCTTATCGATAACGGGGCACTGCTAGAAGCCATGAGCTTGAACTTACAAGCGCAATTTCTTGGATACGACTAACAAGAGATTCTTGAACATTAGGTCCTTTCCGGCAAAGGAGGTGTAGGCAAATCCTCCGTCACACTGCAACTGGCCCTCGCGCTCTCGCTCCAAGGCAAATCGGTCGGAATCCTCGACATCGACCTGACAGGACCTTCAATGCCACGACTAGTCGGACTTGAAGATGCAAAGATCACACAAGCGCCAGGCGGGTGGATGCCAGTACCTGTTCACGGGACTGAATCCGCAGCTGAAGCCGATGGCTCAGCGCCCTCAACACAACCCCAGCGCGGTTCACTCCGCTGTATGTCCCTGGGTTTCCTCCTCCGCGATCGCGGCGATGCAGTCATCTGGCGTGGACCAAAGAAAACGGCCATGATCCGACAATTCCTCTCAGATGTGTTCTGGGGCCCGACTGATTACCTGCTCATCGATACCCCTCCCGGAACGAGTGACGAGCACATTGCACTGGCTGAGCAGCTGCTCACGCTCTCCACTACAGACGCAGCGGCGGCTGCGCAAACAGGCTTGCCTCGACTTGCTGGTGCGGTTCTTGTTACGACGCCGCAGGCTGTGGCGACCTCGGACGTGCGTAAAGAGGCGAACTTCTGCGTTAAGACTAATATTCCTGTGCTTGGGGTTATCGAGAATATGTCTGGGTATGCTTGCCCCTGCTGTGGGGAGGTTAGTAATCTGTTCTCCAGTGGGGAGGACAGGTGATGGCCCAGGAATTAAGTCTTCCATTTATGGGCAGCGTGCCTATTGATGTGAAATTCGGAGAATTGATAGAAGGGAAGATGGAGGCAGGGGATAGTGATGAGGATGATGAGGACGAGGAGAGCCCCAAGACTCAACCACAAGATACTCCAGCCGAGCCTGATGACCGGCCGCTCGTTGAACGATACCGGGATACCTGGTCTTATCCTCGATTCGAAGGGTTCGCGAAGACCCTTATAAGCAGCATTGAGGGCCCCGCTGCCGTGTAGCAGTGTTGATCATGCAAAAGTGTATTCGATTGCTTGTTTTCTAGCGACATGCCATCTTTCCTGCTTTCATTTGCATTGCATCATAGGTGTCGGCAATTTTTGGAATGTCAAATCATATAATTGATGAAACAATCTATGTTGTACAGCTTGAGCCCGAACGCATATCTTCTCCATCGGGGACTGATCTTCTTTCCGAAAGAGGTGAAGAGGTGCGATTCCCCCTGATCTCCGAGTCTCAAACCGCCAAGCTTGTTACAACCGTTTCTAGAAGCGAGACCCGGGCGTATGCATGTCGTACGGGTGCCTCTGCCCAAAGTAGGCAGTGGACCATTGAGCCAAGATGTAAATGAGTTTTAATTAGCCGAAGATCGCGAATGTAAAGAAGCCTTCGGTGTACTCCGTATGCGAGTCAGTATGTAAACAACCAAACGTCTCCCACGTGGGATTCTCGCATGTTGACATCTGGGTTTCCTGTTGGACGCTTCTAGATTCCGATTCGCATGGCCAATTTCCTCTAGTGAAAAATTCTACCTGGAAACCATACGATCACACAACTGCCCACAAATTCGCCAGAGTGACATGCTGCCAAGACTAGGCTGTGCGTCGTCCGCCGAGAGACATTGACTTCCAAGTCTCTCGGCGCCAAGGTTGAACCCACGTCAAGCTCTATTAAGCGTGCAATGGTAGCTCAGGTCCCGAGAACGTGCAAATCTACGGATTATGATTGGTCCATATAATCCATCGAGAACATATCATCCTCAGGAAACGTGGTTGGCCCGATCTTGGCGTCCGCTCGCAGATCTTGGCGTCACCTCGCGCCCGTCTTTGGTCATGAGCGAACTTCGTCTTTCGATGAGCCAATGACAGTTGCGTATCAGGTGCACGCTGTCAATGATATCTGTATTATGGGCTACGGGTGAAATGAGCAGGGCGAACTCAGTATGGATCGGGCTAGGTTCAAGAAAAGGTTGTATCACAAGCCGCACTTGGCAAGGGTCGTGGCAAGTTTGCAGTTCGTATAAGGATACCATAAAATCTGCATTTGCTTGACTTACGACTATCCATTCCTTTCTTTCTCATCCTTCACATTTACCTTGTTGTGTGGTCAACACAGCCATCCCATTCTTCGCCATGGCACCCGCAGCAACAGCGAAGTATAACTGGATCTTGGCCATCACCACCATCGCTTTCGTCTTCAGTGCCTTCGGAAACGGTGCCAACGATGTCGCCAACTCCTACGCCACCTCGGTCGCGGCCCAGACCCTCAACATGGCCACGGCCGGTGTCCTGGCTATCTTCACCGAGTTCATTGGTGCAGTAGCCCTGGGTAAGCGAGTCAGCGATACAATCAAGAACGGAATCATCGGAATCGACCGCTTCGATGGTAAGCCTGGTGCGCTCATGTTGGCCATGGGCTGTGCCGAAATTGGTAGCGCTTCGTGGTTGATGTTCGCCACCTCCATGGGATGGCCCGTCTCGACAACACAGACTATCGTCGGTGCCCTCATTGGTGTTGGTTTCGCCTCCCAGGCTCCCATCACCTGGGAATGGACCGACGGCAGTGTCTCCCAGATCGCTGCTTCTTGGGGTATTGCCCCTCTCATCGCAGCTGCGTTCTCGGCTATCATCTTCGGTACTCTCAAGTACAGTGTCCTCGAACGTGCGGATTCCTTCAAGTGTGGCATGCGTATGATTCCAGTCTACCTTGCCTTTACCGGAGCCATCCTCGCCCTCTTCATCGTCATCGAAGCCCCTACAGCCCCCTCTCTGGAAGAGTTTGGTGCCGGCAAGGCGGTCGGTATTATTATTGGCGTCTTCGCCGGCTGTCTCATCATTGGCTATGTTTTCTTCATTCCTTACTTCAAACGCCGTCTCATCAAGAACGACGCCCGCGTCAGATTCTGGCACCTCCCCCTCGGCCCCTTGCTGCTATCGGAAAACCCTCCCCTCTACTTCCCCGGAAAGGGCGATCAGGTCGTTGCCAACTACTACGAAGATGCATATGGTGAAGTGCAGGCCGGCCACAAAAACGAAGACAAGGAGAAGGTCACCTCAAATGCAGACTCTATCGTGCCCACCCCCGAGATTACAGCGATGTCCAACTCGTCGCACGTCGGTGAGGACGAGGAGAAGATCACCCCCCCGCGCCGAGCCTCGCAAGAAGCGCCCCGAACCCGTCGAACGTTTCATCGACCCCGTCCGCGAACTCTCCTGGCTCAACCCCCGCAAGGCCTGGGGCTACATCAAGTATGTGCTCCTTCAGGGTGTTACACGTGATGTGATTACACACGACTCCGCTGAGTTGCGCGCCATCCACGCACGTGCCAACCGCTACGACGACCGCGTCGAACATCTCTGGACCTACTGCCAAGTTGTCTCCGCTATCATGATGTCCATTGCCCACGGTTCTAACGATGTGGCCAACGCTGTTGGTCCTTGGGCTGCTGTCTACAGTACCTTCAACTCTGGATTTGTCAACACCAAAGCTCCCACTCCCGTCTGGTTCCTGGTTGTTGCCGGTCTGCTGCTCGGTATTGGTTTCTGGTTCTACGGATACCACATTGTTCGTGCCCTTGGAAACAAGATCACCCAGATGTCTCCCACGAGAGGATTCAGTGTAGAATTGGGGGCTGCTATCACGGTGATGTTGGCCTCGAGGCTAGGCCTCCCAGTCTCAACTACTCAGTGCTTGACTGGATCATCTATGGGTGTCGCTCTCATGAACTACGACCTTGGAGCCGTCAACTGGAAGCAGCTTGGCTTCATTTTCGGTGGTTGGGTTCTGACTTTGCCTTGTGCTGGATTGATCTCGGGTCTCCTTTGTGTGATGGCATTGAATGCTCCTCACCTGTAGATAAGTTTATTGGTTCCTGGCATTGTTGGCCTTGCTTGGCCACGAACAGAACGTGTTGTAATAGATGACTATTTGATCATAATTTCACATATTATTATATTTGATAACTATACCCGAAAAGCAAAAGGTAAATTAGTAAATACGAGAAAGAAAAGATTATCGCCGTACATGTTCGCGTTTGTGCATAGACGTTGTATAACCTTTAATCGTGACGATCCAGTCGAACGACGGGTATCTTTCTAAACAAATAACTGAGTATGATCATCTATTTGGTGCGCTTGTAAATCTTGCCAAGGAAAGCCTCAAAGACTTCCTTCTTCAGGCCCTTGGACTCATCGACGGCTGCAATCTTCTCGCGCAGCTCGCCAACAACCTTCTCCTCGTACTCCTTGTACACCTTCTCCAGCTGAAGCTCGTTGAAAAGAGCCTTCACCTTGGCCTCCTCAGCGGCGTCCTTGCGGCCGTAGGAAGCATCCAGGAGCTGGCGCTGCTCGGGAGTGCAGCGCTGGATGGCCTGGTTAACGAGCCAAGAGCACTTGTTGTCCTGAATATCGGTACCGATCTTGCCAATGAAGGCTGGGTCGCCGAAGTTGTCGAGGTAGTCATCCTGGATCTGGAAGTATTGGCCAAGAGGAATGAGGATGTCATGGGCCTGCTTGAGGTTTTCCTCGGTGGCCAGCTGCAGGTACATAAGGGCCAGAGCGACAGGCAGGTAGAAGCTGTAGTATGCTGTCTTGTAGGTGACGATGAACATGTACTTCTCCATGGAGAAGTTGTCGAGGTTGACGTTGTCCTCGGGGGCGGTGATGAGGTCACAAAGTTGACCCAACTCGGTCTGCCAGGTGGTCTCGTGGAAGAGCTCGACCATGTCAATGTAGGCGGGGTGCGAGCGGAAGCGCTGCTTGAGGATGAGGTAGATACCCGCCTCCAGCATGAAGGCGTCGTTGATAGCGATCAGGCCGACACCCTCGTGGCGGTACCAGCAGGGCTGGCCACGGCGGGTGATAGAGGAGTCCATCATGTCGTCGCTGACCAGGAAGAAAGCCTGGAGCAACTCAGTCATCCAACCCAGGATGCTGAGGTGCTCGAATTGCTCGTCGGTCAGGGGCTGCTTCAGGAGAGCAAGGCCGGTATCAGGGACCGAGAGGCCACGGTTGAGCTTACCGCCGGGAACATTGACATTGAGGGACTACAGAGCCAGATAATGGTGTCAGTCATGACCTTTTCCTCAAGAACAGTCAGTCAAGAGGGGTTGCTTACCTTCTCGAACCACTCAAGCGCATTGTCAGGGAGGTTGTAGCGCTTTGCATGGTCAAGGATATCCTGAGCCAACTTAGGGAAAATAGCCTCGAAGTCGGCGCGCTTGGTAGTAGAAGCCATGATGACAAGTGGTACAGTATCAATGAGCTGACAGGAAGGACGAAAACATTCCCAACATAAAAGGACCATTTCCCCGCGGAGGGACCGTTTGTCCTGTTTGTCTTGTTTGCCCAGTTTGTTGTGTTGTGGTTTCTCCAGGCGCAACCCGAGGACGACGTGGATTCCTCAAGGCCATTGAACGATCTTCACCTTATTTTCGAATTTGTGAGAAGCTATAGCTTGCTCCAGATCTCTACTATTCTTCTTCTCGTTCTTTCCCAGTACGCGGGTTGCTGTCTCATCCGTATCAACAACGCGAGGGCCAAGACCATTTATTTACACCACCGGACCTTCGCAAGTCGAGTCGCAATTGAACCTCTGCTCGGTGAGCTTCTTTCAACTAGGAGAAGCATGAAATCGAATTGTCGCACAACGTCTTGATATACTGAAAGCTCCATCGGCGCCACAAAGCTGTGTTTGAACATTCCACTGCCTATTTGCGGCAAAGACTCTCGTCATGGAAGAACCTATGGATGATGGGATCCGGGAGCTTATGTACCAGCTGGAAAATGCTGCAATTAAGTGCTCTGAGCGATGTCTCTATCAATCGGCAAAATGGTACGACTTACGAGCTTGATTTGGATAGTCCTGGAGTGCTAATGATGCTGACGAACTCAGGGCCGCTGAAATGCTTGACTCCCTCCGGCCTTTAGATCATGAAGACACCGATCTCGAGTCTCCCATGGAGATTTCAGAACCTCCTGCACCACCAACAAACCCTTACCTCCAAGTGCGCGACCCAGTAGAAGCCGCCCTTGAATCGCAAGAGTCCTACAAATACCTGCTGGCCAAATCTTACTTCGATACCCGTGAATATGACCGATGCGCGGCCGTATTCCTCCCTCCGACAACACCGCCCGTTCCTTTGTCAATTACCTCGCCGAACTCTAAGCCGAGGTCATCGCTGACTCCACACAAGGGCAAGGATAAAGCTTCACCGTTTCAAAGCTCAAAGGCACAAAAGACCCAAATAAAGCAAAATCCATATCCAAAACTCAGTCAGAAATCGCTCTTCCTCGCCCTGTACGCAAAATATTTAGCCGGTGAAAAGCGCAAGGAAGAGGAAACGGAGATGGTGTTAGGTCCAGCAGATGGTGGGATGGCGGTCAATCGAGAGTTGCCGGGTCTCGCCAGAGGTTTAGATGGGTGGTTATCTGAACGAACCGCGCAGGGGTTGGATGATAGGGGACAGGGATGGTTGGAGTATCTGTATGCTGTGGTCTTGTTAAAAGGACGGAATGAGGAGCTGGCGAAGAAATGGCTGATCCGCTGTGTGCATCTAAACCCATACCACTGGGGTGCCTGGCAGGAGCTAAACGACCTCTTGGGCAGCACAGAAGATGTAAGTTATTCCCATCAGAACTTCCTTCAGTCGATACTAATTTTACCAGTTGAAACAAATCCTCGAACTTCTGCCACAAAACGTCATGAGCTTAATATTCTACGTCTACTGCAGCCAGGAACTGTACCAGGCCACGGAAGACACCTACAGGTCACTCTCAGAGCTGCAGTCAATGTTCCCAGAAAGCGCATTCCTCAAAACACAACACGCGTTATTGTTATATCACTCAAAAGGTGAAATGCCCTGGCTCCGACTCAACCCGTGGTTGATTCATGAACTAATATCATGCAGACTTCGAAGAGGCATCCCATATTTTCGAAGGCATTCTGGCCACATCACCTCACCGCTTAGACAGTCTGGATCATTATTCGAACATCCTTTACGTGATGGACCAGCGACCTCAACTCGCATTCATTGCTCAGGTCGCAACGGCCACCGACAAATTCCGCCCAGAAACCTGCTGTGTCGTGGGTAACTACTACTCATTGAAATCCGAGCATGAGAAGGCAGTAATGTACTTCCGACGTGCCCTCACCCTTGACCGGAACTTCTTATCTGCATGGACCCTCATGGGCCATGAATACATCGAGATGAAGAATACCCACACCGCCATCGAGTCGTACCGTCGAGCTGTCGACGTCAATCGTAAGGACTACCGCGCCTGGTACGGTCTCGGACAAGCCTACGAAGTCTTGGATATGTCTTTTTACGCCCTGTTTTACTACCAGCGCGCCGCAGCGCTACGTCCATACGATCCAAAGATGTGGCAGGCAGTCGGATCGTGCTACGCAAAGATGGGCCGAGTAGAACAGAGTATTCAAGCTTTAAAGCGTGCATTGGTGGCTGGATCATTACAACCAGATGACGGCGGACAACCGGGAACCGGCGCAAGCCCTGGCCCTGGCAGTCGGAAGATCCTTGACCCAGAAACACTGCACCAAATTGCGACGCTGTACGAACGTCTCGGCGACGAAGAGGAGGCCGCTGCATACATGGAACTCACTCTCCAACAGGAGTCTGGTGCTCCTGCCAATGAAAACCCAGATGACGACGAGTCCTCTACTTCGGAGAATGGCCTTCAAAGCGATGCTGAGATTGAGCATTCAGGAGACGAAGAGCTTGATCTGCCGCAACGACGTCGCCGTAATCGCAAGCCTCGCGCAAAGGCTGAGTCATTTGCTATGCAGAATGATGACTCCATTGTTAGTGAGACATGGAACGGTACCGGTGTTACAGCGACTACATCCAAGGCACGGTTGTGGTTGGCTCAATATGCGTCGCGGAACGGTGATCTTGATCGTGCCGACCAGTTAGCAAGCGAGTTGTGTCAGGATGGAATTGAAGTGGAGGAGGCCAAGGCGTTGATGAGGGACGTTAGGGCGAGAAGGGAGGGTGCAACCTAATTACATCGATTGAATGAGATATGTATGGATTATCATGACAGCGAAACATCCGTGGCTTTTACTGGTCTTTATATAATAGCTACGATTTTAGACCCTCGCAGAGGCAATGCAAGCGGTGAAGTAGCGGCTTCTATATGAAGTGTTCACGTCTAGTATGATTGTCATTCATAAAAAGCAAATGGGTATCAACTATATAAAACATGAGCTAGAGGTTCGATCGAGCTATACTCGCCCAACACAGCAATGGCAGTTTCATCAAAGGTCATCTCAATCCATGGGCTCCTTGGTCCAGAGCCTCCGTGCTCTGGTGGCTCCTTTGGCGTGTCACAACGACGGCGATCCGAATCAGAGCGTAGTTGCTCTCTTCCCATGGATATGCCATCAGATCGCTTGCTGAGACTCCATGAAAGACAGCCATAGAAATGATCACGTCCGATACTTGTCCATGTATCACGCAAACAGAAACGAAGGTCACCGGGGCATAGATCATGTTCCAGCATGCTTGATCCCAAAAAGAATATGCTTCCTATGGAGGGCAGTGGACCTGTTCCAGTATCGACGAAACTGGAAAGGGTTTTGGCGAGACGATGCATTTCTTTCCCTAGTTGAGTTGCTTTGGGATCAAACAGGGCAATGCCATATCCTGTCCCCTGTGATGCAGCATAAGGGTTGGACTGTCGGAGGGAAGAAGCAGATTCATCAGAGCAGAGACACTCAACAAATTCATCCAAATCACAATATTCGTGATCGTCGTTGGATTCTTCATCAATTTTGGGGAGTGTAAAACTTCCCAGTGATGTTTCAGGCGTCCATATGGGGATAGTCGTCAAAGGAGATTGGGGTGACATCTTGCGTTTGTGCTTGGATGATGTTGGCACCAATGGCTTATCCGGAAGCCATTCCTGCGACTCGTGTGACTGTTGAAAGTGCTCGTGTGCGGATATGAAACTGGTTGTCCGCACGGGATGTAAAAAGTCCGAAGATTTCTGCGACGCGATCTTTCCTTCCTTCTGGCTGGAATGTTGACGAGACGACAGGTTCTCATTGTCGACGAGTACACTATTCTCAACAACAGGGTTTTCATCATTTTGCGTGGGAGGCATTGTCTCATCGACGTAGACTAGTAGGGGCAGAGGATAGTCATTGTATGAATTACCATGGCTCCCTTTTCGTATCGAATCTTCACGCAGCCCTTCCATCAATGGACGTGCGTCCATAAAACTTTCTTCAGAAGTAGTGGTGGCTTGGGGAACCTGGGATGACGGGGAATGGGTTTCCTCGTCGGTGTCTGAACAAGTCGCTTCTGGGCTTGGAGATCGCACAATATACTGATTAAGTCCACTGCAAGCCTCGAGGCGTCTTGCCCATTTCTCGCGTTCTTCAAGTTCATCCGCAGGCACAGCCCGGGCATGTTCTGCCGAAAGCAGCAGTTCATGGAATGACGTACACTCTTCCAGTGTTCGGTCCGAGTGGATTTTCAAAATCCGAGGAAATCGAAGTGTGGAGTATCTCGCACCAGACGGCTTTTCAAATCCACTGCCCAGCATTTCGACGATGAAGGGCTGCTTGAACAAGGTTGTTGCAAGGGGAAGGGCCTGGTGCCCGTACTCAATGAGAAACCATTCGAAATTCTCAGGTTGACGTGCATGAAACTCGCCGATTTGATTGAGGGTTTGCATGTTCTGAATGCTCATGCAATGCCGGTTAATCACATCAATGATTCGGAAACGCGGCAAATCACCGCGCTCTTTGACATGGTCTGGGTTCAGAAGACAGGCAACAAAAAAGTGAGTCCATTTCAGCCCTTGTATTTTTCCCAGATCAGGAGCGTCCCGCGTGTTGTAGCTAGCTCCGACCAATGCAAGATCTAATGTGTCTCCAAGACCGGGTATATAATCTTTCTTGAGTTTGATCCACCGGCCACACACATGATCCGTATCAGTAGAGTATGTCGGAAAATAAGGCTCATCAGAAGCCTTCAAGACATATCCCTCCCAACGTTTAGTAATTGCTTTCTCGAAACTCCGTTCGAGCCGATGGTAACTATCAGGTCGGTTGAAGTCCAGAACTTCCTGATAGGCAAGGTCCGCCCGGCCTGGGATGGTCTTTACTACTTGTTGTAAGAGTAGTCGTCTTTCCCGATGCGGCTTGGCAAGGCATACGTCGTTATCGAGGAGGAGAATGTCAAAGAACATGATCATCAAGTGCTCGTACGGTTGCGGCCTGTATCAATCAGCATAGAGTCCTATTATTTAAAGGAGTCGTGATTTACGGAGAATCATTATCAACCCCAATCATAATGCCAGATCGTGGAATAAACCTTCGAATTTTGCTAAAGTCCATCAGGTCACAATTCTGGTCATTCCATACAAGCAGCTCTCCCTCCACGATACATCGGTGCGCAAATTTGCAGTCAGGCAATCCAGTGCGGAGCGTTTCTTCTATCACAGGTATGATTTTATCTTTATCGGCGGTCGAGTCCTTGCCACTTTTGGAGAAGATCTGGATGGGGGTATACTTGTTAGAGAGATCGACGTGAATCTGACAGTATTCACCATCGTATTTCCGTTCAATGCTCATTCGACGACCATTGGCCATTTGGTGACAATGTTTGATACTCCGAGCTTTGTAATAGTCAGGTCGTCCCACCTTGATACCAGGACGAGGACGCATATGTTGTAGAGCAATGGTGCTAAGACTCTTGGCTGTTTGGGGATCCGGGTTCGGAGGGAAGTGGTTTATTGGGTCTGAAGCGAGCATCTCCAACGCCCCTTCAAAGGAGTTCTGAAGCTGGAGCAGTTGCGGCAGAAGAAAGTGAAATTTCTTCAGGGTGTACTTTTCTGGGAAAACGACGGGGGAGTAGCTTTTGAGAATCATGCGAGTGAGCCATTTGGCATCGCGGCTACTCGATCGACGGTACAGCTTTGATAAGGTCTCTTCAACATCCACAGCTGTACGATTCCGGCGGGCATGAGGGCCAGAGAAGCGGCAGCGTGATGCAATCATAGCCATGGCGCGATCGACTTCTTCTACCGACAACTCCTGGCCGGCTGGAATGTAATTCTCGGCTTGCCGCATGACAATTTCGACACACCTTCCGAGATCAGAACCACCAGGTCTTTGCCATCTATTGAGTTCGGAAAGTCGGCACGATCCCAAGCCCAAGCAGCGGCCAATAACTCTCGATAGCTGCGTAGCTTGCAGCCAGTATACTCGGTCCGTGCGTTTTTCGGGGAACATGCACGAGAGCAACGCCACACGGTCTGTGCTGGCGTTATGAATGGTCCGTTCATGTCGAGAGAACCACTGCGCGACTGTTCTAATATCAGGATTATCATTCTTGGCCACCGTGGATGCCTTGGCCGTTCTGCTGTCATCTAGGCTGGTCAACAGATCACACAAGAAGGTGAATTTGAAGCCCATGGCCCATATCCACGTGAGTCACCTAGTGACTCTGCATGAAATTGTGGGATAATTTTTGAGGTACAGCCAAGTCGGCCAAAACTCGAGACTCCCGAGAGGACCCGTCCGAACGCGAAAAGAGGAAAGAGCGATGACACGTGTGCACGTGACCACTTTAGCCCCATATGGAGAACTATACGAAGTAGATCGGGGTGACGATGTAAAGACAGCTGAATCCTTGTCATCTTGAGGATTTTTAGACTAAAATTTCCAAGGATAAAACATATGACTAGTATGATTGATCTCAAATAGCGAACTGTAAACCCTCTTACTCGATCCATTGTACAGCAGTAAGACCATAAACGATCAGGCGCATTTGGTGTGCCAGAAAGAGATCAACATGAATATATTGGGATATATGAACAGGACTGAGCAAAAGGCAAGACATGAAGAGAAGTGACTATGTACTCCCAAGCGTTTTCAAGAATTTCTTCTGTGCATCTTCGGTATCCCTTTTGCAATTTTCAACAATTTCTTCCAGCTCATAACATATTTGCGCTGACCTGGCACCATGAATCCTCACCTGTCCTGCTTGGAAATTGTCGGCAGTAGCAGTCCCACGTGTCAAGTCCCAGAAACCAGCTTGCATGACAGGATCAATAAAGAAGTCTGGTGACGCTTTTTTCAGGTGCTCTTTGTAGAACAGGATAGATGAAGTCATGACTGGATAGATGGGAGGTCAGCATATTGAACAGAAGATAATTAGTGCGGATGTAATGATCATACCGTGACAGGAGGCCAATATCTTCTGTGAATCCTTCTTCGAGATTTCCATCTTCATTCGTCTTAAGAAACGGTCCAATTTAACGACAACGAGAACTTTGTCAAAGGAACATGTAATATCCATAGAATCCTTAAGGAACTCGAGATTCCCAACGCGCCTGCATTATTAAAAAAAAAGATCAATATTCGCCAAAGAGCTGTTGCCAAGGAGCGCAACTTACCATTCGGCTTTAGTCTCGAAATCATCCATGCCTTTCGCTCCCATTGATTTCCATTCTCTTATGGCGTCTTGCAGGCGGTAATACAAATTAACAAGCGCTATCATCCAGTTAGCGAAGTAATAAGTATGTACTTAACTAGTGGTATATCATTATCTCACCGTCCAGAGAGCCGAGAGTTGCTGATATGGTATGTATGGATTTCCCATCCTGGTTAGTAAACACAACCGCTTCGGACCCCACTATCTGAATATCGAGTTCAAGGACTGTAATTGTCAGCTTCGGTCATCTCACGCTTGATCTTTGGAAGTCGCTTACTGTTTTCCTTGAATACCACCGCCTTCTCGTCATGTGGTTTGGTTCCACACACGAGCATGAGAGATTCACCCTCTATAGGATAATCGAGGTATAGATAGGGATAGATGTATGACTTTTCAGTCCCATCCGAGTACCCTATTTGCACGTTTGAAACCCTACCGGAGTTAGCAGGTCTTATATATCAACGGGGTGTTTCAGGTATACCTTTTCATATAGGATGAATGATGGTAGAACTCGTTGGAAAGGGCAAATGGAAGATCCATGCGCTGAAGATATCGGATACCATAGAGATGGCCCAAGAATTTCTCTCGATCTAACCGACATGAGTAAGTCTTCCAGACATTCTAACTTACCCATTCCACCTACCTTGGACACTGTCGAAATTTACGAGCACTTGTTGAGAATCTGGTTTGGATTTCAATGCAAATTCTTCAAGTGCGAGATGGAACTGGTCATTATCATCGCGTCTGTCAAGCTCGCTCAGGGGACACACGCCACCCTTGAAGTTGCATTGCGCAATAATAAGACTGGATTTCCCTACTGGGACAACAAAGCGCTCGGTCGATGCTGCATAATGTCAGTATTAGACAAGTAGATAGAATAGATGGACAAAGACTTACATTCTTCCAGCTGCATGAAATATAAATCTCCGGGTGTAGGGCCTTTGAATAAAATATGTGCCCGAATAGGCGTCATCATCTCGTTCGCTGGACTTCTCTCCCAGCTACAGAAGAGGCTGATTTTCTTCTCTCCGACAGATCTGAACAGTGATAAGTTCGATGCGGATGGATACATGTAGGAATGCGGTGGATATCTCACATTTCACATATGCGAACAAGCCCTGGACTGTTGAGATCGGGGGCATCTTTGCCTTCGTCCTGGTTTATACCGAAAATGCCGGGATTAGTCCAGTCGGTGGTATTTGGCCCTGGGATGATGTATGAAACACCGGCACTGGAGCTCTCTGCATCTGACGGTGCGTCTTCGGAATCGCTTAGTTGCGAGGGCGCAGGGTCTGCAGGGTCTGCAGGGTCTGCCTCGAAACCCGCTAGCTTCTTTCTCCACGACAGAGGTGTCCGAGTCGCGGGGGCGGCGGGCGATGTGAGAAGTAACTTCTTCTGAAGTTGAACCACCACATCTTCAATCTTCGTCGTTGTAGTACTTTTGACTTTTGTTAGTAACTCCCGTATCGAGCATTGGGTTTACATACCTCGTTTGAACAGACAATAACAAATCCAGCGAAAGCTTATAGCTCTCGACCTTTCTCAATGAGTCCTGAATCTCCTTCTCTTTGAGCGTCCACTTGACTTTCTTCTTGAGTGCTTCGAGTTTTGAGCTTGATACCAGTCCTTTCAAGGACTTCTCCAGCTGTAGATACGTATCACCACAGTCATCCAAAGTAGTGTTGAGTGCATTAAGCCATTCTGAGTTCTTGGCGGCTTTGGCGGACTGGAACTGAACAATCTGTTGAATCTGCGATAGGATTCCCCTCACAGCGTGGACCTCTCTGGACAGCGAGTCTAGCTCTTTATTGTTCTTTGTGTTTACTGTGTGGATGATATTGACGATCTGGGTTGATATGGTGATGAGACCAGCCAAAGAAGCGGCAATAGAAAGGGGATCCATTGCAGATATCTTTAGAGCCGAGGTAGTACGGGGAATGGTAATGCAGAGTATGTAGCTGGATGATGCATTTTCTTATATCCGTGGCATGCAGACTCGCGGGACATAGTACTCGCTTTGACTTTCGAGGCTGTCCTTGGCGACCTCGTATCTGCACTAATACGGGTGGAGGATTTTTAGCGTGTTCCTTTCATGATTTTACGCCCAATCCTCGCGTAGATCATAGATCATCAGAGGATGGATATGAACATAAGGATATTTTAATTTCGGGGGAGAAAATGTGACAAAAACATGCCTTCGAACAGTAAAAATAGACACATGACCAAGGTAGAATTTAGGTCGTCGGGAAGGCCAAACTAGATCTGACGGAATCGGATCTTTATACGAGGTCCTACTTGCCCTATTAGGTACCTACATATCTACATATGTAGGTATAACCCGTACTCCATGTGGAGTACTGATTAATTCTACACATATAACCGTGCCAAGCGAAACTACAGGCTTGAGACTGGAATGTAGCCATACTTGTCACGGACTCGTGCCGAAAAGAATACATATGTATGATACGAACTCCCGTTGTAAATTTTGACGGGTGTTTTGTTTTATTCGTTACAGTAGGGTTGTGGAAAATAACAAATCTGTGCCCATAAGCCACTTCAAACCCCAGAACGAGGTTGAAAAACTATGCATTCGCCGAACACCGAGCCATTTGTATGAATCAAGGACGCCGGAGATAAAAAAGAAAAAAAGAGAAAAAAAATAAAAAGTCCTCCCCCTCTAGAGAATGCCCTGCTTTTGCAAATCCAAGTAGATCCTTTCGGGCATAACGTTACCCTCTGCATCCTCCATCTGAACGACATTATCGCGTGACTCTCTCTCCTTCTTCTTATCCTTCTCCAGTTGCGCCCAAAGCGACTGGGCCTCATCGATATTGGTGATCTCACGGAAGAGGTTGAAGTTGGAGGTAACACCGAGGCACTTCAATCCGTGGATGTGGAGGTTTTCAGAGAAATGTTTGTCGAATGCTCGTCGACCCATGTAGGTGTAGTTTCCGCAAATCTGGCATGGGTATTCGACACCGAGGCCATGGAGCTTGTAGAGCCAGAAGGGAATAGGCTTTCCATCCCATGCCAGTGGCAACTTCAACGGGTTGTAAACGATCTCTTCGTCCTCTTCCTCCGATTCTTCGCCGGCACGAGGCTCGGGACCTGTGTGGTCGAGCCCAGCCTGCACAGCCTCCCATTCCAGTTGGCGTTCACGTTCAGTCATACCCTGTCGGCGCTCGACATTGATTCTTGTCGCTTGTCGCTCCTCGCGCAGGACATTCGTCAGGGATCGAATTTGGTGTTCGCGTCGTGCAACTGCGCGCTCCTTGAGGCTATGGGCCAAAGACGTGCCTTGGGATGCAGATGGTTTCTCATCGGATGTGCCTGCTGCTTTGCGGGCTTCTGCCGCTCGGATGTGTTTCTTGCCGGTCAAGTGGCTCCGGTACACGTTCTCGTTCTTGAATTCCTTCTCGCAATCCGCGCACCAAATGCCCTCGCCGGTCCCTTCGGTTGCTGGGCCGGATGTACCATTCTCAGTCTTTTCTTCTGTCCAGCCCGGGACCTCCTTCGCAGCCCATTGCTTTTCGAATTCCTGTTCGAAGCTGGCGAAAAGATCGTTCAGGGGTTGCAATGGCTGAACTCTCTTGATGAAACTTTCCAGATAGCTAGAAAGGTCGCCAACATAGTTGAAGTAGCGATCGGAAAGCTTGTCTTTGCGCTTGATTGGCAAGGCGGGCGGTGTGAAGGAGTCGAAGATGTCGAGATATTGAACGTAGGACAAGCGCTTGACGCCGGGAAGATTCAGGTAATCTTCATGAAGCATGGTGAGATCCAGATACTGTCCAAACCCTTCTTCGCCAGTGAACATATTGTCGATTGCGGTGCGGGGAGCCTCTCCTTCGCCGGGCTGAACGCGGTTGTATGCTTGCTCGAGGTTCTCGATCGGTTCGTTGGGGTAGCGCTTGTGGTAATCTTTGATTTCACCCAGCTGTTTGTAGAACTCTTCGAATTGGTCGCCTGTTGAAATAGACTGCACTTCTTTCTCTCGCAATCCATCGGCATCCTGGTAGATCTCCAGGAGTCGCTGGGACTGGCTCTCAATTCTGTCTAGAAACTGAGAGATTTCATGGTCGCGAGCCAAACGGCCTCGAGCCTGACAAATAGTAAAGTTAGAAAACGTGACTTTGACATTGTTCGGCGGCATACTCACATTTCGGGGCTCCTCCGCCACGCGATCAGCGATAGCCTGCTCCAGGCGCTCTAGATCCTCGTGGATGAACCGTTGGTCTTCGAGCAACATATTTTCAATATGTCTGCTGCGCAAGAACTGATTTTTATCGGCGCGCAAAGAGTGTTGACAAAGTTTCGTGGTGATCGCAAAAGACGTTGGCAATTGGCAGCTCCAACTTGCGGGAAGGTCATGTGACCCGAACCTTTCCACCGCGAAAAGTTGGGCCGGTCGACCTCACTTACTTTAGGCTTCACTCTTCGTGAATCCCGATATCATTTATTGTCTGACATTGAAATACAAACATTTACATCATGGCGGACGGAATCGACAGACGCGCGGAGGGTATGTGGTTCCAAAACTTGGCGCAAGATGAACCATGCTAACAGCAACTAGAGCGCATGGAGTTCAACACCTCCAAGGAGGTGACGGTCGCGCCGACCTTCGAGGACATGCACCTGAAGGAAAGTCTGCTTCGCGGAGTCTACGCTTACGGATACGAATCGCCTTCGGCTGTGCAATCTCGTGCGATTGTACAAATCTGCAAAGGTCGCGACACTATTGCCCAGGCCCAGTCCGGTACTGGTAAAACTGCCACATTCGCGATCAGTACCTTGCAGATTATCGATACTGTTGTGCGCGAGACCCAAGGTATGCCTTTTCCCCGGTTCAATCTGATCCTATCCTATCCTAACCACGATCTGGTTTGTAACAGCTCTGGTTCTCTCCCCGACCCGTGAACTCGCAACCCAAATTCAATCCGTCGTTATGGCTCTCGGTGATTACATGAACGTCCAGTGCCACGCTTGCATTGGAGGAACCAACGTTGGTGAAGATATCCGCAAACTCGACTACGGCCAACACGTTGTCTCGGGAACTCCTGGTCGTGTGGCCGATATGATCCGGCGCCGAAACCTACGCACACGTCATATCAAGATGCTGGTTCTCGATGAAGCCGATGAGCTCCTTAACCGCGGTTTCCGTGAGCAGATTTACGACGTTTACCGTTACCTGCCTCCCGCGACGCAGGTCGTTGTGGTCTCTGCCACCCTCCCATACGATGTCTTGGACATGACCACAAAGTTCATGACTGACCCCGTCCGTGTCCTGGTCAAGCGTGACGAGTTGACACTGGAAGGTATCAAGCAATACTTCATTGCCGTTGAGAAGGAGGAATGGAAGTTCGACACACTTTGCGATCTGTACGATACCTTGACTATCACCCAGGCTGTTATCTTCTGCAACACCCGCCGAAAGGTCGACTGGCTTGCCGACAAGATGCGTGAAGCCAACTTTACTGTCTCCAGTATGCACGGCGAGATGCCTCAGAAGGAGCGTGATAGTATTATGCAAGACTTCCGTCAGGGCAATTCTCGTGTTCTTATTTCTACTGATGTCTGGGCCCGTGGTATCGATGTTCAGCAAGTCTCTCTTGTTATCAACTACGATCTGCCTACCAACCGTGAGAACTACATTCACCGTATTGGTCGATCTGGACGATTCGGCCGCAAGGGTGTGGCCATCAACTTTGTTACCAGCGATGATGTCCGCATCCTTCGCGACATCGAGTTGTACTACTCGACCCAAATTGATGAAATGCCAATGAACGGTAAGCCTCTCAGCTACGACTTTTCTATTGCTATGCTAATGATGTTATTCCAGTTGCGGACTTGCTTTCATAATCCCCATTGCCTGTTAAGGTCCTCGGGTGGCTTGTGACTGTAACATCTTTCCTTACGCCAAAAGCGACTTGGCTTCGTTCCTTCTGGTCTTCTGCAAGTGGATTTTGCTCGCATTGCTGATTGAATACGACTCGGAATCCGGCACAATGGGTTCGAAGGAAATCCAAGGCCAGCTCTAGCGTGGAGGAAAGGGATAATAACATATTTCAGTAAGTAAATGACTGCCACTCACTTACCATCCAGTGCTGACAATCCGGGATAGTTTGCCAAAATGCCAGCCGATTTACGCACCCCAGGTGTTTACGATTTTGCTTATTTCCAAAAATTTCGGGCCTCCGGCCTAAGTAGCAGGGACTTTTTCTTTATGTTTGGAGTTTCTTCTTTTTACTTTTTGACCCTAGGAATCATGAATGATGGAATCACTTTTACTTTTGTACAATTTAGCCCTGCTTCTTGGCCGTAAGTCTTCCTTCTAGTCTGGCGACATAAATTGAATCAGTAGTTGAGGAAAAAGAAACAATTGAGGCACGTCAACAAGTTTGTTACTCTATTCCTGCGCTAGTTACTACCAGATCGGAGTTTACATAGGAACGAGAATATAAATAGTAGATTTGATTCAATCAGAGACTTGCAACAAAACGATTGAATAAGAGATGACTAAGAAAGCCCCCCCAAAAGCAAAACCGAAGGACTGGACCAAGGACAGAAGATATGTACTCCTAAAAACCCAGAAAGATACGGACCAACGCCAGCTTCCTGTATTGAAAGAAATAGATGCTAGTTGCAGAGAGTAATCAGCATAAGGAGTGAAAGGGGGACTCGAGTGATGTATATGCGCAAGGCAGCATGATGTGGATATGCCGGGCAGTTGAGGCGAGAACACAGAAGAGAATCCGAGAAGAACAAGAAAACTTTGCAAGACAGCAGGTTTATCGTCTTTCAATCCAAAGCTCCGAGTATGTTCCCTCGATCAAATACGGTATCGTGGGGAAACTAAATAGAGACAGCCAACAAGCAGGATCAAAACTGCACAGGCGACGTTGGGGTAGTCATCGTCGATGTGCAGTACATGGATATCAGAAAGCGGATGTTGTCCTCAATGCGCTAGTCCGTGTAAAGCCATTTGAGGGTATCCCGTTGCGTTGAACTGGTCCTACTGGACGGGATCGATTGCCCTCTCGAGACCAGCTAGAAATCTAAGTTAGCGGTGTTGTTGAATGCGAGACGAGGACAAAAGTGATTCTTACATCCTTACTGCACTGTCGTCGCCTGCCGATGCGAACATTCCCGGGTCGGCCGGGTTCCATGATATGGAGTTCACGCATCCAGAGATATGCCCATCCAGAGTCTCTACGATGTTGCCATTTTCCTTGTGCCAGATGTAGACTTTCGAGTCTGGAAATAGTTAGTAACGATACCAGAAATGATATGTTGGGATATTCACCTTCACTTCCGCTGACGACAAAGTTCTCAGCTGCTCCCCCGAACGTGCTGCGAATGACGAACTCGCCTTGTTTCTGTCCCTTGAACTGACGGACAACAGCAGTGGTTTCCATGTCAACTAGTTGGATATCGTGCTCAGCCAGGTTTATAAGAACGTGCCGCGAGTCTTTGCTGATAGAAACCGAGGTCGGTTTGCTCGGCACTGGAAGGCAGTAGTCTTCTTCGTATGTAAGCATGTTGTACACATGAACCTTCGCTTCTGTGTCGGCAGCAACAAGACGTCGTCCGTCGGCGCTAATGGCACAGTCCTGTACACGGAATCCGCCTTTCCATGTGTATAGAGGCTGACCACGCATGCTCCAGTGACGGAGTTGGGATTCAGAGTCGAGAGAGGCTGTCACAAAAGATTCACCATCTGCTGCCCAGGCAGCTGCAGTCACCGGTTGACGGTGGTGGTTGATGGTAAGCAGACAACGACCGCTCTAAACCATGCACAGCTCGAGTTAGCATATTATTATGGATTTACATGGGACCGGAGAAATTATTACCTCAACGCTCCATACGCGTGCCTTTTTATCTTGCGAACAAGTAATTAGTTTGGAGTCATCTGGACTCCAACTGGCGAACGCAACTCCGTCCTCGTGTTCTGTAAGCCTGTGAATAACGCTGAAATCGATTGTGTTATAGATGAGCACGTTATGGTCCTTTCCTGCAGTAACAAGCTTGGAGCCATCGTGAGAGAACTCGCAGTACCATACTTCATCCGAGTGCTGAGTCAAGTCCACAATGACGTCTAATGGGAAGTCGTTTCGATCACACATGTGGTCCGAGTAGAGCGACGGAGGGTCGGCGGTATTATGATAAACGCAGTTGTTGATCTGAGACTGCTTGACGTGGTCTAGTAAGATGGCCAGGCGATGTTGCGGGATCATCACAGAAGGAGAAATGGATTCTGCGGCTGAATTAGCAACCCGGTTACACCACAGACATTGGAGATTCGATCAAGCTCACTTGACAGCTCGCCAAGAAGTCGTTCACGAGACGAGCTAACGGAGCCATTCCATCCCGTTTGGGCATGTAAGACCTCCGTTGGGCACATAAGGAGACTAACAAAAATAACTGGTAAGCAAATCTTGTTCTATAGATACCTATTGATGGGCAATACCTTGATAGGGCGTGTAGACGCTCAACATCAAAATTCAAGGGCGTCAGTTCCTGGCGAAGGACGTTGAGAGCTGCAGCTAGGTCACGCGCTTCTAGCAACTCGAGGAATTTCTGCTGCCGGAGATAGAATAGCATCTCGTTCCTATCGGCCTCCTCTGATAATACCAGGGTCTCTTCTTGTGGGGATTTCCTGTCGACCTGTTGTGACCCGGCATTTCGAAACGATTGAATCAGGATTCTCTCGGCTTCTAGCCATCGTCCACCTAACACCGCACTCCGGAACGTTGCGACCCCTGATGTTTCCAGTTCATAGCCGCTCTCCGAGCTTAACAGTGATGCCGACCCATTATAACCCAGCTCATATAAACTCTGTATCAAAATCCGCGTCACCTCCTCCCGGTTGTGGCCGTAGTAGGTAGAAGATAGGGATGGCGTTTTAGAGCCATTTGTCTGAGAGCTCCCGTTGGTTGCCGCTTGCCCGTTCAAGCCAGTCTTCCTCGATGTCGAAGCACGTGATTCGTCCGAGGCGTCTACGAAGCCATTTTCTGTTGATATTCCGTCGGGACGCATGATTACCAGGCGCCTGCGCTTGGGGGAAGGAGGTCGGCCGTCCGGTCGGCCAGGAAGATGGCTGGGGTAGTTCTGAGATGTAGTCTCACGTGCTATCTGTGGAAGGTGTCCGGTCCCTGCCGATGAGGGACCAAGGTTATCCGGGCTGCTCGAAAGGCGGCGGCGGCGGTTGGGCCGAGGGGTAGATGAACTGGATGGTTGGGATGCGGACAGGAACTCTGACGTTTGGGAGCCGGGATTGCCTACCGAGGCAGGAGCTGTATTGGGTAAAGGAGGATCAGGGTGGTCGGAGGTGATAAAGGGGTGTGGTGAATGGTGAGCCAGTTCGACAATATCTTTAGATCTGCCCAATCCCCTGGCTCTTTGGAAGAACCAGGTGAGCAGACCTCAAGCGGTGGCGGGTGTCCGATAAGTAATCGCCGGGAGCTCCGTTGGAGAGGGGCGATGCAGATGTCACAAGGTCAAATGGATGATCACTAGCTTGAGCTAATAGTCACAGATGTAACAAATGATCAAAGAGCTGTAGATCTTAAGAAATCAGGCGGTTGTAATGATCTCTCTGAGTTGGGAACTGGTTGGGGCTTATCGGGGAGAGAGGAGAGGAGAGAGATAAAGAGATGGAGAACCGACCACCTCCAGACAGCAACGAGAGTCCGAATATCAAAATATGGAATGTTAAATATCAGACAAATGTCAAATGTCAAATGGTTCAAATGGTACATAAAAAGAAAAAAAGAACAAAAGAACAAAAAGAACAAAAAAACAAGATTGGGTTGTTGGGTAGCCCAGCGGAAAAGCACCCCATCTACAGCGTAACACCGTGGACCTCTCCAGAGCTACTATGTACTTACACTGCCTAGGAGAATTTCGCTATTTATATCAATGATCTTTATACGACTTGTATAAAACCTGCCTATAACTACGGAAAAAAAGGTGCGACCAACTTGGTTATATATTCCCCTCCGTTTGTTCTACCGAAAAATTATCCATAGAAGGTAACCTACAACACATTTGGAGATCTTGGTTACCTCTAGATGAAGTTGCCGTTACGTTGGAGCAGGTATATCCTGTAGATGCTGGAGATGTAAAATGCCATAGACCAGCAGAGAAGTCTTCCAGTCTGGCGAAATTAAAAGGCTCCGGGGCTATATATAGCACGGGAGGTTTATATCTCGTATAGACATCGGTGGCGAGCTTTAGGAGGCGTGCAAGTATAAGCATGGAGTGTTCTATCCTCGAATATTAATAATTATAGTTATTTACCGCATTATATTCTACTAGTAAGAACGTTGTTGCTAGGACATTATCGGAGAGGCGAAGCTCTACTCAAGGCTCGAAATCCAACTGGCTATCGATCTTACAGAGTCACACTCGATTGACTATCACTAGGGCACGTTCTTGGTCAGGCACCAGCGCTTCCATATCGTTGTCCGCACTGTATAGTACTAGGTCTAGACTGAATGTATTATGGATAGGGAATTAGTAGGGCAACGGATCATCGGCTCGTCCATCTTGTGATGTGGAACTGGCTAGAAAGCAAAGGCATATTATTAGACTGGACAAACCGGACACTCGAGAGAATGGAACGTAGCTTCCCTGACCATGACTATACAAATCGCGGTTTGTGGAACACGTATATGCCCCACGCCCTAGATCTCATTAAGAGAGTCGATCTCCAGCGCTCCAAGCAAGGTCCGAACCCGGTCTACAAAGCCTCAAGGTGCCTTTTGGCTGACGGTCGGGCTAGAGAAGCATCCTTTTGGCTAAGTGAATTGAACGATTTGCTAGAAGGATCTCTAGCTAAAGAGGACCCCCGCCGACTATCATTACAGCATTTCCTCGCCGTTGCATATCGAGGCAGTGGGCAGGTCGGCAAGGCAATCAAGCTGCTTAAGCATGCCGTTACCCCACAAGAGAAGTCTCTAGCTGAGGAGCACCTTCAGCGACTAATGGCGCTACAAGCCCTTGCCGTCGCATATCGAAAATGATGACCATGTCGGCGAGGCAACCAAGATATACGAGCATGTGGTTGCAGTGCAAAAAATATCTCTAGCTAAGGATCACCCTCATCGACTAGATTCCCAGCCGGCGCTGGTACTGGCGCAACAAGCGTATGAGAAAGAGCTATGTCTACGCAGCGGCGGTATGGACGCCAGCTGCCAAACCCCCCATTTAGGCTTAGGCTGATGCTTTAATGATTGGTTCTTGACTCGTTGCACCGCTCCATAGTGTAATGTAAATTGTTCGCCCCAACATGAAGCTTTTCGTCTCATATAACTCCATGCGTTGCCAAGTTTTTATAGGATAGCAAGCTTCATGTCAAACCATCTATAAAAGTGGTGATGTGTGGATATTGGATGAAAAGCTTTGTTTCCATATAGGGGCGAGAATACAATAAGCAACATCCGCCCTACGATGGCATAAAACAAATAAAACAAAAGGACTCTGCTAGGCCCAGCAGGAAAATTGCGAATAATTTCAGCCTTCTTGTACAAGATATAAAGATGGGCATTGCCCGGAGCTGTTGCAAAAAAAAAGAGAAAAAGAAAAAAGAAATTGGTTACACATAACGGGCCCCTAAGAGGTGGGATTCTATCTTGTTTCACAATAGCAGTTTCTCAAAACTAAGGGGTAAGTGCTATAAAGGTAGAAGTGAGAATCTATATATCTATAATAATCAGAGGTAAGATAATAAGACTATTAGCGGTATATAGTATTAACGCTACACCTTATACCTATAGATACTACAAACGTGGAGTTATAATATTAAACAAAGAGCTACAAGATCGGAGTAAAAGAGAGTAAAAGTGTCACTTCTAGCACTATTACATACAAAATAATTAAACAAAAAGGAAAAGAACTCAGGTAGGCCTAGCAGGCAAGTTTCGAATGATCCCGACCTTCTGCGCGACATAAAGATTGGCGTTACCGGGAGCTGTTGCAAAAAAATAAATGGTTGCGTATAGCGGCCCCTGGGAGGCGGTATTCCCCAGGAGTATCTGGTTTCAGGACAGCAGTTTCGCGAAACCAAGGGGTGAGTGGCACAAGGGTCGAAGTAAGAATTTGCATGTCGACATCAAATGTATAGAGGACAACGTCGCCATTAGCGGTACGGACTGTCGCTGGGCCTCCCAAGGCTCCACCGTGTTAGGCAAGATTGAACCCGAGGGCGTTAAGATCATGGCGAAATAAGGTAAGAAGGGAACTTCCGGCGTCGTTACAGACGAGGAACTGGTGAGTTGGTTGTTCTTCCCTTGTGTCAAACTCTCGTGGTAGCCTAATGCGCGCATGTAACTAGTTTTTGTTAGTTAATAACCCTAAGCCCTTATTGATATAGCTCAGATTGTGATATACCTGGTGCATCCTGACAATATTCGAATAAGGGAAGCTTTCTGCCACAGACTGGGCCATTTGAAAGCTCCCGATATAAGAGGAAAGTGAGAGGAAAGTGAGAAGGATCTAAGATAAATGTTAGAAACTTTTCAATATATATAAAATGATAGCTGTACTAACACCCGATTGGGGTTTCTCCTTCCTGACGTGGTTTTAGGTCTCCATTCTCGTAGAGTCAAATAAGGGCTTCCACGTTTATAAGTAGTGCTTATCCGAATTCGGTTTGCAGAAAGGTTTTGAGTTGCGCCAGCCATTCTGAGGGTTGGATAATGTACGGTATCGGACGCGCATGACTGAACTCGGGATGTGGGTCTGCCATACTGTAGAGTGGGCACCAGTCGGGCAGGTTATGGAAGTGATTTGAGGCAGGTTGGAGTAAAGGTGAAAGATGTGGGAAAAGCACCTCAGCCTTCTCGGATCTCCTCCAAGGTTCATTTGGCAGGAGTGTCCGTCTTCATACTAACGAAACGATCCCGGATTAGGGTTAGCGTTTTAATTAATATTAATTAATGGAAATTCACCGTTTCAAGGAAATCACCTGACTTCCATCTTGTCCTCATGATTCCTCCAGTGACGCCATTATGATGATGTCAGTCGGATGGATATATAAACCGCTTCTTCTACAATCTTCAGTCTCCAAGGTCCTCTTCAGTTTCACCAATCATACGAACATTCCTACAAAGCCTACTACTATATTACTCCACTTATTCTACATCTTTCATCATGGGTTGTGGCTGCGGATCTGATTGCAACTGTGACGGCGGTGCCCAGAGCTGCTCTTGTGGCGACAAGTGTGACTGCAAGGGCTGCGGAGTATGTGATACCTGTAGGATGTTCCAGGTGCAAAGGCTAACCCAGCTTATCTAATTTTAGAAGTAAATGATCTCTCTCCTCGACTCCCGAATTCGAATACTACACTCTCTTTGCAAGGTGGATGATGATATGGTGATGATTTGATGAAATCGATTTTGTTTTTGGATCATCAAAAACAAAATGGATCAAAGCTTCTAGGGATATAATTGATCTCTCGAATCAACAATTTAAAGTCTTTTCCGTGACATGTAGACCTTATCCTTTCTCTTTTAACACTGCCTCGGAAGCTTTAAGCGCTCCCGTGATACTGAAACATACAAATGGCGACAATGCATACATAATCTAGACGTAGTTAGCAAAACGTATTTTTCTGTTCGCGATACCACCACTACATACCGTCAATGTCTTCGCAATAACCATCTTTTCCTCCTCAGACGCCTGCGCCAATTCCGCCAACCCGGAAATCACCAACGCCGGTGGACCCGCAGGCATGAGCATCATACTGAACCAGAGCATGGGATCATCACCAAGAAGACGAGTCCGCTTAGCCAGTCCGTAAATCAATGAAATACTCAGCGCCGGCCAGAGCACCAAACGAACAAGAAAGATAGTTGTGATAGCGTTGACAGGGATCCGACCAGAATGCCCTTCTGCAACCATCCGCTCGAACGTGATTCCAAGTTTACACCCAACCATGAAGATCTGCAGCGTTGTAAAGAGCGCGCCGAGGTTACTGACACTGGCAGTCAGCCACGCATTGAATATCCCGCCATCTTCCTCGTCAAAGAAGAATGCTCGGTGCAATGAGGGGACTAGTCCCAGCACCGTGCCGAGAATAGCGCAGATTATTGCCACGTCCGCGAATGGGGACTCGAAAGGTGCGAGGAGTTCCTGCTTGACTCTGCGGGGGAATAATGAGCCCAGCCAGTGCGTCGACTGCCGGATCAGGTTCCTGGCTGATGTTCGGGCTTGTTGGGCGCGCTCCGGGAGTAGGGAGGTTTCTTCGGTGAGTTGCTCGTCCTCCGCCATGCTTGCGGTACGGTGTCGCTCCTCTAAAGTACTAATACTGTCTCCACGATCTTGTAACATCTTCGGTCCGACGATGTATGCGATGGTCTTGCTGATCACACCGCAGACAAGGAAGTAACCCTGAGCACGGTCAATTGCTGAGGATGTGGTTTCTCCATTGCGCAGGATCAATTTTAGACTTCCTACGCTCCCTAGGGAGTGAAGAAGTAACAAAGGTAGAGATGTAGTATTGTTGAACGAGAAAGCAGGCGTGACCCATTGAGGTAGGCCAAGCAGATGCGATAGGAGATGCCCAAGGGCAATCGATGCAGATGTGTAAAGGACTGACCAGACTAGTTACGGGAGATAGACGCGATAAGTTAGTTATGCTGGGTTCACTAGGGGGCGCCATGGTATACCTATAACTGGAATATAGTTCATCGCTGTCCCGAGATGAAGCTGCTCCCCCAGATGCACAATGAGTAGTGCTGGTAGGAGGAGTTTCACACCCAATCCCAACATGTCGTTGATTGTAGTCTCGTGGATCAACTGGAGCCGACGCGCAGCAAACCCATAGCACATTGTCAACAGCACGGAAACACAGGCTTGTAGCGCACCCAGGAAGGGTGTCACTAAGCCCCCGTTGCGCATTTCGCTTCAAGTAGCTGAGGCTTTCAGCTGCCATGCCTTGTCTAAAAAAAAAAGAGAGCTTTTAATTCTAATAGCCATGACGTCATGGTGACAAAGAGACTGGGCAAAGTCTATGTTGTACATTCTTTCGCTATACGAAAACATGCCACTGCGTGTAAGCCGAGCTATCCAAGCCTCTGTTATATATATATATATATATATGTAGTTATTATATATTATTCTCATTTGAAAACATTCGGCTTTCGGGGGAGTCCACCACCGAGCACGGGAATTCCCCGTGGGGTTCTATGAAGGGGGACAATAGCCCTAATTGGCTTTATTTCCCCAATCTGGGGGTTCAACTACTTCACGTTTATTCCATGTAGATCTCGATAACGCAGTGCGTTACAGCCTATATACTATAAATACTCTTCCCACAAATATAACACCAACAACCTCAACTAAATTCCCCGTTCAATCGATGTGGGGGGCCTCGGGTAATCGGTCGGAGGAAGGCCGAGTTGTCCCCTCAGCGCAACAATAACATCGTTAAAAAGAAAAAGACACTCCGTCTGCTCTTCATCTATTACACATCTTCTTCTCGCCTTATCTGGCCTTAAATAATGTCTTCCATCTCACTCCGCTCAGCTCTGGAAACCACACCGGTGGCATACGGCTTCTGGTTGACGTATGTTTATCCCCCGCATTTGGAGACAGCACCAGCTCCCCCTCTTCGATTCAGCAAGTCTATCCAACAAGGGAAGAAAATGAATTAACATATCTACTACAGCCTCCCCAGTGCCCCATCGCAAAGACCATCCTCCGCCGGAGCCCAGAGTTCTCCGAAGGTGGATTCAGCTGGGTCCTAGTGGACGCCGAACATGGATTGATTAACGACAGCCACTATTACGAGGTTTGTCCCAGTCAATTGAACTCGAGGATCGAATATTAACACCTATATTCAGCTCACTAACGCCGTTGGTCACGAGGGTGCTAGCCCTATTATCCGTGTGCCCTGGCCCGAAGAATGGATGATCAAGCGTGCCCTTGATGCCGGTGCCCACGGAGTCATGACTCCTATGTGTCACTCTGCAGTACGTACCACCCGAGCCCACGGGCTTGCGCCAGTTTCTTGATTCCCTCGGAACTATGTCTAGAATGCTAACCTCTACCTTTCTGCCCAACAGGAGGATGCTGCCAAGGTCGTCAGCTACTGCAAGTACCCACCTGTAGGAGTCCGTGGATACGGGCCGATGTTCACGCCGCATTCATTCCCCGGTGTGAAACCCGCCGAGTATGATGAGAAGACGCACAACGAAGTCATGGTGATTGTGCAGATTGAGTCCCGCCCTGGTGTGGAGAATGTAGAGGAGATTGCTAAGGTCGAGGGACTGGATGTTTTGTTTATTGGTGAGATTGGATATTTCTGTTTTGATGGGACTGGCTAACCTTTTCCCTTTCTAGGACCCTTCGACCTTGCTAAGCAGATGCGTGTCACCCGTGGTGGCGAGGAGCACGAGGCTGCTATCCAGCGTGTCCTGAATGCTGCGAGATCGGCAGGAAAGAAGGCTGCTATCTTCTGTATGTGTTGTCTTCTATGGCCTTCCTTGCGCTTGTGTCTAACCTCATTATCTATAGGCTCCGATGGTGATGACGCTCTTCGCCGCATACAACAGGGCTTTGATATGGTTTCCATCACCACTGATGTTGCTGTGTTCGGTGATGGAATGCTCAACGAATTAGAGAAGGCTAAGGGTAGTTCTAAGGTCCAAGGAAAGAGGGACGGTTATTGAAATGTCTCGGTATTATATTGATTATGTACATAGAAGCCAGGAAATAAATCCTATATTATATGCTGCATTGCCGCAAACACACCAATCCATAGCCACAGGCCTATACGAATGTCTACAAACCAGCTAGTACTGCAGCATGATCAGGTGGGACTTGCCAGTCCCAGCCTTGCCATCGATATTGATAAGCAGGGGACCCGGCCTTGTGGAGAGGGACGGACAAAAGTGTTTGGCAATCATGTCGAACACTTGGCGCTGCTTGGACTGCAAGGTGCTGGGGGAAGCGTTAGATCGGGCTTCAAGTAGCGCGGTGTATGCGGAGATAACCTCCTTTCAGTAGTCTGGGGGGATATGTAGGTCCATATTGCGGTGCATGTGAGGGGCCTAGTCGTACTCGCGGTCCAGATCAGGTTCTCGGAGGTTATCAGGTCCTGGATATGCGTGGCAGGTCACAGTTTGGAGCGCGCCGTGCCAATTCCTGCTAGGAGCGAGGCGGCTCGTACTCCTCGTCCTCGGGGGCCAAATCCTCGAACAGGTCCTCCGGGTTGTCCTCAACCTCCCGGCCGTAACGATCATTGGGTGGCTGTGGTAGGCCCGGCAGTGCTCGGACGAATCGGGCCAGGAGGCAAACTCACGGCGGTCGAGCTCGAGAAGCTCGCTTTCATGTACTACACACCTTTTGTCGAGCTTAAGCCAGCAAATACCACCTGGATAGTCGCGACGCTTTATTGACGTGAGGACAAAGATAGTGGACTGTCAATTGGGACTGAACAAGCTATCCTCCATACTTCGTTAAGCTTCATGTATTTGTCAGTAATCTTTATGATCAACAGGCATTTCTCGGTGATCTTCCCTTGTCCCTCCCTGGAACAATTCTCTTCCAACCCCGTATTAACTGGTGGAGTCCTCGGAACTGTTAATATCTTCATCGGGCAGAAGGTCGTCAGAACGGATCACCTCACTGGGGCCTGAATGAAGCTCGTCATTATCGGGCAGGCTTGCATTTTGCAGTTCTCTTTTTGCAGTTCTCTGTTCAGAGCTTGGAGAGAAACCGCTATTGGAGCCCGAGGGATTCGAAGTGTACATGATGAACGACTTCGTCTCCGCGACCTGGCCTTTCTTGAAGGAGGCCTTTAGGTTCCGATCTGGCCGAGCCGGGATGATATTGACCCGCTCGAGGGAGGGCTTGTCGTCGGGGTAGTGTACAGTCTTCCGGACGCAAGGCTCTCTAGGCGTGGTGGGATCCCGGCCAGAGATTGAAGCGGCGAGGTATGACTTTGAAGGAGGAGGGCGGTGTTTAGACAGGAGGAGGCGAGAAGGACGAGTCCTTTTGCCGTAAGCAGAAGAAGAAGCAGTAGAAGTAGAAGAGAGCACTGTGATAGCTTGGTAGTAATCAAAAGCAGTGCAAGTGATAATGACCCGGCCCGTTCCCGACAGTTGCTGATGCAGTTTTGGATCTCAGCATAGTCCGCCACATATTCCCTGGTAACACTTGGCACTTCATCAACTAACTGGAGCACTCTGCGGGCGGCTTCAGTGTTCAGAACCTCCCTAGTTGATTAAATAGTCAGGTGATTGCTGGACAGTCTGTCAGTCTCGTCACAGACTGCCAAGGCAGTGTTGTCATAGTCTTCGAGGGCACATCGGATGTTAGCAGTGACGTCGGATACGCTTGACAGCATAGGTGCGCTTTCAACCATGCTCTTGCGCTTGTCCCCAGCCTTTGGTGTGACAGAGGGGGATGCGTGGTCCACAGAGCTCAATTTTCTGTCACTTTCATCAGTGGCACTTTCGCTGTCACCAGATCGGACCTTCCCGCAGTACGCCGGCAATCGCAGCTAGCAAACGCAATGGACTTGACGAGAGACACGCATTCTGGACGCACATCAGATCATTTCGCGTAGTTTGAGTTCAATCTAACTTGCCATTTCTTCATCGAAATACCGTTGGCGCCGGTTGGGTGAGTGGCTAAGGGTGACTTGGAAGGACCAATAGCCAGATGGAAACCAACAAAGTTGTGCACGGGGGTCAGAATGGCGTGCCTATCACCAAGTGTCAAAACCATGTCATTCGGATGCTGGACCAAGACGGGCTTCTTGGTATCCCTGCGCTCTCGGAGTTGGGTAGATAGATCATCCCAATCAACGGGCGGCAGCGCGTTGGGAGGACTGTTCGGCCCAATCCCTATACTGCTTGTCAAGGATGGCCAACCAATCATCTAGGACTGTGGCAGGCGTGGGATTCGGGATATCGCGCGATCGCAGTTCGGTTATATATGCTGGGTCGCTGTACTTTGCCGTATATGTTGGCCTTGGGGTCGGGGCTCAGAGAGGAGAATGAATTACGGAAGTGAGGTGAAGTGAAGGTGAAGTGAAGGTGAGAAGAAAGAAGAAATAAAGAACTTCCGTGAATGGATGTAGTCAGGTATCCGATCTACCTGCCTAGGTATGATTTCTTATTGCTGTCATTCACAATATCTTCTTTGTTGATTGCATCACCGGACTGAGACCAATGGGACCACTTGCTGTTATAGGAGTCTCCTCTGAGGTATCGTAGAACTTCCCTATACATATTGATTTCCAAAATGGTACAACAACTATCGAACTAAATTACGCATAACATCATGCTCAAACCATGAAGAGCTGCGAAGGGATCATCCTCGCCGCAAAGACAAATCCCATACCCAAAGTGGCTACCGCAGTAACAGCCGCGAGGAGACCCAGACGCGCCAGAGATTCAATACCAGGTCTTTCAAATTTGGTACTTCTTCGCTGGCCTAGGCGAGTGGTGCGAGTGAGAGTAGGCACATATTTGAACTCGAAGCGCGACTCCTCCCCAAGACCCATCTTCTCATCGAGGATTAGCCTGTAGAAGTACTTTCGACGGAGCTGGTAGAATTCTTTGTCAGAAAGTATCCTCAAAATATGGACAGTTTGACATACCGAAATCATAATCCTGTCGAAGAAATGTATCCTTGGTACGATATATGAAATAGCCATAACCCAGAAACAATATCCCCAGATCAACATCCGATAGTATAGATTCGACCGAGGGATATCAAGCTCATCGGCTAGTTGATCTCCATTCAGTAGTCGACTCATCGCCTCCATGAATTCCTTGGATGCGAAGGCCGGCGCTGTATTCTCCAAACCAATAATGATATTCTTCGCCAGGACCTTTCCGGTCTCAGTGGGATCGATCTCAGAAATAAGAAGCGACTCCATCATAGCACGGGCCTTAGCCGTGTTCTCGAAGGGATCCGTCGGTGTGCCCATATAGTATGCAACTAACCTCCACAGTGCGATGTAGTCATCGGTCTCTTGTTGGCTGGGGTAGATGCCTTGTCGCGGTAGACCGAGCCATACCACCGAGCTGCAAAATGTGTTGATTGTGCCAATGCAGTCCAGGTCATTTACCGGTGTTCCGTACTTGTTGACATCGTAGTATTCAGGGTTCTGGTCTACCAGACTCAGGATCCTCTTGCGGACAGATGAATGAAGCAGTCGGACGCGAACAGATGAGATGTGGCCATCTCCGCCTGGTTTCATGGCTTCCGCTGAACTGTTGACCTGAAGTATATGCTGAAGTGTCTCCAGTAATCGTCGGCGGACTACCTTGGCTCCGAAACCGCCTGTTCGTGAAAGGGTTTCGACGACTCGGATTGCTCCCCTAAGTAACGGTCAGTTCCTGTTCGACACTCATTTTCAGAAAAGGTAAAGATGCTCTTACATCCCACCAAGTAAACTTTCAAAGCTGAGCTGTGGAAGGGTCAGTCCACATCCCAAATCATACTTTATGCATCAAGTACTCACGACGTTGAGGATCGGAAGGCCATATCGGAAGAAAACATCCTGGCCCCGTTGGATTTGATTCCAGTCAACCCACTCTGGAACTGTGTTGATCTCAGTCCAGAGCTCGTTGAGCTTTGGATCCTCCTCCGCATGGTCCCTCAATAAACCATAAAGATCCTTCTTGAAAGGCCGTTTATCGGCGCCGTCATCGGATGGAATCTTGTTCAAGCGCTCCACACATTCGTCGGCCAGGGAATCACAGGTATATATCAACGACTTGAGGTCATCGGCAGAGGAGTGGAGGTCGGTCCAATGAAAGGAGTAGCCCCAGTAGTGGCACTCGGTACTATTTCCGCTCTTGGGGCTCTTCAACGCCATGGTGGTAAGTCAGAGTACAAGTAGATCGAATACTGTTTGTGTATTCCTATCCAAGAGAAAAAGCCCCATGGTTCTATATATTCAAGTCATCCAGGTGACATGTGTATTCTGCCGTGGCCCACGGTCCGGCGGGGAGGGGTTAGGGCATCATGACATGTGAAACCACTTCAGCCACTAATATCGTTGACCCCGGATTTCCAAGGATTAAAGGTTGTATCCATGGACGATGATTACTACTTTGGGTTAGTTTTGCCTTTTGGGGTTTAGTGTCCCAAAACGCTCTTTCCCTCAATCCATGGATAAGGTTCAAAGTTCCTGTCCAGGTGGATACTGAAGCATTCAGCTTATGGGGAGACATCCATTTCGCTCGAAGTTATCTATCAACGCCAAAATATACTGTCATTTTAGGGGACAGGAGAACTAAGAGTGTTACTACAAGGCCTATTTCAAGGTCTCACACACTAGCCAGTCAAAACATTTGATCTTACTAGAGGTTACCTACCATGCACTGGGGAGAGAACAAAAAAACTATATCAATTCAATCACGCGAGAACGGGCCTTGTAGAGGCGTCTAGCAAACAAGTGCTCAGTCTGCCAAACAAAGGGAGCCTGATTCCTAATATCCGGCGCAAAATCAGAAGCAAAATAGACAGACAGTGGAAGTACATTAGCTGGTGGTATATTATTCTCTCGTGTCCTGCTCAACTTTCTTACTGGGCAAAAGCCTCCAATCACTTATTCTAAAAAGATGCAGTTGGCTTGGGAAATTCGCACTTACCATGTTTATGCTTGTTGTTCTAGGCAGCTGAAGTCTTCTTCGTATCAACAACAGACATCGCTTCCACTGACCTGAAGTATACCCCACGCACGTCGCCCAGAAACTAATTACCTCAAAAGCGCACAGAGGAGAAAGACCACAAGTGGCAGATCCCTTTGGGAACTCGCATATGCTCAGAAAGTGATAGGAAATTTGGATCTCAGGGTCTCGCCGTATTTGTAAAAGAGGAACGGAAGAGGAGCAAATGCTAAGCCGATAAAAGCCAAGAGGCTGTTTCCCCAACCAAGACCCAGACAGCCATACATGGGCGGTCCTGCAAGTGGCAGCAAAGCACCAAACAGACTGCGCAAAACAGTATTCGTGGCTAGGGCAGATGCGGCCGCCTCGGAGCCAAATGCATCAACAAGGTACAGCTGGGCAGGCATGAGGACCAGAAAGGCACCGAGGCCAATGAACATGGTGCCCAGGATTGGGACAATCCAATAGGTAACTTTGTCGGCGCTCCATCCGTACCAGAAAAAGCCGATGGGAACAATGGGCGATGACCAAATCATAAGGATAAGACGTAGCTCTGGCCGCTCAATAGTTCCCTCGCGCGGCTGCTTGAGTAGCTTGTCGCTGAGAACGGCAAATAACCCAATGCTGATGATCATGCCCACACCGAGACCTAGATATGCAAGGCCAGAGATATCGGTGGCGAAATGGTACGTTGTTTTGAACACGGCAGGGAAAGTAGTGAACAGGAGGTAGATAAGGCCGAACATAAAGGCGCAGTAGAGAGAGAGCGGAAGGACGATGGGTGACAGGAGCATCTTGAGGGGTCGTACTGCGGCGCGTGCTAGGATCTGGGATGGTGTACAGTCTTTGGTGTAGGTTCGAGCCCGCAGATGACTGTTGCCCGTGGATTTGCGCATAGCACACGCCTTGCGCTCGAGGAGAGTGGGTTCGAAAGTCTCCCGCATGAAGACAAGGGCAAATATGGAGATGACTCCTGCCTAAATATTGCTCGTATTAAGCCATTATCAAATGACAGGAGCGTTTTCCATTTTACCAGGATTAAGATCAACCAAAATGTCCACCGCCATCCGAGGTACTCAGTAACGAAGCCGCCTATCACTGGACCAATGACTGGACCAAGAAGCGGACCGAGACCGAATAAAGCCATCGCTTTACCACGGAAGCTGGCTGGATAAAGATCTGCAATGGTCCCTCCCCCAACCACCATCGGAGCGGAGGCGGCACAGCCACATATGAAGCAAAATACCAGAAACATGGCCGTATCTTTGCTTAATGCGCAGCCAATTGTGAATGCGAGATAGCCCACGTTGCTGAGATGGTAGATGATCAAACGGCCGTATATTTCGGACATGGAGGGAAGGAGAAAAGGGCCAAACACGTAGCCCAGAAGGTATATGGATACAGAGAACGAGGCGACGATAGGGCTGGTGACGTGGAAGTCCTCGACGAGCTCTGCAGCCCCGGGGGCGAACATGACTGCGGCAAGATTTCTATATCATTCAGTCAGACATCATTAACACATAGTAGGCCAGTAGATAAAAAGATAAAAGATGCTGTGATATGGGAGGAACTCTTACGAGTACAGAGTGAAGGCGCTAACAAGGAGCACATGCCGCAGCTTGAGTCCCTTCTTCCAGTTCTGGGTGTTTGCCGGGTCGTCAGGCCCATTCCAGTCAACAGCATCGCCTTTCCCTGACTTCGTTTCAACGGGAATGTTGAGCGCGCTCGTTTCTGTGTCTAAGGGCATCTTGAGGAAGGTCACAACTCGTTTCCGTCTCGCGGGAATGCAAAAGTTGCAGGATACTGAGGAAATTGATGGATTCTGAGGAAGTGGATATCTGTGATATAGAGTGCTTCAAAATACTCTACTGGAGCACGCTAACAGCAGAGAAAAACCATGAAACATCTAGTGAAACGAGTGACAGTGTAACTGTGCTAGACTAGCTCCAGTTGATATGAAGTTGAAGGGAACAGACGCTAAGGTAAGACACAGTACAGGTTATACTGAGACAAGAAACAGACAAGACTATATCCTCCTCCTTAGCCAACCAAATACCGATTGATCACGTTGGCGCCGCGGTTGCTCGACGTCCGAAGTTATAGATGGAAGGCGTTTCTGGGCTCGAAAGCGGTCACTTTCGTCAATTTAGGTGTAAAATGTTGATTGGAAATTATTCAGAAGTGTTCATCTGTTGCATCTTTGCATCTTTGGCACCTCTTTGACACTCCAATGTTTGAGACATTCTCTAACCCATCATATACAGCCCTATCCTGCTATTCTTTGGCCTACTCTACAGGGGCTAGGATGTGCCACATGGGTTCAACTTCTCACATATTCATGGATGCACTTAACACTTAGGTGATACTGTTTTCAGTTTGAATCGAAACTTTGCCACCCTTTGTTAAGACTTGTGCTAATGGCTTTGTACGCTGCCTTTGATCCCCCCACCCCCAACCTCCTTTCTGGTTGTATGCTGAACACCTTTTGTTTCTTTCATGTTCTATTGGCACTCCAAATGACTTATGACTTACTCAGGGACAGGGTTAGTGTTTAGGCTAAACTATAAAGGCTGCGGTTTTCGCCCGTAGACAATGGTTTCCACACAAGGTCCAAACCAGTTCGCCAGAGAATACCAACAATCATGGAGCCAGGACCAACCATCAAGTTCAAACTGAATGGGGTATCCAAATCCGGGGCCGATGTCGATAATTTCGAGCTCCAAGCTTGCTACCGCGCTCTCGACAACCTGCGAAGCTTATTGTTCCAAGCACCGATGCTGGACCTTCTCAAGGGCCAAATCGAAGAAGGAAACCGCTATTTTGAATCGCTGATTCGAGAATCTCGAGGGGAATTCCGAGAATGCAGAACGTTCATGAAAGTGAGCGGGGTCTCGGCGACAGAGCTGAGAACAATCTGCAAGCGCTGGCAGCTCTCCAAGCCCCTCGATGAGATGGCACGAATGTTTATATTCCCCACGCACCCAGAGAACTATGTGGTTATGCATTCGCCAGGAGCTCCCACCCGAAGTGGGCCAGACTGCGGGGTGGAGCTCATCGGGGGACACATGGCCAAGGTTCGATTTGTTGATCTCATGGGCAGCGGAGAGATTTCCCAAGTGGATGGCGCGGCAGCGGGAGGATGAGTATGAAATGGTGGAGTACTTGGTCGCGAAACTTGACAGCGGGAACAAGTTCTTCTATATCTTGAACGAATTCATGGATACCGCGGATGGTTGCAAGATCAAGCTGCGGACGTTTTTCCCCTCTGCTTCACCCTGGTCATTGATCAGTCAACATTCTGAGCATCTTGCGGTCGAGTTCCGGAATCTCGTTCAAATGATGCATGGGGCCCTCGAGGAACTTGAAGACAGCTATTGACACTTTTTGCGACCGGGGATAGACATCATCATCATCGCTGGCCCTGGGTACGAGATATCATGGGTTATTCTAGACAGTCAGCTTTGGTTTTCATGTATTTTTTCTGCAATGCGAACATTATTGGATTGATTTTCATGGCTGTTGCAAGGTCACTGCGGAGTAGAGTAGATGCAGTACAGCTTATCGAACTTGTGAGATGAACCAGATGTTCAGTGATTTCAGTAGTTCTCAAATGACGAAGATAGGGGGAAACCAAGTCGAAGAGAAGAACTCCCACCATTTGTAAGACTGTATGATAATAAATAAATAAAAAGCCACCAGTAGTACAAGCCAAGCTGAACGATCGGCTTACATGGCCACAATTCGGTCCGCGGGGAAGACGCCGAGATTGGACGAATATATCAGGGGCCACTCCACGGTCTGACAATAATCGAGATTCAATTTCCAACACCTAAGCGAATGCTAGGCTTGGGACGTCCTCGATTGAAAGCGCGGGCATCGTTGTTGGACCTGGTAACCGCAAAGCATACGTTGACACACCCAACACAGCCATCACCGCCACCACCGCCCGAGCTGCCACCGCTTCCAGACTCGCCCTCCTCAACTACCTTCACCCCCTCCGTGTCTTCCCATTCCACACAGGCTTCTTCCATTATGACTTCGGACAAATCTGAGAACCATGGCTCGATCTTTTCGGTGTCCGGCCCTGTCGTCGTGGCCGAGCATATGATCGGTTGTGCTATGTACGAATTGGTAGGCAGCCCAAGCTCCGACATCGTGGAGAACCCCAGGTACTGACCGCATAGTGTCGTGTCGGTCATGACGCACTTGTCGGCGAGGTTATTCGGATTGACCAGGACAAGGCGACGATTCAGGTCTACGAGGAAACAGGTAGAGCTCCTTAGCCCCCCCAATCCCGCATGATTGCATCATCTCCCCCAAAGAGCTATGCTGACCGATGTTACCTTTGCAAAACAGCTGGTTTGACTGTCGGAGACCCGGTGACAAGGACAGGAAAGCCTCTTTCAGTCGAGCTAGGCCCCGGTCTAATGGAGACAATCTACGACGGTATTCAGCGACCCCTCAAAGCCATCTCGGACCAATCGAAGAGTATCTATATCCCCCCGTGGTATTTCGGTGAATGCTTTGGACCGCGAGCGCAAGTGGGAATACAAGCCTACTAGCTTCAAGGTCGGCGACCACATCACTGGTGGTGACATCTGGGGTACCGTGTTCGAGAACAGTCTGGTGAACGACCACAAGATCCTGCTGCCTCCTCGTGCACGGGGTACCATTACTCGGATTGCTCCTGCTGGCAGCTATACCGTCGAAGAGAAGCTGCTCGAGGTGGAGTTCGATGGTAAGAAGACGGAGTACGGTATGATGCAGACCTGGCCTGTCCGTGTTCCCCGCCCGGTTACCGACAGGCTGTCCGCCGATGCGCCCTTCATTGTCGGCCAGAGAGTGTTGGATGCTCTCTTCCCCAGTGTGCAGGGTGGTACCGTCTGCATTCCTGGTGCCTTCGGATGTGGAAAGACTGTCATTTCCCAGAGTGTGTCCAAGTTCTCGAACAGTGATATTATCGTCTACGTTGGCTGCGGTGAGCGTGGTAACGAGATGGCCGAAGTTTTGATGGATTTCCCCGAAGTACATGCCCTCCCCAAACTTACTCCGATAATGTTTTACTGACTGCCTTCTCTTCGCAGCTCTCTATTAATGTCGAAGGCCGCAAGGAGCCTATCATGAAGCGTACCTGCCTGATCGCCAACACCTCCAACATGCCTGTCGCCGCCCGTGAGGCCTCTATTTATACGGGTATCACTATCGCCGAATACTTCCGTGACCAAGGCAAGAACGTGGCTATGATGGCGGACTCGAGTTCCCGTTGGGCTGAGGCTCTGCGTGAAATCTCGGGTCGTCTGGGTGAGATGCCTGCTGACCAGGGTTTCCCCGCGTACCTGGGAGCCAAGCTGGCCTCTTTCTACGAGCGTGCTGGTAAGAGCAGTGCTCTGGGCAGCCCCGAGCGTGTGGGCAGTGTCAGCATCGTCGGTGCCGTCAGCCCGCCCGGTGGTGATTTCTCTGATCCCGTTACCAGCAGTACCCTGGGTATTGTCCAGGTATTCTGGGGTCTTGACAAGAAGCTGGCGCAGCGCAAGCACTTCCCTTCGGTCAACACCTCTATCTCCTACAGCAAGTACAACGCAATTTTGGACAAGTACTACGAGAAGGAGCACCCTGAGTTCCCTCGCCTGCGCGACCAGATTCGTGAGCTTTTGTCCAAGTCCGAGGAACTGGACCAGGTCGTCCAGCTGGTCGGTAAGGCGGCGCTGGGTGATTCGGATAAGATCACGCTGGACGTGGCTAGCTTGCTCAAGGATGACTTCCTCCAGCAGAACGGATACAGTGACTATGATCAGTTCTGCCCCTTGTGGAAGACCGAGTACATGATGAAGGCGTTTATGGGCTACCACAACGAGGCCCAAAAGGCCATTGCTCAGGGTCAGAACTGGAACAAGGTCCGTGAGGCTACTGCTGATCTCCAGAATGCTCTGCGCAGCATGAAGTTCGAGGTTCCGGAGGACGAGGCAGAGATTTCGGCCAAGTACGAGAAGATCCTCCAGTCTATGACTGAGCGATTTGCCTCGGTCTCGGACGAGTGAAAGTGACATCTTAACCTTAGCATGTATTTTCCTTTAGATGTTTGTTCGAGCATTCCCCTGTAGTTATTGTGTCCAACTCAAGTTGCTTTTTTCTTTTTCTATTTTGGTATCCTTCACGTATAACTTCCAGATGTACAAGTGGCCCGTACGCGTCAGGCAGCACAAGACTTGCGCACATGACCCGAGATCAGAGCTATTAGGTTATTTGACTTGTACGATTAGAGTGTTTCTTCAGAATATCCAACCTATAATACTATATCGTGGAATCATCAATCCTTTTGAGTGCAGCCTACGTGTAGGCAGAGAGCCGGAGAGACCGCTCTGGACGCCACTACATCACCGCCTTCGAGGTCAACCCAAACAATCCCTCCACTCGCATCGTCCACCTCCCCGGGTTCTACTTTGTTCAACCTTCTCTGTTGCCTCGTTTTTATTGCTTTTTCAATTTTTTTATCCTAGAAACAGTTTAAATATCCCAAATCGCCAGTCATGGCAAGCCCCACGACCGGCTACTCGTGCGCAAAACCCCTGTCCCTTTCCGATGCGGTCTGGCTAATCTCCGTGCAGCATAAATGTCAACGATCCCAGCTTGATTTCGCTGGTTAACAAGCTTCAAGATGTCTTTTCCACAGTCGGTGTAAGTATACCTACTCAGAAGTCACAAGTCAATTGTGACTCCAGGGGTACCATGTGTGCTAACACCGCCGCTCGCTTCAGGTACAAAATCCGATCGATCTGCCCCAAATCGCCGTTGTCGGATCGCAGTCCAGTGGAAAGAGTTCGGTGCTAGAGAATATCGTCGGCCGAGATTTGTACGTTGGTTGTTCTTTTGGGAGCTTGCGCGGCCCCCCATCCACACCTTTGGTGGCGGGGCATGCGACACAATGTCAACAATAATTGCTAACCAAGTTTTTGCCTTGCAGCTTGCCTCGTGGCTCTGGAATCGTCACTCGGAGACCTCTTATCCTGCAACTCATCAACAAAACCCCCACCACGAACGGTGAGACCAAGCTGGAGACGACGGACAGCGAGTCCAACGTGAACGAGTATGGTGAATTCCTCCACCTCCCCGGGGAGAAGTTCTTCGATTTCAACAAGATTCGCGATGAGATCGTACGCGAAACGGAAACCAAGGTCGGCAAGAACGCCGGTATCTCGCCCTCCCCGATCAACCTGCGCATCTACTCCCCTAACGTCCTGACCTTGACCCTCGTCGATCTACCTGGTTTGACCAAGGTGCCTGTCGGAGACCAACCGAAGGATATTGAGAGGCAGATCCGTGATATGGTCCTCAAGTATATCAGCAAGCCCAACGCAATTATCCTAGCAGTCACTTCAGCCAACCAGGATCTTGCCAACTCCGATGGTCTGAAGCTGGCCCGTGAGGTGGACCCCGAGGGTCAACGCACCATTGGTGTGTTGAGTAAGGTCGATCTGATGGACGAGGGAACCGATGTGGTGGATATTCTCGCTGGACGAATTATCCCCTTGCGCCTGGGTTATGTACCGGTGGTCAACCGTGGCCAGCGTGATATTGAGAACAAGAAACTCATTGCTTATGCCTTGGAGAACGAGAAGAACTTCTTCGAAAACCACAAGGCATACCGGAATAAGGCTTCCTACTGCGGTACGCCGTATCTGGCGCGGAAACTGAACTTGGTACGAGTTGACTCCCTATCGTCTTGGAGACCTTTGAACTAACGGTCTTCCTCTTTTTAGATCCTTATGATGCACATCAAGCAAACCCTTCCCGATATCAAGGCCCGCATTTCCGCCTCCCTCCAGAAGTACACCGCAGAGCTAGCGCAACTGGGTGATTCTATGCTCGGCAACAGCGCCAACATTATCCTGAACATCATCACTGAATTCAGCAACGAATACCGTACAGTCTTGGAGGGAAATAACCAGGAGTTATCTAGCATCGAGTTGTCCGGAGGTGCTCGTATTTCCTTTGTATTCCACGAACTCTACTCGAACGGTGTCAAGGCTGTCGATCCCTTCGATATCGTGAAGGACATTGACATTCGAACCATCCTTTACAACTCGTCCGGTTCCTCGCCTGCACTATTTGTTGGTACCACCGCCTTCGAGTTGATCGTCAAGCAACAGATCAAACGACTGGAAGAACCCAGCTTGAAATGTATCTCGCTGGTTTACGACGAGTTGGTGCGCATCCTGAGCCAGCTTCTGACCAAGCAGCTGTTCCGCCGGTATCCCATGTTGAAGGAGAAGTTCCACGCTGTCGTCATTTCCTTCTTCAAGAAGTGCCTTGAGCCCACCAACAAGCTGGTCAAGGACTTGATCAACATGGAATCCACCTACGTGAACACCGGTCACCCCGATTTCCTGAATGGACACCGCGCCATGGCGCTCGTCAACGAGCGTCAGGCAGCCGCCAAGCCTACACAGGTCGACCCTAAGACTGGCAAGCCTCTCCTACCAGCCCGTGCCCAGAGCCCCTCACTCGACACCACTGGTGAGGCAAACAACAACAGTGGGTTCTTCGGCAGCTTCTGGGCTTCCAAGAACAAGAAGAAGATGGCCCTCATGGAGGCTCCTCCCCCAACTCTCAAGGCTTCAGCTAGCTTGTCTGAGCGCGAAGCCACCGAGGTTGAGGTTATCAGTAAGTGAACCAGCTAATACAAAGGCCTTGTGGCACTCCATTAACACTCATGCAGAACTTCTGATTACCTCCTACTTCAACATTGTCAAGCGCACAATGATCGACATGGTCCCCAAGGCGGTCATGTACACTCTGGTCCAGTATGTCCCATCCTTCCAAAGGCCTAACCAGGCCTAACCCCATATTCGTCTATACTAACAAGGTTTTCTCTAGATTCACCAAGGATGAGATGCAACGCGAACTCTTGGAGAACATGTACCGCACCAACGAACTCGACGAACTCCTCAAGGAGAGCGATTACACGACCCGCCGACGAAAGGAATGCCAACAGATGGTCGAGAGCCTGGGTCGCGCCAGCGAAATCGTTAGCCAAGTCCAGTGATGAAATAGTGGACTTGGTCACCGGACGATCTATCCAGAGGAAAAAGTCATCCCATTGGACCGTTGCGTTGGCGGAGTTGGGCTCCTCGCATCTCTTTGTGATTTTTACAACACCGCTCCGAATATCTTGACTATACTCCGTACTTGCTTTGCTGTTCCTACCATCCCTTGGTTAGCGACTTGTTCCGTTGGTCCTTATTTAGATGTTGAGCTGGGAGGTTCGGATTCGGGGTTCAGATATCGGATCTGCGTCCTCGGTGATCATCGTCTTTGGTTTCGATAAGGGGGGGAGTTCTTTGCTTCGTCCTGCTATGTGTTTTCTTTTCGTCTTTTTGCCCAATTTGAGAGCTCTATACCGTTTTCTTTTCTCATTGCTTGGTCTGTTGTCTGTGTTCGCGGACTTCCTGCCATGGACGCCCGGATGATTGTATCAATTAATGATTCTGTCTCTGCTTTATGACTTAACTTAGAATTCAGATTTCGATTTTCCAATGTGCAAAGTGATTTCGGATGTAGACCGTATGGTGGCCGCAACACCTAGGGACAGCACAAGAATGGGTAAGTGTCAGTTTCCCCTTCACAATGTAGGATTAATGATTGAAATATTCAAAACTTCGGTGAGCAAAATAGACACTACTTTTCTATTTATTATGGGATACAAGAACGTGATTATGAAGATGATGACGGTCTTCAATTTTGTACTTCTGCATGTTGATGCCGCAGAAGTGCTCTAAATACATAAAGCTGGAAGCAAATTCCAGTAGATACAAAAAGCAAGTCAAGCCAAGCCCTCAAGCGAACGTCAACAGTGTCATGGGCGTTGATGATGTCCATGGAAAACAGTGTTCAAGCTGAGATTTGGAGACTCAGCAGAGTCGATAAGGTGAAAGCGTTTGATAATGCAAACAAAGTCCCCAGTCCCCGTCCCCAGTCCTCCCAACAAGATCAAAACAAAGTTCCTTCATACATGTCCATGTCCATCCTTCTCCCATATCCTTCCTTCCAAGCCAGATGTGGCTGTGGTTTTTGTCGTCTGAATCAAGTGTTGGGGCAATTGGGCAATTGCCACCGGGGCTTCCATTCGAAGGCAAATATAGGGGTGTGTTGTGTAGAGGTATTCTATCAATCGGGCCGAGACATAGGTGGCCTGGAGCCGGAGATGTTGGAAGTGGTTGATCAAGGTGGTTGGTGGAAGTGGGATGACTTTAGTACTTGCTTGACCAGTCTGCCGATTGTCCTGAAGCCGAGTGGCCCGCCACGGTCAGACTGGGAGTGTTTTGTTGAAGTAGTGATTGACCAGACCAGCCTGCCGATTGTCCTGAAGCCAAAAGGCCCGCCACGGTCAGGCTGGAAGTGGTTGATCGAGTTAGTTGGTCGAGGTGGTTGATCGAGGTGGCTTGATTGAATTGGGTTGATTGCCAAGCCTGCCGATTGTCCTGAAGCCGAAGCCCGCCACGGTCAGACTGGGAGTGGTTTGTTGTAGTTGATCGAGGTGTTGATCGAGGTTGATTGAAGTAGATTGATTGACCAGACCAGCCTGCCGATTGTCCTGAAGCCGAAGCCCGCCACGGTCAGACTGGGAGTGTTTTGTTAAAGTGTTGACCGATGTGATTGATCGAAGCGGATGGTTGACTGGATGATTGACTGGATAGATGGTTGACTGGATGGATCCCTAAAAAGCAGGGGAAAAACAGTTTCCCTGCGTCAGCCACTGGACTGGTGAGGTCTTCCACTCGTTGATGCGAGCCAAAAGAACCGTTGGGGTTGATAACGCTAGAGTTCTCACCTGGTATAGAGATCGAATTGATTGGATTGTTTGACTGAATGGATTGACTGGGTGATTGACTGGATGGTTTGTTTGACTGGATGGTTTGTTTGACTGGATGGATGGTTGGCTTGATGGATCCCTAAAAAGCAGAGGAAAAACAGTTTCCCTGCGTCAGCCACTGGACTGGTGAGGTCTTCCACTCGTTGATGCGAGCCAAAAGAACCGTTAGGGTTGATAACGCTAGAGTTCTCACCTGGTATAGAGATCGAATTGACTGGATTGTTTGACTGGATGGATTGACTGGTTGGATTGACTGGATGGTTGGTTGGTTGGCTGGACGGGTTGACTGGGTGGATTGACTGGATGGTTGGTTGACTGGATGGATTGACTTGATGGATTGACTTGATGGTTGACTTCATGGTTGGTTGACTGGGTAATTGACTGGATGGATTGACGTGATGGTTGGTTGACTGGATAATTGACTGGATGGATTGACTGGATGGTTGAATGGATGGTTTGACTGAATGGTTGACTAAAGGCAGAGGAGAAAAAGGTTTCCCTGCGTCAGCCCTTGGACTGCGGTGGCATCCAGGAGGCATAGGTGTGGACATCACAGTGGAAGCGAAATTTGGAACGTGGCGTGGATGACTGATGATGGGATTTCTCTTAGCAACAGATCACGAAATGGGGTGGAAAGGACATACAATTGTCGTATGTCACATCCACGGGAGGTGTCCTCGCAATGTCGCATCTTGGGAAGTTTGCCCAAGGTCGACATGTTGTGGCGGTTCAGAACTGCAGATGTGTGTGGATTAAATGTGGAATGTGGCAGTCGTGAACAGAAACTCGAGGTGGTGGCAGGCACATGCAAGATGCAAAGCAGGCAGATTGAAAACGATGGGAAATGTAATTCCTGTGACAGAAATCACCAAGATGAACCTGCGTCAGCCACGGGCTCGGTTGGTAAGATCTTCCACTCGTCATCGCAGAGCAGAAGGAACAGAGAGGTGGGAGGGTTCTGGTGCTGGAGTTCTTACCTGGATAGCTGCAAGTTGCAATCTGGGTCAAAGTTCGTGATGGAAATGTAAAAGCAGCACATTCAGAATGATGTGAGACAGCCAGGTGAGAAATGTAATTCCTGTGACGGAAAACACCAAGATGAACCTGCGTCAGCCACGGGCTCGGTTGGTAAGATCTTCCACTCGTCATCGCAGAGCAGAAGGAACAGAGAGGTGGGAGGGTTCTGGTGCTGGAGTTCTTACCTGGATAGCTGCATGTTGCAATCCTGGATGCTGTTCATAGTGGTCGACTGGAAGGAGGAATATCCAAATGAGAGACCATTGGTGCAAAGAGGAAAGCAGCAGGATGTTGTTTGTTGTTCAACATCTGTTACGGTTAGTACCGAGTAAAGATGGGAGGGAGTAGGGACTCACAGAACATGGAACAAGTGGTTCGACCCAATCATTGTGCATTGGACAAGGTATGAGTAGGAAGACTGTCCAAAAGATGGAACAGATGAGTGACGTTTTCACATGTCTGATGCAGTCAGCTCCATACCATGAAGGGTTGGGGGTATGATATAGGTGATGTGAAACTGGAACAACGCTGATCCAATGCCAAATGAGACAAGTTGAACGATGATGTGAAGGAAAGATTATGGTGAAGAATAGTGAAGGATAGTGAAGGAGGATAGTGAAGGTTGATGAAAGGCCAAGGGGGTGACAGCATGTTGAAGAGGTGGTGGATGGGAAGGATAAAGATGAGAGAAGATACTCACAATACACAACAGAGAATGCAAGATGAAAAGCCAGAGTGTTAAAGACCATGTGGTGTGAGGTCTATGAGACAAGTGCATGTTAGTGAAGGGTGGTGACATGTGACAGGTGGTGACAGGTGAGACTTACCAGAGTGTGGACATGGTGGGCCACGTGGTTGTGGGTGTTGGCGTGACAGACTTGACACGTCGCAACGACGCGTTCCTGGTAGTGAGAGATGGTGACAAGCTCCATTTACAATGAATCTTGATGCAATATATGATAGAAGATGTGATGCAATGGACAAGGTATTGATGAGACCCAAGCTGATGATGGAATGTACTTGGGAGTGATGAAACCCCAGATGGAAGATTGGGGGGGGGGGTTGATAAAATGGAGGATGAGAAAGATGGGGAGATAAAGGAGGAAGAAAAAAAAGACAAGCTGGGGGGGAGGAGGGGGTTTATATAGGTTGGAGATTTACTGTGAGGAAGGTACCGTGCCTATTTGGGAAGTGACGATGGGAGACAATGAGACTCACCCTATTGTTCATTGTCACATGAAGCGATACACATCCCCAGCCACCTTAATTTGACCTGGCCAGTTACATGTGATGCTGTCACCTAGTGGGCATTCTTGTAGACGGTATGAAGAGCTGTAGCTTGCAACTAGCGTTCGAGATAAAAAAGAGCCGATCCCTGGGCCAGAATTGAAGCTGTCACCTTTATCGGTCATTGCAGCTGTTGTATATAGCTATATACATGGATTTAATGCCCCAGACTAATGCTTCTCACATCTCCGAGAGCTCAATCCCCCATAATATCATCCACATAAACATCGAGACTTGCGGGATCCCCAAAGTGCAGACGCCACCGACGAATGTCTAGAGACACCACCTTGTCTACGGGCCAAATATAAGGTGATTAAGTCAAGATAAACCTATGTGGTCCTCGGAAAAAGGGCATACTATGTGTAAAGTTGATTTATTCTGGGATCTATAAAGCAGCTATGGAGTTGGAGATAAGCTTTCGACGCTAGACTGTGTTCGGAATGGCGTATCCGCCCGCCATGCGGCTAGCCTCCCAAGGTCTCACGAGCATCATACTTGATATCCTTGGTGTTGGCAATGCAAGGTACCTTGTGTAGTGGATTCTAGCATAATAATCGATGATACTCTCTTTATCCGCTTTCATTTTCTAGCCGATAGGGCGCGGATGCCAGCCACAAGGCGGGTGTCGAATTTGCGAAACGAAAATTTCATCGAAACTAGGCTGGCTTGAGAACGCATAGTTATCATGGTCGCACAAAAAGAAAAAATCATTGGAATTGACCTATGTCTACTTTCTCCCAGTATGCCGATAAACATAGTGCCAATTCTCCTTCTTCAGATCCTGTCGCACCTTGTAATTCCTTTCCGCAGTCTCAATAACCCCCATATCTATATCAGCAATCATGAATCCATCCTCAGTCCCCATCTTAGCAATCGGTCCCGCAATAGGGAGTGTAATCTGCGACAGACCCAAGAAATCCTCCGACGGTCCGGCAGCGTTGACGAAGATAATACCACAGGTATTCTCAAAGCAGCGGGATGTAATGGTCGACTCGAGGAACAGGCCTTCACAATCTGGATTGTATGCGCGGGCTTCGGGGGAGGCGTCGTGGGGGGTCCCTGGAACAAGTTTCAGTTAGATCAGGTATCACATACAGGTACAGACCAGAAGGAATTCAGCATACAGTATGTAGGCACAATCACAATCTGCGCCCCGTCGACGATCAGTTCCCGGAATGCCTCGGGGAATGCCAGATCCCAGCAGATCAGCATTCCCACGCGACCGATCGGGGTGTCGATTGCCACATGGGGCTCTGGGCCTGAGGAGGTGAGGTGGGGTCGTTCCGGGTGCCAGATGTTCTTTTTGCGATAGGAGCCAAGCACAGTGCCATCATTTGAGATGAAGTAGGCTGTGTTGTAAAAAATGGTCGATTGGTCGGATCCTGTGTGTTTCTCGATAATTGTACCCGGTACGATGCAGATTTGCAGTTCTTTGGCCAGGCTTTGGTACTTTTCTAGGTACTGGGCAGATTCACCAGCTTGCACTACCCAACGGGGGTCTGTGGGGACCATACCACTGAGATGGTACCTGGTTGTCTTGAATCAGCAAGTGTTCCTTTGTTTTAGGGACTATCGTGTTGGACAGGAGGTCTAATAACACATTTCTTACTCTGGAAGAACGGCTAGCTCAGCACCTTGGGCAGCGGCCTCACTGATGTAGCCGCATGCTGTCCTATGATTGTACTCAATGTCAAGCTCCTGGGCTAATGTAAGCAAATCTGATTACAACCTTTGAAACTGCACCTCTTCAATGGTTTGACACGAGTCTACGACCCAACTAAATGTACCCACCTTGATGTGCCATTGAATAACGGCAATGCGACACGTAGAGTCCATGATATGTCAGACTTGCATATACGACAAACTGATTGTAACGAGGAGAAGAAAGAAACACTAGGAATTAATGACTATGAACATATCCACCGGTTACCCCAAACATGAAGTTGGAGAAATTGGGGTCAATGACCTCAAGAACGCAACCCCAACCCCACGCCGATCACATCGTCTCTCCGAACAGTCAACATATCCAGTATAGGAATATTCAGCCGATTAAGTGGCCTCTGTCCTCCACGAAGTCCCATAATCGAATTTGTTTGAGTAAAGACGGTATTGGGGACTTTATGCCATTCTAACCAATCCTTTGCATCAAGCACCTGGTGCCAACCTCTCAACTCTCACTCCGCAACCTCAACAACCAGCTTAGTGCAACTCACCCTGCGGAGTAGCACATCCAGCCCGGCATTGATAGCCCCCAAACCCTTTCCCACAACCCTGGGCTCCGGACTCGGCCTAATGGTCCCATTCGCCAGCTTCTCCCTCGGCCACGTCCCCACCCAATATTGGAATTGAGCCAACCTCTCTCCTTCGTCCGCTGATGGCAGCACAAAGATGGTTTCCACTCCGTTCACCTCGTCCGCATCCGGAGGAATAACTGGCGCCGACGCGATCTTCGCCTTCTGGTTTTCTCCTTCATCATCCCTTAAGAAAGCCTTCAGCACGGCCTGACACGGCGTCAGCTGCCCCGTGGCAAGAAAACAGTGCCGAATCACTAGGCCATCGTCCCTGGCCGCCGAAACAATTGCATCCACAACCTGCGGCTCGTTGTAATCGAAGACGCGATCCGCGCCTAGGGATGCTACATACTTCTGATTTGCCGCACCGGCCGTGGCGTAAACAGCGGCGAAAGAAGAGTTGAGATCTTCACGCAGCAGCCGGGCGCTTTGCACGCCCATCGTGCCCACGCTAGACGAAGCGCCCCAGATCAACAGGATGTCTTTCTTTTGTTTGTTATTTCTCTGAGTCCCTCCACTGGTATCGGTGCCGACTGGGGCAGCAGAAACCGAAGACGAAGCAGTGGCTTCTCCCACCCGTGGAATCCCCATAACATCCCACGCGTTAAGGGGTACTTCAACGGCGACGGGCAAGGTTGCCGCTTGGTTCCAAGAAATACTCTCATCCGGAAGAGGCATGGCGTGCTGCCAGGGACGAGGCACCGCTCCTGAAAGGCGCCGTAGTCAGGGTCGCAGGACTTCCACACGGAAGCGGCATAGGCGGCCACGCGGGTGATCCCTGGTCGGAAAAATGGCCCCGCGCTTTCATCGTTAGCACCGACGGGGACGTTGTCGCCAATCTCGAGGACTAGCCCCGAGATGTCGAAGCCAGTGACCGTGGGGTAGGTGGGTATGAAGAGGCCTTGATCACGCATGTAGCAGTCTGCTGGGTTGAGAGCTACGGATTTGACCTCGATAAGGAGCTCATCTGGGCCTGGCTTTGGTGTGGGACGGGGTTGGACCTCGAAACGCTCGCCTTTTGCGAGGGAGACGGCGGCGAGGTGGGTGGCCATTCTGGGTAAATATGGGATTCTGAGGTGTAGAATTATATGAGATCGAGTCTTGTACTCAATTTTTCCTCGCAGGATCGAGGGATAACCTTCTTTTTATACATTAAGCTATCATTTCAAATTAATCATTCTTGCAGTGACGTCTCCGTCCAAGGCGATCTCGTGTTGATTATAGATTGACAGTTTAAGGGCAGAACTTGCAGCCAATTAGAAATGTCTATATCCGAGCAACGGCTAGCGTGAAAGGTGGAATATCCGAAAGAGGATTAGCTTATTGGGGTCTATTTTAGTGTCGTCAGAGGAACCAGGACCCCTCCGGCATTGAATTCCCATCCAACTCGGGAAATCCCTCACACCCAAGCTACGCAAGGCATGGCTTCGACTTGTCCAAGAGAGGTGCGGGAGAGTAGGCCTCTGCGGAGGTCGAGATTTGGTTGCCGGAATTGCAAGCTTCGAAAACTTAAGGTGCGCGCTCCTAGGCTTCCAATACTGGTCCTTGGCTGACCGAACTTCATTGGCCTACTAGTGCGACGAAAGCAAGCCACAATGCAAGAGATGTAGTTCATTCGGGGTATTATGCAACTTCATGTCTAACATCCCCGACCTCCATCCCCTCGCTGCTGATACAGGGCGACCATTGGTGGCTCGAGGAAAAGCACAGCTTCAACCCCCTCTCACAAATGCTGTCTGGACATCTGACACATCGGTATCCTATCAATTGAACGCAAAGTGTCAAGATTTTATAACCCGGTATCTTGGACGAAGTCTCATTACCCCTGACGACCCTAATATGATACAAGTTAATCGCAAGCTCCTGGAACTTGCCTTCACTGTGAGTTTTTTGATATCAGTCCTGTCCCATTAGACACAACGAAAGCCCGAATATTCATCATGGGCTTGAGCTCAGCTAACATATGGTTTACAGTACCCTTTCTTAATGCACGCCTCTCTAGCTGTGGCGCTTACATATGACCGCCATCTGAATGGCTCCTTAGGCTGCCGTCGCACTGTAGAAGAGTGTTATCACTGGTCTCAAAGCACAGTTCTCTTGAACAAGCGGCTAAGGGGACCGATTGAAGACAAAGATAAGGATCCTATCTGGGGTACTGCGGCTGCTCTCGTTATCCTGATCTTCTCGTGCCCCGATGCATACACACCGGAACAAGCGTGGCCTCTGAAATCCTCCGACTCCTCCGACTTGAACTGGTTGCGCATGAGCAAGGGTAAAATGTCATTGTGGCACATTGTTAACCCGCTGCGACCGGACAGCCTTTTCCGTGTCATGGCAGCGACCTTTGCCCAAATGCATTCACCATTGCCAGAGGGAGGCATAGATGGTATACCAAGGGCATTAGCTTCCGTGTGTAACCTCAAAGACTCATCTACTGCGGAAACTAATCCGTATTTCCACGCCGCCCACGCGGTATCCCAACTCCTGGACCTCCCGGATAACGAGGTCACAACCGGTCCGACTCAACTCTTTACGCGGAGTATCCATGGCCCTTTCGAAAGTTTACTCCGGAAGAAGGACCCTGTAGCGCTATTGTTGCTCTATCTATGGTACCGGAAAGCAAGTCGCAGTATATGGTGGATTGAACTTAGGGCAAGGGTGGAATGCCCTTCTATTTGCTTGTATCTGCGACTATATCATAAAGAGAATGGTGATGTACATGCATTCCTTCCGGGAGGATCTCTCGGCGATAGATCGAATTAGTCAAGCTCTCCTCAACTCCTCCCTGGATTTGTTAATATGAAGGACTGCAGCTGTAGCCTATGATAGTCATTGCTAAGCGGATTCTACAAGAGTAGTCGGTCGCGTATGCCTCTGCTCTTGTGACCCAAGACTTTAGGAATCTGATCCCAAGTGGCTCAAAATGATACCAGGGAGACTATATGTAGGATAACATTCTGATGTGTCTTTTTGAATGATCTTTTTACATCTTTTTATGTAAAACAAAATCTTCTACATCCATGGATACGTAGATGCCGGGGAAAATCAACTTTGTAAAGTGGGGCAATATCGGTGAGTACAGGATATATATAGTGTGGCGTTTCTGTAGTACATACCTAACTGGGTGTAGCCGTAGACACCGTAATTGCTAGGCGGGAAGTAAATACCTTTCGCAAATCAAAATTTGAAGAACGAAATAAGTTTGTCATAGCCCTGGAGTGAACCTTGAAGCTGGGATGAGTCAAACAACTGCAGTCCCGAGGTAAACCAACGTTGAAGTTCAGTTTGAAACCCGACTAGATCTTGCATACTGCTTATCTGCGCTGCTGTTTTGTCAAGGCTTTCGCTTATATCCATGGATCTTCGCGGAATTCTAGAATAGCCGGGCAAGAATGCTATAGGAGATTAGAAGTTCCGATCTGTGCGAAAGAGAACGTTCCGCTGCTATCTTGGCAGCCAACCGTGTTACCTTTCACTATGGGGTTACCTACATGTAAGTAGGAATGGCCTAAAGATAATCGGGGTATGCTTCAGTATCTAGAAAGGATCATCCCTTCGGGTAAGGAATGTCGGGCCGCCCGTGCCGTCTAGTTTCTCCCATTTCAAGGGGTTTCCTTAAATCTCTTAGATCTCATGAATCTCTCATCGGCAGGCTCCGGTAAGAATGCTAATACGAAGGCGTGGAACACGCCGACAAATGATTGGAGAAGACGCAATCCCCTTCCACTGCCAAGTATAGGGCAGCAGTCCTCTCCAAGATGGAGAATGCACAAGGTCACACCGACCAATTGGAAGGGGGTAAATAGTGATATGTATTTCGGCAGCCCTAACAGCATAAGGGGTAATTCTGCTAGGAACGGGCCACGACATAGCCGGAATGAAAAGTGGGCCAATCTAGAACATGGCCCCTTCAGTATTAGGCAGCGATATAGATTTGAAGATGGGTACGGAGTAACCAGTTTCAGGTTTTTCGGGATGTGAGATGCCAAGATAAAAGTACTTCATCACATGTCCATGCGCCTAGACTCTGCAACTCACTATGCAGGGATGTGCCCATCTAGTACATACGGCAATGCCGAGTACGGAGGAGTGAATCCCGACTCGAATCCTTCCGAGTAAATGCTTATCGAGAAGGGGAGAACCCACTGAAGCTATATGTTGTACTTGTATATATATACATTGAATGTTTTCTTCTCCTGTTTGATCAGGTTATTACATTATTACTTCAATATAGCCCTGGAGCACTTCCAAGCGTATTTCCATCCAAACCTAAATGAAATACAGTTTGCTGCGCCACAAAACCCGACGAGACGGGACCAAAGTGATCGGCAGACCACGTTTTATGTGGCAGGTGACAATACCATACCGTAATGTAATCTTCCCGCATGCGTGATTTTTCCTATCGCAGCTATTTAGGATTTTCATTCTTTTTTTTTTTTGCCTGAGATTTTCTAGTTGCCTTCTTTCCATTCCTCCTCTTCTTACCCTTCCGTTATGCCCTCGATCATCTCTACGTACAATTGTGGCTCAATGCCACGCGGCTAAGAGCAGCTCCTCGTGGTCGATTCCTGCACGAGTCAAAGCTCTCCGCTCGGTAGCGATCGACGGGACCACATGTATGCCGCACCGAAAAAAACAAAGTCAAGATCCCAGAGCTAATAATTGCAGGTTCGAAAAATTCCCCTCCTTGCGAGAGCATCCTATCTCGACATCCTCCCCTCCGCGGCCAGTGCCAGTGGTCTCCGCTCGGCAACGGTCTGGCCGCAGTCCGTTCAATATGTTCTCGGCCTTTTTTCGCCGGGTGAAATCCTACAAGGAAAAGATCCCGTTTCTAAAAGACCTACACCTCAACTTTATTCTCCTCCATTACGCCTACATCATTTCTTGGGCTATCATAGGTTCCCTCATCGTTTACGCCGGTGGGAACGTTGCCTATGTCGATGCCCTCTTCCAAGCCGCTGGTGCCGCCACCCAGAGCGGGCTGAACACCGTCGATCTGAATCTCCTCCGGCTATATCAACAAATTGTCCTTTACCTGATCACATGCCTGTGCACACCGATCTTCATCCACGGCGCCCTGGTATTTATTCGGTTATACTGGTTCGAGAAGCGCTTCCAACATGTGGTCCGAGACGCTCGGGCGATGCGACGGACCCGATCCCGCATGGAAACGGTAACCGATGATGGTAACAGCGAGAATATCAACCGTGCGGAGCTTGGAGTCAGCGGTCGACCCATTGTGGTGATACGGGACGATTCAGGGATGCCCGGGACGGGCGAATGACGGATCCATCTAGCAAGAACGTTAATTCGGGCATCAACACACCGGAACCCCGGGCGAGTAGTGTTGACTCCAGCTCCGAAGGAACAGACACGGGCAGTGAACGTGAACCTCGTTTCGGCCTCGGTAGCTTGAAGGTGCCAACCCATTTGAGCCCTGAACACCACATTGCCTTCTTGGAAAAGCAGCGGAAGGACAAAGGAGCTCTGCGCATTCCGAGTCCTCGGGAGTACGACCGTGGTGGTGCGCCAGAGGCGTTGGAAGAAGATGCCGACCAGGAGGGTGAGCAGGCCCAGCAACCCAGCGACCATGACGACCAAGACGAACAGAGCCCCGTTGCACACCCCGAGGAGCTCGATCAGCTTGGTCCACTTGAAGGACCACACATCACCATCAACGAGCCAGATATTTCACGAACCCGCCCACGCGGTAACACGTTCCCTCGTCTGGAGACTCGCCCCACTTTCCGAGAGACTAAAGATGGGAATGAGACTACTACTCTTGCCCCTACTAACACTAGGAACACCTTCAGGGGGTGTTCCGATCTCTGACGCAAGAGCGTGACCTTTCGACTCAGCCATACCTCAGTTGGAATGCGACAGTGGCTCGTAACTCCAATTTCGTTGATCTGACCGAGGAGCAGCGTGACGAGTTGGGCGGTATCGAATACCGTGCGCTCAAGACCTTGGCCGTTGTTCTTATCACCTACTACGTCGGTTTTCATCTCATTGGCATGGTTAGCCTGGTCGGTTGGATCATGAGAGCGAACAAATGGGGCGACATTGTCCGGGCTGATGGAGTTGGGCGGCCGTGGTGGGGAATCTTTACCGCTGCGTCCGCCTTCAACGACTTGGGTTTCACCTTGACACCCGACTCGATGACCTCCTTCCAAAGGGCTGTTTTCCCTCTGCTGATGATGTCGTTCTTAATTATCATTGGCAATACCGCCTTCCCATGCATGCTTCGTTTGATCATCTGGATCCTTTCGAAATTCACCCGCCAGGGCACTGCGCTATGGGAAGAGCTGAAGTTTCTTCTGGATCATCCCCGTCGATGCTTCACTCTACTGTTCCCTCGCAATGCCACCTGGTGGCTGTTTGCGATTCTAGTCGCATTAAACTGCATTGATGTGATCTTCTTCGTCATCCTGGATGTGAGTTTTGGATATCTCTCACTTTTTCGCGATTTTTTACTGACCATGATTTGGTAGCTCAACGATTCTGCCGTCACTTCACTGCCACCCGCCATTCGAGTTGTGGACGGCTTCTTCCAAGCCTCTGCGACACGAACAGCCGGCTTTGGAATCATCAGTCTTTCAGAACTTCACCCCGCTGTCCAAGTGTCCTATATGATCATGATGTATATCTCAGTATTTCCCATTGCCATCTCTATGCGTCGGACCAACGTCTACGAAGAGAAGAGTTTGGGAATTTACGATGCCGCAGAGGAGGATGACGACGAAGAAACAAATGCCCCCACCTATATCGGAGCTCACTTGCGACGCCAGCTGAGTTTCGATTTATGGTATGTCTTTTTGGGTCTATTTATCATTACCATAGCGGAAGGATCAAAATTGCAGCAAAACGACAACGCCTTCCAGGTGTTTAATGTTTTGTTTGAGGTTGTCTCGGCATACGGTACTGTGGGTCTGTCGTTTGGATACACAAATGTCAACACCTCCTTCTCGGGGCAGTTCAATGTGATCTCCAAGTTGGTGATCATTGCTATGCAAGTTCGTGGTCGCCACCGTGGCCTGCCTTATGCACTTGACCGCGCCGTCCTTCTCCCCTCCGATGCTCTCAACCGACATGAGGCTGCAGAGGGAGAGCGCCGCATGCGCCGCCGCGCATCCAACCTGAGTGGTGGTGGGTCTTTCGCGCCATCGCAATCGCGTACCTTGTCTCAGGCGAGGAACGATGCTAGTCAATCTCAGACTAGGAATGAGGCTGCTCTGTCTTCGGGTATGGAATCCCGCGACTGGCAGCCTCAGTCTGCTCCTACTGGAGACTCGCTCATACGTCGTGCGTCGACTCTCCGATCCAATCGGTAGAAAAGGCGGAGCCTGGTTTTCTTGCTCATACATAGAGAGGCTTGGCGTTCTACATACGTGCCCTGGCGGTTCGATTTTAATTCTTTGTATACATAGTTAATGAAAATATTGTCCTCCCACCGGAATAGTACATAATGGTTCTTTTGCCGCATTCCTTAACTATGGGGACAAAACTCCGTCTTTTGGCCGTCGCTCTGGATAATCGTGCTTCGATTGAAAATTGTAATCATGACCCTCGTAAGGGTCCAAGGTTCAACCTCATCCTTCAGTCTATCTGGACCTTCGACCCTTAAAAGAAGCCGCACGATATTCTGTATTCTGAATAAAGCAAGTGCTATACTTATTATGAACTAGTACCTAATTAATATATCTAATTAAGTATCCATGGACGTTTGAATGAACTGCCCCTCCACATCGGAGTCTTTGGTCAGCAGCCGGACCTGCCCAGGTGGTAGACACAGTTATTCATCTTGCCAACCCGGTGGATCCGACCAAACGCCTGCTCCTCGGTGACTCGAGGAACACAGCGTGGAGGGCGCGGACGCAGGTAACCAGTCCAAGTACACACCAAAGCCAACTGTTTTGACCTAGGAAATCCGGTACATACCTAGGGTAGGTACTTACCTAGGTAGGAAGGTGCATGGCACGAAATAGACTAGGCTATTTATAGCGAGGTGATCCATGGATCCACAAGCGGAAAGATCGGCGCTTTTCCATTCTAGGACAGAGTAGATGTGAGGTCCATGACGACAAACTCGATAGCTTTTGAACATCATAAGGGTGTAATCTACATAGAACATAGAATAAAAGTCGTCTCGAAATCCAAATATACTAGAATCCTTCATCCCAACTATACCAACCATCACCATGGATATCCGACAACTACCATACACTCTCGAAATCAAATCCCCAGTTGCGACTTCCAGCCAACCAGAAGGAGATAGAGCCACAGAACCTCCTCCCTGGTATAATCCACGAGGCTGGTCCCTACGCAAGAAACTCATCGCCAGCACAACAACCATAGTCATAATACTGGCAGCAATCCTGATCCCCGTCGAAATAATCCAAAACCGCTACCCAAACTACATACCCTTGAATTACACCCTCGCAGACACCTACTCAGGCCCAACCTTCTTCGACCAATTCACCTATTTCACAGACGATGACCCAACAAAGGGCTTCGTCGTCTACGTCAACAAATCAACCGCCAGAGACTTAAACCTCACCTATGCATCCGAGTCCTCGGCCGTCCTGCGCGTCGACGCATCAACACCAAACGCCCGCTCAGGCCGGAACTCCGTCCGCGTCGAGTCGAGGAATACGTATGATTCCGGCCTCTTCATCTTTGATATTATTCATACACCCTTCGGCTGTGCGACATGGCCTGCTTTGTGGTTAACGGATGGGTATAACTGGCCGATGAATGGCGAGATCGATGTTCTTGAAACTACGAATGTTGGAAGCCATGGGAATGAAGTCTCCATTCATACTACCAAGGGGTGCAGTATGGATGTCAAGCGCAAGCATACCGGTCAGGCGATCTTTAAGAACTGCGATAGTGCCACAGGTGGAAATTCTGGCTGTGGTGTCATCGGTGATGAGAATAGTTATGGTGAGGCGATGAATAACCGTGGTGGGGGTGTTTATGCCCTTGAACTCCGTGATGCTGGTATTCGAGCTTGGTTCTTCCCGAGTGGAACTGTCCCTGCTGATATCACGGCGGAGAATCCTGATCCGAGTAGCTGGGGCGTTGCGTTGGCGGATTTCCCGAGTACGAAGTGTGATATTGCGTCGCATTTCAAGAATCTGAGTATCATTGTTAATATTGACCTCTGTGGTGAACTTGCTGGTCAGAAACAGTATTATGATACTTTGTATCACTGTCCGGCGACTTGTTCGGGCTTTGTCGCTAGCAATCCCGGCAGTTTTGTTGATGCTTATTGGGAGTTTAAGAGCTTCAAGGTTTATCGTGCTTATTGAGCTTGCAGAAAGGTTTGAAGGCTAGGTATTTCTTTTGTGCGTCTATTGCTATTTGCTGGGTGACATGATTGGATGATTTGGAGTAAAAGGAATGTTTCACATTGCAGCATGTGTCCTTTTTGGTTGCTTGATGGGTCTTGCTAAGGGAGTCCGGAATCGGGATGTGCTCAGAGGAAGTCGATGTAGGCTTTGCTCATGCTATAGGATTGGTTATCCATAGTGGTGCACGAACAGACAAATTAAGACATTCTTTCTTTCATGCTGTTGTATTTTCAGTCTGAGTAGCGAAGCGTTATTGTATAGGAGATCGGGGCAAAGCCAGGGACAATCGAGTCCTAGAGCTGGACAATAGGGCAGGCGTGGCTGAATATCAGATACATCTGTAATCCATGACTATCCGGATGCAAATAGCAGTCCATATAAGCCAGATACCTAAGTCAGTCATGCATGTCACATCCTAGCCATTCGCACCCTCAATAAACTCCCCGGCATTCATACCCATCTCATTAGACACAGAGGCCATATCCTCGCTCCCATGTATTGACAGACACCTGCGGGGCTTTTTATTAGCAAGAAGCCAACGATATCTTGACTATAGCTCACCCTAAGCTCAAGCTCTCGGATCGTCACTCTCATCACTATAACGCTCCTCACCATTCTCCTCGTACTCCTTGTTGTCAATGTCACCCCACCACCCTTCTCCGGTTATTTCTATAGTGTCATCAATGCGGTGCGACAATTTTCCAGAGAGCTGTATAGCCCCTCCTTGCCACCAGAAGTTAGCTTCCAGGGGGCCAATCAATGCCTTGATCTCTTGGCAGTATGGCTTATCTTCGGCGAGATCGAAGTACTGCACTTGAGCATCGTTGACTACGAGACGTAAATCGGTGCTCACAGTGCCGGTGAAATAGTGTCTCTCTCCATCGCTTGTCTGAATCAAGGCACGTATCCTCCCCTTGTTGCAGGTGAGACTGCCTGGGGATTTATGCTGCTCGTGCGGTTGGCTAGAAGACCCTTGATTCATCTTGGAAAATTGTGTGGTAATGAGTAAAGTCAGAATGGTGTTCGAAGGTGATCAGTCCAATGGTTTTATACGTTGGACGGAGCGGGTCAATTGGATGGACAGTTCTCGGGGAGATGTCACAGCAAGTCGGATGGGGTGGTGACCGCTGCTTGAGGCCTTGACTGGAGACTGAGAAGATATTCGAAGAGCGCTGGCGCATAGTGGGAAACGACTTGAGAAATAATATCAAAATAAATGTGAGAGATAGATATTCAGTTTTACTTCTTTGCTAAATCAACATAGAATGGGTATCTCTAACAAAGATAAATCGTCCGTCAAGCACATTCGGCCATCAATAATTCATCTCCGGATCAAAAGACGCAGAATGCATCAACACTGACGAGATCGAACTCAACCTCGAAGTGTCGCAGGGTGGCAATGTGGAGAGCCAGTGGCTCAAGTAAAGCAACCCTAGGTATACCAGAACAAAATCCACGAAATGAAAGTCATGATAATCGTAACAATAAACATAAGAAAAACAGAACAAAACTATAGCTGCCGAAGCAGACTACCATCTGCAAAGGGGTTCTCCGGCGACATATCCAGCAGTGGCCGTGTGGCATTACGGTCACCCGTTGCGACACCATGTCCGCTGCGCGGATTCCGATGACTAGCCGTGCTGGCCGAATGTGCCAGCAGGCTGTTCGCGGTGAACTGGGAGGCAGGAAGTGCCGGGCTTCCTTCAGCAGAAATCGGGGCCGCGTGTTTGTTTGAGTGATGGCGCACGCTGCGGGTGGTGTTTCGTCGCTGGGGTGTGGTCTCTGCGGCTGGCCGTCGCCACGAAGTCGCAGGTGGGATGGCGATTCCTCCCGGGGTTTGATCTGGGCCAGTGGCACCGTCAATAAGCTGCATGCCTGGCTGGACTTTGACGCCGCGACCCTTGCCCTTGCGGCTATGCTGCGGTGGCTCGGCATAGACTGGGGTGAGATCAACCAAAGGCTTCTGTTTCAGAGATGGGGTTCGAGTAAAAGCGGATGAATCCGGAGCACGGGTCATTGTGTTGGTCCGGCTGTTGGGATTTGAGTCGTGGCTGTGTATGGATCCTCCGCTTATCAAGCCACCGCCTGAAAAGGCATCCTGCTTAGCTCTCTTATCGCGATCATCCCGTTCCCGCATAGCATTTTGTCGCTGTGTGTAAGTTCGGCCTAAGAGTCCGGATGGTGCAAAAGTAGAAGCATCTACATCTTCGGGTGACACAGCTGAGACTAAGGCCTGGTTGTCGGCGAAAGGCCCTTCCATGTCGGTGTCGAGCGTCAGCTGGGGATATGAAGTTGGAGGGGGCACGTGTTCACGAAGGGTCTTCTTCCGGGCATAGATGTCTCTGGAGGTTGTCGGCCTCCGCTGGTCAGAGCTTTCACGCCTCGGGGATTCAGTTGAAATCTCCCTCTGCAGGAGTGGGACCTCGTGCATATTTCTCGGCTGATGAGTCGATTTCTGAGTCCCAGCTCGCTTCGGGAGTGTTTCGGTCTCTGATTTCTGGCCTGCTCCCTTCTTATTGACAAGGTACCAGCTTCTCCACTTCTGCACTGCCCGATACCATGTATCCGCAATAGACTTGTCGCTGGTGGAGAAAAAGTGCAAGAAATTTTCGGTGGACAGAAACATGGATGACTTCTGCTGGCTCTTAATTGCGAAGCATAACTTCTTAGGCGGCTTGATATCCTTGTTTAGCGCCCGCGCGCTGGGAAAGTAGATGTCATAGTCGGATATATGGCAGATATTGGTCTGGTCCTCGGCATTCTCTTTTTTTGATATTGTCACTTGTCCGTCGGCGCGCAAGGTGACATATCGCTTATCCCACTTGCGACGACGCTGGGAATGGTAAATATGGACAGTCACTGGACATGGAGGCCCGCTGGGGGCATGTCCAGCATCGAGCTGGGATAAGGCTTCCGCGCTGGAGGGGGGAATAACGATGAACTGGTTATCAGCATCGTGAGACCAGGAGTTCATGACTTCCCGGACATGCTCGTAGCGGCGAAGAGGACGCTCTAGGCCAACTTGAGAGAAAGACTCCATGAGAATGAATTTCTCTGCATCAATGTCCCGAGATAAGTGCTTGGTGGCATCTAGCAAGATATCCTGGACTTGAGTTGACGGGGTGACTTTGAGATCAGCCGTGGCATCTCCATATTTGACAAGGGCATGTCGCTCTCCGGCGTTGACGGCGCTGACGGGAGCATCAACTCCTGGGACCACTCCTGTTCCGCCCACCCCGATGTATTTTGGGGGGGACTCGGCTTTCTTGCCATGGTCCTTGGATCTCGAAAGCTTGACCTTCTGAAAGAAAGACTTGCGATTCCCATCGTTTCCCGAGTGGGAACTGCACGGGGGCGCCGGGGCAGGTTGCGATCGGGTTTGCGCGATCTGTTTTGGCGGGGCGGACACCTGAGGCCGAATGTGTTGCGAGTTATCCCCAGTCAATTGTTCCATCGCACCTTGTCGGTGCGCCTCACGTCTGCGCAATTCTTCCCGTTCATTTTCTCGTTCATTCCGCTGCTTTTCTGGTAGGGGTCGCGCGTAGCCCGGGATCGCGGGAGTAGGAGGTGCGATATTTCCATTTGACAATGGCCGATTGCGACGATATCGAGACCTGCTCCTGGCAATCGAGGGATTCTGCTCGCCGACGCTATTCACAGGCGCAGGTGCGGCCATTTCGTCGGTTGTCACACCTCGCATGCCACGGTATCGAGAGAACTTTTGAGGCACGGACTGCGCCGCTGTCGCACTGTTCTCACTCATGGAGACTTCTCACTTGAGATTTGCCCCCGGGGAGGGCGCAAAGAGTTCCGGGACCTGTCTCAGTTTCTATTGCCAGTATCAGGTTAGCGTCACATTGACACCAAACAGCAATTTCCCGTAATTTCCTTCAGATCGGAGATCGAACGGGCAGTGTTGCGACTCTGCGACTGTGCGAGTCCGCGACTCAGGCTCGTAACAACACACGACGTGGAAGACACAATTAAAACAAATGTGGGAAAAAGGCACAGTGGGATTGGAATAAACAGAATCCCTCACGATCAAACCGGCCTGTTCTCAATCGACCATTCGCGCCTCGTTGGGGGGCAAAAAGCGACCCGCACTGATCGCCAATTGGGCCGGCCTAGGCTGGTGCATAGGGTGGCTTGGATAGATCATATATGTATGTGGTATATGAATTGGACTCACCGAAGTACTTGGCATAGGGCCATCAAGTGTGAGAGAAGAGAAAAATACCATTTGCCCAGCTTTGCCCAGGTCCCGGTTTCGTGGGGGCTAACATTTCCGGATCGGCCAACGCGCCGGTTTCAACGTGATATATAACAGACCTGATGGAGTATGCGATACAACATAGACGATCGACAGGTACTATTGGCATTATTTGCATTATATTGTAGATTGTTTAGATCAATGCTGAATATGAGGCTATAATTGGATGATCTCCATGGGTCCACAGGACGATCGGATCGAAGTGTCTTAGTACTATTCTTCACGATATCATGAAGATAGCCTTGAATGGTACAGTTCCGATGCTGTTCACAGCATATAAAAGTTCCGTGAGGTGGATAGTCCCAAGGTCGTTACTGACTCGCATCTCCTTGATGGGCTTAAATCTCCTTTCTGATTTTCAATTGGACCTTTATCCTTCTATATTTGAATCATTCTTACGTGAATAATAAATAACGGGTTTAGGTCTGCCCTATTTCCGATAAGCACCCAATTCCCAACGCCTGCAAGTTGTTAGCATAAGTCCTACAGCTGTACAGGTGTACAGGTGTACAGGTATACAGGACACCCCATGAAGAGAACTTACCACCACGCAATGAAGTCCACTGTCCGCACATCGATCCCAAGCTCAGTGAGCGCCTTGGTGGAAAGATGTGTATCATAAGGCCGTACCACACCCGCATTGGGGTCATTGCCCTGCTTATTGGCGATCATCCCGGGAATGGCGACACCCAGCACCTGGGCCAACTTCTGGCAAATCTCATACTTGGTCATACGGTCTTCGGACGAGAATTGCAGGATACGAGGGAAGTCCTTGCGCTTCTCCTTCTCACGCAGGTACTTGATGACAATGTCCCGACACACGCGCGCAACGTCCTCGGTGTTGGTTGGGTACCGCATGGCCCAGTCATCCATCTTCACGCCGGCATTTTCATCTGTGGCCTTCTTGACTGCGTCGACGAGGGTGTTGACCGCGCTCTCCGAGTTCTCCTTGGCGCTGCCGTACAGCACCGGCACGCGCAGCACCACGCCCATGCCCGAGTCCTTGGTTGCTTCTAGTACGGCTACCTCACCATCACGCTTCAATTGCCCGTACAGGTTCGGTGGCTTGGTCTCGGATTCGGATTCGTAGGGTGCCTCGCCTTCGGTGCCAGGGAAGACGTAGTCGGTCGAGATGTAGATGAGGAAGGCGCCACGAGCTTGGCATTCTTTGGCAAGAGTGCGAGTGGCCTCGACATTGACCCTGCGGGCTTGATCTGGGTTCTTCTCACAGAGGTCCGGGGACTTGTTTGCGGCGCCTATGAGCTGTTAGTCTATGAGGAGGGGTGATCGGCCAGCTCATTAGCTTACAATGGATGACAATCTGGGGCCTGTGGTCCAAAGCTGATTAATATCTATACTCAAGGCCTAAATGAAGAAAATACATACTTGATTTCATCGAAGAGCATCCGAATATCTTCCTCCTTCTCCAGGTCGGCTTTCAAGATAGTAGGCGGGGCAGGACGGGAGAAACCCTGGCCAACAACCAACACGCCCGAGTGCTGGAAAGTGTTGAAAACGGCACGGCCAAGGAAGCCACTGGCTCCAGTAACGAGAACAGTAGATGTCATATTTCAATGTCGTTATGAGATTAAGTGAGGAAGATGGAGGAGGTTCTTCTTTTTTCTTTCCGCGGGGCCAACAGTGACGTAACTGACTTCTGGCAGATGTGCCCAGGTGGATATAGCAAGACACAGTTAACCCACCGATATACAACATAGGCAATTAACCCCTACATATGTAGGAATTCGATCAATTCAATCAATTCCATTTGGTATTTTAAGCATAGGGTTAAGCATACTTCTAATGATATAATGATCATCATTGTGTATTTGGATAGAGTGACAAGGTATAGGTAGGATATATATGTATAAATTTGAACCCTACACTATTTATGTGCTATATTCAGTACATTTATATAGCAATATCCATTTAAACTACTACACTAAACAATATAACCTGTTTTTAAAGACCATGTAAGCGTTGAAGATAAAATGCCGAAAATCTCCGAGATCGAATCAAAATCGATGGGGACCTGAGGAGCTCTCGGAGGCAGATCGGAGCATCGGAGCATCTCCACTTGGACATTCCAAAAATTGTTCCTCCTGTATGTTGTAATTCCTCAGCCATGTCTGGTGCCAGGAACATCACAGCTGCTTTGCGGCGGGCCCGAGTGCCTCGTCCCAGTCTTGCCATTCGCACTGTCAAATCCATCACACCCTTGACTGCGCGCACCTTCAGCGCCAGCTCCACTCGCACCTCCGATTCCCGCCAGATCAAGTTCACCAGCGACGCCTACCCCAACCTCAAGCGCAACCCCAATTTCGCCGAGATCTCCGCCGACGATGTTGCACACTTCAAGGAGCTTCTGGGCTCCCAATCTGCCGTGATCGATGGCGTGACCACCGACGCGACGGACGATATCGAACCTTTCAACAGCGACTGGATGCGCAAGTACCGTGGCCACACCCGGCTTGTTCTGAAGCCCAAGGATGCACAGGAAGTCAGCAAGGTGCTGAAATACTGCAACGAGCGCAAATTGGCTGTTGTGCCGCAGGGTGGAAACACTGGCCTCGTCGGTGGCTCGGTGCCAGTCTTCGATGAGATCGTCATCAACACTTCGCGCATGAACCAGATCCGCTCCTTCGATGCTGCCTCCGGTGTGCTGGTCGCTGATGCCGGTGTTATCCTTGAGACTGCCGACCAGTATCTCGCCGAGCGAGAGCACCTCTTCCCTCTGGACCTGGGTGCCAAGGGATCCTGCCACATCGGTGGAAATGTTTCCACCAATGCCGGTGGCCTGCGTCTCCTCCGCTACGGCAGTCTGCACGGCAGCGTGCTCGGCCTCGAGGCGGTCCTGCCGGACGGGACCATCGTGGATGCGCTGTCGACTCTACGCAAAAACAACACTGGCTACGATCTCAAGCAGCTGTTCATTGGCTCTGAGGGTACCATTGGCCTCGTGACTGCTGTCTCTATTCAGTGTCCCCCGCGGCCCAAGGCGGTTAACGTGGCTTACTTTGGTCTGGAGAGCTTCGAGCAGGTCCAGCAGGCCTACCTCGCTGCCAAGGGTCAGCTCTCGGAGATTCTCTCCGCGTTCGAGCTGATGGACGGTCGCAGCCAGAAATTGGTCATTGAATCTACGGGTAACAAGCACCCTCTCGAGGGTGAGTATCCTTTCTACTGTCTGGTGGAGACCAGCGGTTCCAACGCCGAGCACGACATGGCCAAGCTGGAGTCGTTCTTGGAGAGCGTGATGGGCGACGGCATTGTCGCTGACGGAGTACTGGCCCAGGATGAGACCCAGTTCCAGGCCCTGTGGCGCTGGCGTGAGGGTATCACCGAGTCCCTGAGCCACTTGGGCGGCACCTACAAGTACGATGTGTCGATCCCATTGTCGGATCTGTACCTGCTGGTGGAGGACTGCAAGGCCCGCCTCACAGAGAAGGGTCTAGTCGGTGATGATGATTCTTTCCCTGTTCGTGCCGTTGTTGGTTATGGTCACATGGGTGACTCCAACCTGCACTTGAACGTTGCCGTGCGACAGTACAGCAAGGAGGTGGAGAAGGCGATCGAGCCGTGGGTGTATGAGTGGATCCAGAAGCGCCAGGGCAGCATCAGTGCTGAGCATGGACTTGGCGTTGCTAAGCGGGAGTTCATTGGTTACAGCCAGAACGAGACGATGGTGAAGCTGATGAAGCAGCTTAAGAACCTCTATGACCCGGTAAGTGGAGTATCACTGCTATGTGTGAACAATTGCTAACTCATTTATCTTAGAATGGGATCATGAACCCATACAAATATATTTAGAGCTAGTCGCGAACGTTTACAGAATGTTGTATAGGGATTGTTGGAGCATAACAAAAGCCGTTGACCGAGAGCAAGTAATAATTATGCTCAAGAATTCACAAGCATGTACGCAGAATCTCCAAGTAAAAATAAAATAAGTAAATGATCATCCTTCCAAGACTATATTAGCCATGTTGTAGCTAAATCCGATCATCTGAGTGGACCCCTTGCTGATATACCCCAGTTGCTGCCTGAGGCCTCCGGTTGCCATGTGAGACGGAGCTTGTTTGGGGATTTATGCTCCACCCCTTGTCATCGCCTCTTTACTCTCGTCTTGACCATCAAAAGTCCCAAGCTATTCATTCACTACTTGGATGAGCCCTGTCGACATTCCCTGTCTGACTGGAGTAGCTAGCTGGGCTAAATTATTGCGCAATGGACGACATGTCGAGTCATTACCAGGTGATGGAGGAGCTGGGAAGTGAGTTGACCAAAGCTCTGTTTATTTTACTTTTTTTTCGCATTTCCGTCGGCTAACCGTATTCTCCGTTTGCAGGTGGTAGTTTCGGAGTTGTTTACAAGGCCATTGATAAGACGGACGGCGAGATCGTTGCCATTAAACACGTACGCTTTTCATATTCGATCTTCGAATTGCAATTCTCGCCTTTTCGTTCGATTGTTGACTCCCTTTTCAGATCGATCTCGAGTCCAGCGAGGACGATATCCAGGAGATCCAACAGGAAATTTCTGTTTTGGCTACCTGCGCTAGCCCCTACGTTACACAATACAAAGCCAGTTTCCTCAAGGGGCACAAACTATGGATTGTTATGGAATACCTCGGAGGTGGTTCCTGTCTGGATTTGGTACGTTTCTCGCTGTTGCTTTTACTGTGAGGTACACTAACCGTCCCAGTTAAAACCTGGATGTTTTAACGAAGCCCATGTGGCCATCGTCTGCAGAGAACTCCTCCTGGGCTTGGATTACTTGCACAGCGAAGGCAAGATCCACCGTGACGTTAAGGCTGCCAATGTTCTCCTTTCTCAGACCGGAAAGGTGAAGCTGGCAGACTTTGGTGTCGCCGCGCAGCTGGTCAACATCAAGTCGCAGCGCAATACATTCGTCGGAACTCCATTCTGGATGGCACCGGAAGTAATCCAGCAGGCTGGATATGACTTCAAGGCAGACATCTGGTCTTTAGGTATTACGGCAATCGAGATGATCAATGGCGAGCCCCCGCATGCTAGCACACACCCGATGAAAGTGCTGTTCCTGATTCCGAAGAACCCCGCCCCTCGCCTTGAAGGCAACGAGTACAGCAACACATTCAAGGACTTTATTGCACAATGTCTGACAAAGGACCCGGATTTGCGGCCGAGCGCAAAGGAGCTCCTGAGGCACAAATTCGTCCGGAATGCGGGCAAGCCTGAAGCACTCCAAGAATTGATACATCGCAAGCAGGACTGGGATGGTGGCCGTGGTGAGACGAAAGACGTCAAATACTATGCCGAGTCTCTCAACACCATGACCAGGCCCGAGGATCTCGATGATGACGATTGGGTCTTTGATACAGTCAAGCCTCCTCCAATGTTCAAGCCCAAGGGCACGGACTGGATGACATTTGACGAGGAGGAGGAAAACGCGCCTGATCCAGCTCAGATGCTGGAAGACATGCATATAAGCGCACCGCCACCACCGCCTAAGCACCAGGCAAACTCCACCGTCCGCCGAGTTCCTACAGACCGATCTCCGTCTGTCAGACGGGCTAATACCAAGCGGCGCTCAAGTGGGGTCAAACAACCCCTTGGTCTGGACTTAAGCTACGGCAACAGCCCGTCAACCGTCAGACAGTTCCGCCGGGTATCGGACAAAGTGCCCACCGATCTGAACCCGGCCAAGCATGGATTTGATGAAAATCAGAGCCCAAAGACAGTGTCCACCGACACTTCAAGCAAGGAGGCTCAGATTGGACGACGGGCATATAGCAAGGCAGTGGGAATGTCCTGTCAGGAAGTCCTGTCAACAACAGGAGATGGTGATAAGCGCGAGGCAATCTCTAGACTCGCCGAAGCCTGGAGCGACCTGGAAATGGTCGACCCCGAAGGCCTCTACCACATCGTCAGGATCATGAACGAGAAGCTCCAAGCAGACTCCCGCCTGTCCACTCTTCTTCCATCCACGCAACCGGATTCTCCCTCGCGACCACGCCTCGTGCTGGCCCAAAACAACCCACACCTCAAAAGCCACCGTCCTCGCCAATCCTACGTTCCCGAACCTCAACCCCAGTCACCCCCATCCGTCCCCGCTCAAGCTGCACCCGGTATGGAACACACTAAACAACTCTCCGACGTCCTCTACCAGCGATGGTCAGAGGGCCTCCGCAACCGCTGGGGCGGCTTCTAGTCTCTCCCTCACTCATCTTCACGCTTCCGACATCAACCTACATCCCCCTCAACACCCCTAACTACTCTTTCTTCCATTCGCTGTATAGACCCCATTTGGCGTTCTGACACTTGTACAACTCTTTGCCATTGGCTGCATCATTGGTGTCCGTTCGTTCGTCCTGTTTACTGTCACTTACTCTGGAGGGACTGGTCCCGGAGTTTCTAATGATCTGGTGTAATCTTTTTGCGCTTTCTTCTGTACTCTCTTTTTCCCTGATAGAATGCTGTCTGTGCTTCTGTCTTTGTCTATTGGCCCTTGGTCTTGTGTGATTTTTTTTTCTCTAGGTATTTCGAGGAGTACTAGAACATACTACGTCTGGAATGTGATAAATGTCTTGATTTTTGCATCGCTTCGTATTTCCAATATATCTGTACCCAGAAACAAGACGAAGGAAACGCCAATTCAATCCTCACTACCTTTCTTTGCGGGTAATCCCACAGATCTATCCGGTGTAAAATCGTCCAATGCTCTACAATAAATACCCAGCTTCCCTTCTTCATACCTCGTGTAACACGACGACAGATTCTGATAATATATCGACCCCAATATTGAAGAAAGTCCATCGTCAGACCCCATCTCCTTCTCAGCCTCCGCAACGCTTCGCACATACTCCTCTCGTCCCCCCCAGACCTTCCTTGTATCATCAGCCAACGGCTTTCCACCATCATCATATCTCCACGGAAAATCCAAGGCAGGAGGAAGCGTGGACAGAAACATCGGGAATTCAACCCTCTCCCAGGGAACCGTACCGGCATGTTCCCAGTCAATGATCGACAGTACATTGAACTCAGCATCCACAATGACATTGCTATGGAAGAAGTCGGCATGTTTAAGCGGGAAAGGACCCTCATTTCGAACTGTGATATCGAACCGCTGTTCCTTGATCCGTCGTGGGTAGTCGCCAGTCGATTGGATGACATCGTCCTTATATTCCTCCGGTAGCATAGCTCTCATGCTTTCCTCTGATCTCGGGAACCTGGTGTGCTCGCCCCATGCTGCGAAATACTCTGTTGCCGTGTTGAACGGTCCTCCCAGGTCTGGTATCGCTTCGATTTCGTACGTGCCGTCATCTCGCTTGGCTATCATGCCGATTTGCGGGAACCTGATTGTTGATATCGCTGCCTGGTTTGCTTGTTAGATGGATGTGGAGAACATCGAAGGCTCTGAAGTTTGTGAGGCTTGCATGGATGCGTGCCATTTCGTGGTAGAACTTGGCTTGGAATTGAGGAGGTATATCCGGACTACGGAAACCCGTAAAGTCTGTTCCTGTGTTTCCGGGAATGAATTGCATTATCATGAATGCACGGCTGATGAGGTCTGGATTTGTCTCGTAGCCGTAGACTTCTGGTACGGGGACATCTGTTTGCTCGTGGAGGATAGAGAGCGTGGAGATCTCGTGGAAGAGTCGTTTCTCGAGTTCGCTGGTGAGTTTGTGCAGTTGGATTCGGGCTATCCATTTCATACCATCGTCGAATTCGAGGATTCTGGCTAGATGGAGGCCACCCAGGTTGTACTTTTCGTGGATGTGACAGTTTTTGGTTGTTGGTTTCTCGCTTTTGCTGTTCCTCAAGTTGATGGCAAATTCCTGGAGAGCGGTCCAGTTGATCTTGGGTACCTCCTCATCATTTCCAATGTCTGTTTTCCAATTGAGAGAGTCCATTCTCGAGGTCAGTAGTGAGACAGGAAGTGTGCTCAGACGATATCTTGAGAGATGGAAACGGTCTAAGCATTCTGAAATATTTAGGGCGACGTATCAAGTAATAACTGCAACTAGCGGTGTGCTGTATTTTCCAGGCTTGCATATGCATGGATCTAAATTCAAATAAGCATATCTCCTGGATAAACCAGCTACATACACATCTAATATATGAAATACAACCATCTCCCTATGACTGAGTGGCAATTGTAATGGATAGCTTGGTTCAAGGATTCCGAGATGGACTATTTGACTATAGTCCAAGGTAATCTGCCAAAATCCTCCCTGGGTGGTTGAGTGGGTGAGAGACACGAGGTCATCTGATTGCTGGGTGGAACAATGAGCCCGGGTGACACCGCATTGGGAAGCTCAGTCAATGGTGAAACTGGTCAGGGTTTCGATCCTCGTACCAGGAGTAGTTGGGGTACGGATTCTTTTTTTGTTTTTTTTCCCCCCCTCCTTCCTATATAGACCCTTTATTATGAGAGTCTCTTCTCTTCCCTCGGCTCATGCCTGAGTCTTCCACTGCATCGTCTTGATACGCCACTGGTCTAACATTTGAAGCCATCAGCGTCCTCAACCCTGCTGCGAGGTGTCTTTCCCCATATTCTCACTTTCTCCAGTTGGGCCCGGCAAGCCTGCTTACAAGGATCAGGTTGAGCCAGTTCAATGGCCTCAGACTTTTCACCCACAGTACCGTCCCAGCTAACACCACCGCCCTTCATATTAGCCAAGGGCTATTACATGGCCTTTTTGAACAGAAGTCTCCTTCTTAACCACAGTGAGTCCTGCCTCGCGCACCCGGGCCCCGCGCTGCCAAAATGACTCCTTGCCCTGAACAATTCGGAAAACAAAATCCTACCGTGGAAACAACCAGCCAGCAAGCAGACAACCTAGAGAAGTTTCTTCTGCAAGTGATATCGACTTGGAGGAATTCATGACTCTCTTGTTATACCAGGCAAAGCAGCTCTATGGGTTCTATAGTGATCGACCAAATAAGGTGGGTCCTTCCCGAGGACAGTCTCCACTTTGAAGCTTGACATTTTATGGATCCATGGGTCATTTCTATACCAATCCGATTAGCTCAAATAGAAGACTAATCAACTGGACATTCAATTCGTCAATTATTCAACCTATTTCCTCATCCTTGGTCGTCGTGTTTGACCAGATCATTGCATATCGCTTTATCCCTTTCATTCACACAAGCACAGAGGTCAGTAAACATCCGCTCTACCTCACTCAACTGTTCATTCTCTTGTGCCTTCCACTCGGCTGATTGGATTCGATCCGGTATCGAGCAGAAATCTGTCTCCATCCATCCACCCAAATATAGTAGCCAGCCGCCAGCCAATTTTCTGATAGGAAAGAGATTGTCCGGTTTGACCTTATATTCAACACTTTGACATACAATGATCGGACATAGTCAAGCAATTCGCGCTTCATCTGAAGTAATGAATCGAGATCAAGAACTGGCTCGTTGACACGCTGCCAAAGTGTTGTCCAGCGGACCTTCGGCGAGCCCAGTACAAGGACACCAGACTTGAAATCTGCGCTTATAATGCGAGGGTGGCCGATTGGGGAGGGAATATGGGAAATGATGGACAGGACAGAGTATTCGCGACGCAGCGCGGCAAAGCTGTCAGGATGGAACTAGAAGAAGGTTAGCAGGGATTAATTAGCATGGGTGATAGACTGAGGTGAGAGTTGGCTAACCTCGCAGACGATCCCCCTTTCGTATTTTGAGCCCAGACTTGCAGATTTCCTGACAGTTCGTCCACCGGTAGAGGTTTGGAGGACCGTCCATTTCCTCGCATTATGGGGATGCCAAGTTGTGGATTCATGAGGCGGACGACCTTGTCGTTTTTCCTCTGGCTGTGGTCGGTTGTGCTGTGGGTCGGCCATGTTTAGCGGCTGGTGGACCTCTGTGGGTGTCTTTTACATCGCAATAGTGACAATGAAGAAGTGTAAGGCGATAGACGAGAGATGGCGGTGAGCGAAGGATATTTGCTTGGAATTGAGGATTGGGTTATGCAGGATGCAGGTACGTCAGTTGGCTCGAGTTAGTTTAGGTAGGTAGGAATGAACACTTCACCATTAATGTCCCGGCGTTGGGACTTACATTAATATTGACCGTAGGATCTCTGACTTAGAGCCGGAGTAGAAATAGGTCGCAAATATAGGCGGGTCACCTTGTTTACCTTGTCTACGATGTCTCTCCTCTGATACCTACATACGTATGTAGTAATGAGCTGGGGCGCAAAGTTGTGTTATCGCATTAATGCTGCAACTAACCACCTCCTCCCATGCTTGGATGAGTGAAGGGGACATACCAGGCCGGATTTAAACCCGCTAGTTATAATCAACAAAGAACATCAGTAACCTTCAAAGCTATCAGAGAAAAACTGTTTCTCGCTCATGATGCGAAGTCTAACAATTGTGGCCACTATTTATTATTTAAGTGGAGGATCTGGACAACAAGTACAGCTAAATTTTTACAACTTACAATATCTCTTCATCAAGTTTCTTCACCCCACACAACCACTATGTCTAGCGCAAATGATGAGAGCCACAAAGCTATCAAGGCCTTCTATAGCACTATGATTAGCACGGGTACCGCCAGGGTTGGCCTAATGGTTGACACTGCCATTTTCGCTAGAAGCAAACGCGAGCGAAATCGCAAAACGGCAATGAAAAGGGAAAATGATCAAGTCAGTGCACTCCCTGTATATACGGATTTTTTTGACTTTGACACACGAGCAGTGGCTGGGCATTCGGGATACAATAGTGCGAGTCGTAATATCGCATACTCTGACAGTTTGCGAATATGCCCTGGGAGTACTACTTTTAGTCTTACCTTGGATAATATAACATGCTTATTGATAAGAAATAAAATAGATGGAATGGCTATATTATTTTATATATATATATATATGCCAGGCCCTCTCCCGCACCTTGCCCCGGCTCTGCGGATTCGTTTAACAGATAATGTAGATTAAGATAAACTAACATTATAACTCTAGGAAGTAGAAGATTAAATAGTGAAATAAGTGTGTTTTGGGGAGAGTAGCTGGGTGCTCGACTATTTAATATATTAGGGGCTAATAAAGTAGTGCTAAGCTTAACAAGCGGCTTCCTAAGGCCAACAAAATGCATGATAGCTACTCCGTACTATATAACTATATAGTTACCGTAAATACATAAATGACGGGACGGGGAAAGTGTAATTCCGACTGACATCTACTACTTCAGCCCTGGAGTGATTCTTGCTTAGATTTAGCCTGCCATCAACATTTCTACCAATCTTGTCTAGTGTGTCTCGGAGCCGGATTTATATTCTTGATCTTCCATTACTCCGCTATCGAATCTCGGTGAATGATAGCTCTACGTCTGGGCAGGTTCCACGGGTGCCCAGGTGCCCATTAGACCATTACTAAATGGCTCATACCATTCCTCCTTTGATTCCAATTTCCAACTTCCAATCTAAACCATCCATTAATATTTTGTCTTTCACTGTCCTCTTTAATGAGATACCCTATTCTAACACGTCCATTTGGACGCCAGTTTCCTTTCCGTCAATCATCCAATCTCTCTTGCTCATTCTTTGCTCCCTTGGGAAAATTTACGCTCTTTCAACTACCCCTATCTCGGTCCTTCACATCCGGGGCCATCAAACTCAAGCTATGCTCGACGCAATGAGTCCCGCAACACGTCTACTTGACGAACACCTTAGGGAAGGGGGTTACCAAAAATGGGGTTGGGTGATCTATCGCTCCACGTATCAAAACGACGAAGACTGGAACTACTTCAAGGGGGTGATTACGGAGGCAATGCGCAAATCCATCGAGTACCATAAGACTCTAGGTCTCGATCACTCTCTGAATCAAAGTCTGAGTTTGACATTCCTTGAGGACCGGCCCAACTTTGAGAATGTATCAAAGGATCAGCTTCGCGCGCACTTTCAGGAGTGGGCTCAGCGTGCGTACTATGCTGAAAACGCGCGACCGTTTGAAGAATTCAACCCCGACCTAGCGACCGCACCTAGATACCGGTACTTTATCCAGATTGACGAAAAGTCTCTGCAAAGCCTTCTTCATGACACCGAAAGTGGTCCTCGGTTGAAGGGTCTACAAAGTAATGGCTATGTGAATTTTGTGGATGGCTGGTGGAATCATTGAGGGAGCAGTATGCAACGAGCCAAGATCCAGACCTTAAAGAAGAGATTGATGAGCAAGTAGCGCACGGTTATCAGTCAATCGAGGGCTGCGTGGAGGAAAAATACCGGCTGGACGATGCTACATAGACTTGATATGAGTGTCGATTTCTACCACTACACAAGTGGGTTTGTAGAGGACGTGTGGCCTCTATTACCAGCGTCCGCCTAGCATTGCTCTCTGGTAAATGTACATACACACAGCTCCATCACCCTCAGTTTTTATCCTCGAATGCATACCGCATGTCCGGGATCTTGCTGATTTCCGGATGAGAGACCGATTTATCAAGAAGCCCCCGCATGGCATTGTACTTGTCGTCATCTGTATCGGATGCCCAGATGAGCGAGCCACCAATACCAGTCTCATTGGCCCAAGCGAGCTTCTGCTGGAAGGTTGTTCCATTGTCGTATGAGACCTACTGGTTGTTGTCGTATACGAAATAGTTCACAGCCGCCTCTTTATCGTGAACAGGCTTCAAACTTTTATCTTGGTCCAACAAAGCCTGAATCTCATAGTACATCAGAATCCCGCTGGTTGATGAGCAACTACCGGGCGCTGCGTCTCCCTTGAAACTGCAGCCAGGAGTCGCGCAAGATGGATCCCCAAGCTTGAATGAGCGCCCATAGAAGCCGAAGCCCACCACCACTTGTTCAGGCTTGATTCCGACTCGCCATAAAAGCTCAGCGGCTTGCTTGATCTCGGTCATATTCGTATGGCCTTGGACAATGCTGCCGATTGCGTTTTTGCGGTCCCTATGAGATTGATCAGCATCGCGCCTAGTCAAGCGTACGAGAGACGCTTACCAGGTACCGTGGAGATCGTAGCTCATCATGTTTGTCCAGTCGGCATACTTCATCATACCGGGCATAATCAAACCACCGGGGTACCAATACGAGGAGGGAATTGTGAAAGACAACCCGAGATCCCTTGTCGACTTGTCAAACGTGGAACGAAGGGTTTTCATCAAAGCAACATAATTCTTGGTGTCTTCAGTCTTTCCCCCTCGATCAGGAGCACCTGGGTACTCCCAGTCGATATCAAGTCTAGAAGATTATCAGGTCAAACTGCTCACAGGTAATTATCTCACGTTAAAAACAGTCACTCACTCAGAATCCGAGTATGGCCCTGGAGACGATTCTCTACCGGAAGAAGAAGAGGAGGAGGAGGAGGAGGAGGAGGAGGAGGAGGAGGAATCTAGTTCAGTTCAGACTCAGACTCTTCCTCAAATGCACCCGGGCGACCCTATTGCAGACTATGCTATGTGGAAAGCGATGTTTCTATTTCTATTGGGGTGAATGAGTATTTGGATCTCGACCTGGAGTCTTAGGGCTACAATTTTGGCTTGATATGGCTGAAAACCCCGACGGGGGACCTAGAATGTATGTGCCGCTTGAATGGTATTATTCGATACGGATTTGCGATCTGGGAAGAGCAGCACGTTATTGACTTGGATCGTGGTCAAAGGGTTCTATATGTATGTCAGAGTATTACCAGAAATGGTATCTTCCTTGGACCCGAGGACATTGCTCGTTATAAGGACAAGATCCGGTACATTGATGTCAATCTCTACCAAATACTCGCACTTTCTCCGCTTCTCACATCCGAACATGAAATTTTCCTCTCAGGATGATGAAAAGCTATTCCCTTTTCAGTCTGCAATTTAATCAAGGGCTGAATTGAACAAAAACAAGAAAGAAAAAAAAAGAAATTCTTGTGCATCATCCGTGAATCGAACACGGGCCTCGTCGATGGCAACGACGAATTCTACCACTAGACCAATGATGCTGGAGGACCAGGCGAATCTGGGAGCTGATTCGTTGGTGATATGTGGAGAGTCCACATTATGAACTATGAGTCAAGAAGGGTACATTCGTAGAACCATGACGATCTCATTGCTACAGATGGAAGTATGAGAAAAACATACCAACGGAAGATGCTTGTGGAGTTTACCTTGTTTGCAAGCTAGAAAAGCGAGACTACGGAGCAAACAAGTAACAATTTGAAATGTATGGCTGGATGTCGAAGTGCATGTGTTGAGAGCAATTGAATTTTTGAGCAAGCTAATTCTGGTGAATTCTATTCATTTTCGGATTCGTTTCAACTTGTAGTCCAACAGGCCTCTGATTGAGCGGAGTTTGACTGAGTGGAGCTTATATTCTATGTACATATACTTATACAGTCGCCACAGATGACATACAAAATGGAAAGACTAGATTTGGGTGCTCTCGACGGATACATCCACCCCCTCTCCCTCCACAGGCTTCGTCTTCCTGGACATCCACTCGTGACGCAAGAGCCCCAGAGCCGTTGGCCGATCTTCAGGATCCCATTGTAGCGCTTTTCGCATCCACTGCAAGAAACCCTCTACATCCTCGCCGTCATTGCCAGCTACCAGGCTCTCGAGGCTTCGCTCTGGTATGGGAGCTTGGCCCGTCCAATTCCCTTGTTCGTCCCAGAACATGGAGCCTAGTCGCGTCTTCTCGCGGAACTCTGGTGAAGGATGTCCCAGTAGAGAAACCAGCTCTGCGATGTGGACCCGGTCATCAAAGGCTCCGTCTGAGTTTCGTCCGTCGATGAGCCCTTGGGATTTGGTGTAATTCCATGCCTGGATAAACTATGTAAGTATCTTTCTTTTGCCTCAAATTAAGTACCCACAGCAATAGCAGCAGCCCAAATGTCTGCCTTGTGATCCGATTTCGATTTCAAGACCTCTTCAGGGGGCCTGCAATGTTTTTCCTCGATACCGGACATATCATCGTCCGGGAAGTCCAGACGGAGGGGAACGCCGTCGCCTGGGAGTATCATTGGGGTGATAAGCTCGTCATTGCTGGGTCCAGCAACTCGTCTGTCGCCGGAATCAACGTTGAGTGTTTTGTTTGGCATTATGCCTACTCTGGGAATCAGTCATCCATCCCTTAAAAATAATGGCGAGGGAAGTTACGGGCAGTCAGATAACAATCGGTGTGAAGGAAATCCACCATGATCAGCATTTGTTTCATCGTAGACCTCACCGAATCGAGATCCAGCTTGTCCCCCGCATGCACCTGTTCTGGGTCTAGCGAGGGTGCCTCGTGAACAACACAAATATGAGGGCCACGAGGACCCTTAATGCCGAAGCGATCGCGAACTTCGTGAAGAGGGCACTTGCTCTCCTGATATAATTTTGGTGGGTGGATCCGTCCATAAGTCTTGAGCATATGGTCCACCACATAGATCTTCAAAACAACCATTCTCGGTTCCCTGTTGTTGACTGAGAACTGGAGCAGTATCGTTCCGGCTCGGATGAGACACTCACATGAAATCAACAGCATACCAAATAGTTGCCGTGGGCCCATAGCCGATTTTCTGCAGAATCTGGTACCTGTCGTTCAGAATTTCTTCGTGCTCAGCGGGATACGTGTATATCTCGTTGGGCTCATATCCCATCGCAAGCTCTTCCTCAGTTTTGACGGATGAATCCAATAAGCCGAGATCAAAGACTGGGAAGACTCTCGGGTTGGACGTCCATTGTGATGAGCATCGACGCGACCAGGCAGTTTTTCGCTCAAAGGGGGAGATCAGTCGGTACGCGGAAATGGGAAGTTGGGCAGAAATCCCCGATCTGTGAATAAGCCTGGAACTGGACCGAATACGGAGAGCACCCGCTCTCCAGTTCATGACGAAGACGCGGTTGTTGGCGAATGCGCGCTTGGCTCCGGAGTGCGGTTGAATTGTGGATGACGGGTCAACCCCTGCATCTTCCCGAGGTCTATTTTTATCTCGACCTTTTTCTTTTCTCACTTTCTCATCATTAGAAGGGCATTAACTTGGTTTTTTTTATGATAAGAGGACTATTTTCACTGTAATCGCACCAAAAAACAGTTGGGAAGCCAATTCTTAGTGTGCAGCCGCTAAGAAATAAGCTTAAACAACATTGGCCATCAAGCTCTCGCCTTCTACCGGGAGACCCCACAACACTTGAAGTCTCGCAGTAACGTGCCCCCATAGACTGAACGCAGGCTCAACCTGTCACGTCAATCCATCAGGGAGTTCTCTCTTCCAATTTGTACCCCACATATGTAGTCTAGGCATCTGGTGAACAGGAAGTTGGAATGTATTTGGGTGACTACCATATGTACGTATGTAGGTAACTGTACAATGAAACCTTGGAAGAGGATGTGATTAAACTCCCCCCCATGTATTCCGTGGGACCTGTCAAGTGGCTATGGAACCCAAAGGCTCAGCCACGACTTTGTCAAAGAACTTTCACGAGAAAGACTGGTTTGTTTTTGGTGTAGACCTATATGGAACTCAACAACCTTGGTAATGTTGACGTCTTTATGTATAGGTGATGCACGGCCCTTCGCCTACACGATCTCATGGGCTACAGAGAGACCGTGGTCGAGAGGGCTGGAGAGAGGAAGAAGGAAGAAGAAGAGAAAAGGAAGAAGAGTTGGGCCCTTTTATACCCCAAACAACACGTATCTTCCTCGAATGACCTCGGGAGTGTGTACTTTCCTAATCTGTCTCGTGACTCAATCGCACCTGCCTTAAACAAAACAGCCCTCTGTTGTTCTTTCCAGACTTACTTCCCTAGCCTTCTCTATATTGCATACTAGCAAAACTAGGGTTGTTGACATGGCGGGAATGCTGCAGTATTGAACGGACTAGAAATGGCCGGGTATACCTAGGTACATTACATATGTAACAGCTGAGATACTCCATGCTTGAACCACGGGACTCTTGAGCCACGATATATCCTTCATCTGTTTAGAATGGTATATAAGTTCACACGATGTATGTCGATCTATACCCTAATACCTCAACGCCAAGACCTCCACGAAACGGGCTTAATAAGATAATTAATTGCCCCCTGAAACACGACTCGTGCGGGACCCGCTGTGGGCTGGACTCAGGAGACTCGGAGCTATTATTTTCTCCCCTTGTCAACTCTCCTCTGTTATTGTTCTTACTGTTCTTACTGTTCTTTGTGTTTTGTTTCTCTTATGACTTTTTGAAATATCCTGATCTCTCCTACTGGCTGGTCCACAATGGAGAGTCTTCCGGGAGCGGAGAATCTCCTCCATGGTCCATTTCCGGATAACCAGAATTCAGCTGTGCCACAGCCGGACTCTGGTTCCGAGCAGTTCACCCATACTCTCTCACGCTCATCGTCACTTGCTCAGAAGAGAATATCTTCACTACCCCGTGCGCAGACGTCCCGCCATGCTAAACGCCTGACTTTGAACTTCCCCATCAATCTGAACGAACCTGAGACACCCGATTCCAACGTCACCTCACCCGGCTCCATAACACCAGCCACACAGCCCTCAACTCGTCCCTCCCCCGCTCAGCCTCCGGGAACACCTATGGCATTTGATGTCCCGGATGATGGCTATGACTTCCTGCGGGCCATTGCCTCGCAGGAGCGGAAGGTCATGGAGCTTCGCGAGGAACTTACTCGCGCCGAAGCAGACCTAGCGACAATTAAGAAGCAATGGGCACTGTCTGAGAAGTCGAGGAAGCGCGCGGAGATCAACCACGCGGAACCACTAATGCCCCTGCGGTCGCCTGATTTCCCAACACCCGAGGTTCCGAGCTCACATGGCCGGGAACAGAGCATGAGCTCTGTTACGAGCACAGTGTCACAGGAACGGATGAGCCGGGATCTAGACCGTCGGTCTAGCATGCGTGCTGCCCCGCCCCAGGGACTAAGATTGGGAGCAATGGTCGGCGAGTGTTTCACGGCACACATACACGGACTTTGTCTCTTTTGTCGCCAGTCTCAGGTCCCAGCATTTCTTCCCGCGGAGAACCAGGTCTCTCAGATGCTGAACGTGTGGGTCGCACCCCACGCTCTGCGACACTACCATCTGTCGACCGCAGTAATGCAGCTTTGATGAGTGCACAGTTAGACGAGAGCCAGGTACCGGAACATCTACTGGCACAGTGGCAAAAGACGCTTCCTCCTCCTTCCCGGGAGGCCTTGGTGCGCACCGGCAAGCAAATGGCATCCGATCTGCGCGAAGGTCTGTGGACATTTTTGGAAGATATCCGACAAGCGACTGTGGGCGAGGAAGGAATCAACGGCACGCAAACGCGAAACACATCATCCACCTCATTGGCACCGCCAAATGGTCGCAAGCGGGATTCTTTGGCGAAATCCCGGAGTCGAGAACGGTTGCTAGCGGACGGCAAGCTATCACGGTCATCGTCGTCATCGTCTTCGCGGGGGAGGGGGCCAGCGGCCGAGACAAAAACTGGTAAAGACACCAAGCCGGCGGAAATTTCCACATCTTTCTGGAACGAATTCGGCATTGATACACCCGCTCAGAAGTCTCCGAACGCTCCGCGCACCCCCTCCGGCAACAAAGCCGCCAACCGAAACGAGGCGACCGAAACCGAACAGCGCGACCACCCCTCCAGTAATTCTATCGATGCGCAGAATGAAGACCTCGACGACTGGGACAATTGGGACACGCCCATATCAGCGCAGAAGATGCACACGCCCTCATCCAGCCGATCAACAGTCGCATCCAAACATGATCAATCGCCCACTACACAGGGTAGTAGCCCTCGAACCAGCGCTAGGTACCGTTCGACCTTTTCTGATTTCATCTATGACAACCTCGTTATGCGCTGACCACCGCTCCTAGCTTTGGCGATTTGAACCCGGCTTCCTCTGCGCTTGAACCTAGTGCCTCTGAAGGCATTCCCTGGCCTGCAATTACCAAGCTGGCTCCCTCGAAACTTCAACGTACTGCATCCAATCTGATGGCAGAATGGGAGCGCTCGCTGTCGCCTTCTCCAGAGCGAACTGCCTCTCCTTCGCTTAGTCGCAAGGACAGCAAGAAGGACTAATACGGTTCTTGCTTTCCTTCCATGTATATACTTGCTACCTCTTCTTCGGCCCTACAGAATTATGTAGGGCTACGACCTTCGAATTATACCATACGAGAGCGTTGCTTCTTCTCTTGTCGATGCATTTTCTTTCCTTACTACCTTTGAAGTACTTATGCAGGCTTCGATTTGCTTTCAGGATTTGTTGAAATACCAGTTGATTTGGTCACAAACGTTATTTTGGGTTCTTTAGCTTTATGAATACAACGAGTGTCCATTCTGTCTTTTTATTTGATCTGTATTTTATCTTGAACATTCAGCGTAAATCACAGCTCTTCTACGGTTGGTTGTTTCCATGCGTTATACCGATAACTATACATACCGATAACGGCACGATGATTTTGCGGAGCCGGGATATCACGTGTGGAATTGCGCTTCAGGATTTTCTGGTTAACCGTAAAATAAATTTGCGGTTCAGTTAGTCGCCTCCGCAAGATCTCCGCGTTCTCGATTTTACTTGCTCACGCGATTTCTTTTCTCGCCGAGGTCCAGTGGATTGATCATTCAGGCCAGCTTGGATCAAATCCAGCGAGTACGATATACGACCATATTCAATCCAAACCTTACCCACGCCAACTATCAACATGGCGTTTCCAGGCACAACAGGCACCGCAATCCCGATGACCTCCCTGGGAGGTAATCCGGACACCCAGGGAATGAACGAGCAAGAGCAGGCTATGGTCAAGATGGTTCGTCGTCGATTATGACATGGATTCCGTCCAATTCTAATCAAGAATGTATAGATGCAACGTGGTATGGAGTCTTGCCCTATCAAGACAGTCATTTCGGGTACCATGGGTTTCGGTCTTGGTGGTGCTTTCGGTCTCTTTATGGCCAGTGTAAGTTGGCAATTGAATCATTGATGTGCAAGTCCTGTATCTAACATTTCCGCGCTCTAGATGTCCTACGACTCGACCTTCACACCCCAGGGCCGCGCCATCGCCGACCTCCCCTGGCGCGAACAAGTCCGCCGCGGTTTCAAGGATATGGGCGCTCGCTCTTGGTCCTCTGCCAAAAACTTCGGTATTGTCGGTGCGCTTTACTCCGGTACCGAATGCTGCATCGAAGGCCTCCGCGCAAAGAACGATCTTACCAACAGCGTTGCCGCTGGTTGTGTCACTGGTGGTATTCTCGGCGCAAAGGCGGGCCCCCAGGCTGCTGCCTTCGGTTGCGCTGGTTTCGCGGCTTTCAGTGCGGCTATCGATGCCTACATGAGAATGCCCGGTGAAGAGTAAATGTTCCATTCGGATCCGACTTGAAAGCGCGACCTTGTTCCGTCATTTGGCTCTTTCTTTGCCAGGCGGGCTGCACTGCGCTTTTCAACCTGTACATTTCTACGGCATCTGGCGTTCTGGAATAGAACGGAAGCATTGCGGGCGTTTCGGTTGTTCTTGTCTATTTTGCTGAGCATGGTTCTTCTGCCCTGTCTCCCTCGTGTTGCATGTCTTGTTTGACGCCTGCATTGCATGGCCTCGGCATGGTGGTTTACTCCATATTAGATCTTTCTGGGTCTGACTCTTTACTCTTTTGTACAATACCAAGCGTGGATATATATACACTGGCCTTTCGAGACTCACCTCTCACAATTGATACCAAATTATTACATATACGGTCATCTTATTGAATAATTTTGAACATCTTCCATCAAACCCGCACCCTGTCCTCGAGCAGACCGTATACTATGTCCGTCCCAAATGCGAACTTGAACAGTGTCAGATCCCAATCACTATAGGCACGTCCCAATTTACTCATTCGGAGTTCCGATGCCCACTCGAGAATACAGTTTATTCAATTTATATAGTCCTCTAAGGCAACACAATGTACTTCTGCAGGTGCTTGGGAATGGAACCAAGCAGGTTCTTGCTCTCGAGCCATTTGCTAGAGAACAAGCGATCCGCATACCGATAAGCGCCGTCACAGAGAATGGTCACAACAGTGTTACCCTTGCCCAACTTCTCGGCAACCTCCTTGGCGGCCACGACGTTCATCGCGGAACTGGCACCAAGGTACAGACCCTCCTCATCCAGACAGCGGTAAACCATCTCGATAGTCTTCTCGTCACTGATGTTCACAGAGCCATCTAGCACGTCGATATCGGGCTGGAGGTTATCTGTCACACGGCCCTGGCCGATACCCTCAGTGATACTGCTGCCAGAGCGATCGATCAGTGTGCCACCACTTTGGATGTAGCTGTGGAGAACACTGCCCGGAGGATCGGCGAGGAAGCTCTTTACACGTCCATCACTGACAGTCTTCAGATACCGCGTAGTACCAGCCAGGGTACCTCCGGTTCCGGTAGCGCAGGTAAAGGCGTCAATCTTGCCCTGGGTCTGTGCCCAGATCTCGGGCCCGGTAGTTTCGATGTGTGCTTGGCGGTTGGCAACGTTGTCGAACTGGTTGGTCCAGACTGCGTTGTCTAGTGACTCGGCGTGCCGGCGCGCCTGGTGGTTGTAGTTCTGGGGGTTGTCGAAGGCCACTGCGGGGACCGGGTATACTTCCGCTCCCAACAGACGGAGCAAGTCGATCTTGCCCTGGGACTGGGTGTTGGGCATATAGATCACGAGCTTGTATCCCTTTGACCGACACACATGCGCCAGTCCAATACCAGTGTTTCCAGCCGTTCCTTCAACCACGGTGCCACCGGGCTTCAGGAGTCCCTTCTCCTCGGCGTTTTTGACCACGAAGAGCGCTGCTCGGTCTTTCACGCTACCTCCCGGGTTTTGGAACTCTGCCTTTCCGAGAACATTGCAACCGGTTTGCTCGGAGAGCTTCTTCAATCGGATAAGTGGGGTGTTGCCAATCGCTGCAGTATCAAAGTCAGCTTAAACTTGTATGCAAGGGCGCCCTCCAAGCTAGACATACCCTCGGTCAGTCCATTGACAACGCCCTGGGCTGTTGACACCCGGGTGCAGTAGGCAGTGGACCCCTCGGCAGCACGAGCCGCCGTAGTGGCGAACCGCCGGACACTTTGACGAAACATCCTGACTTGACTTGCAACGCAGGAACAAATGCTCCCATCGACCTTCGGGGAAATGACGAGCTCGCGGACCTCCGATGATCGGCATTAGTCAGATCACGTGCGCCGACTACCCTTATCGGCTATCGGCCTCCCGTTTTGGGCTGTTTGTTTACCGCCAAGGCCTCCACTCCTTTGATCGGTCCCGCAGTCTGCGATGCTTTTCGCCTTCGAATAATCAACGCTTAGCAACAACACAACAATGCCTGGCAGAGTCGCCGCCCGTTCGACGTCTGCAACGACACGCAGGTCGTCAGCACAGCCCTCTGCGTCTGGGCGTGCTGGCTCCGTTACTCCATCATTTGCGATACCCGAAGAACCAACAGAGCCAGCATCTGCCCCCACTTTGCGTCGCGATGTGTGCTTGCTCTTTGCGGATGCTCAGCGCTCGACTACCGGTCACCGAAAGCTCGTTGTGCGCCTGCGCAAGCTCCAAGAGTTTTGCTGTGGTATCTCACAAAAGAGGAATAACAAAGGAAACGATCAAGAGCCTGAGGAGGCATTGATTCCTGGTGAGGAAACGGAGGCCGAGAAGGGATTTAACGTGGAAGTTGGCCGCTGCATGCTTCGGATTCTCACAATCAAGAAGAGCGAGCCTGCTGGAGACCGAATTTTGCGCTTCTTGGGTACTTTCCTCAGTCATGCTGCGGAGAAGGATAATGAGATTTTCGCGTCGGGTGAAGACGAGGACCACAGTCCCGAGACGCCAACCGCCCGCCTCACATCTAGTCTCGTCGCGCTTATTGGACCCATCATGGGAGCCAAGGATAAGGTGGTACGCTTCCGCGCAACACAAATTACCGCCCACATTGTGAACTCGCTGGAATCGATCGACGACGAGCTATACCTTGCGATAAGACAGAACCTTTTGAGGCGTCTCCGTGATAAAGAGGCCTCTGTTCGGGTACAGGCAGTTCTGGGGCTGGGACGTCTGGCGGGAGACGATGGAGAGGAGGATGGCAACGACGACAACTCTGCCCTTCTTGAGAAGCTGATCGAAATCATGCAAAACGATACAAGCGCTGACGTTCGCAAAACGCTTCTGACAAACCTCCCTCTCGCCCCAATGACGCTTCCTTATCTTCTTGAGCGTGCCCGTGATCTGGATGCCGCTACCAGGCGCGCATTGTACTCACGCCTTCTGCCTACCTTGGGCGACTTCCGCCATCTGTCTCTATCAATGAGAGAAAAGCTCCTCCGATGGGGTCTACGTGATCGTGATGAAAGTGTTCGCAAGGCTACGGCCAAATTGTTCTACGACAGATGGGTCGAAGATTGCGCTGGCACCAACAATGACCCGAATCAGGGCCCGACGGGCCAGCGCTCTGCACCCGACATCAATGCGTTACTTGAGCTTTTGGAGAGAATTGACGTTGTTAACTCTGGAATGGAAAGCGGAATTGCACATGAGGCAATGCGTGGGTTCTGGGAAGGCCGTGCCGATTACCGTGAAGCTGTTGTCTTTGACGAGCCTTTCTGGGAAAGTTTAACCGGTGAATCCGCGTTCTTGCTCCGGTCCTTCAACGACTTCTGCCGCGTGGAGAACGAAGGCAAGTACGACAGCCTAGCAGATGACAAGATGCCAGAGGTCACCGCGATGGCCCATTTCCTAGGCAAATACATCACCAATCTCTTGGAGCGGAAGAAAATTTCCAAGGAGTCTGGTGAGGCGAACGATGATGACGCAGTCGAGCACGAATTTGTTGTCGAACAATTGCTCCACATCGCCATCACTCTAGATTACAGCGATGAGGTCGGTCGACGAAAGATGTTCTCGCTCCTGCGAGAGACTTTGGCCGTGCCAGAACTGCCGGAAGAGAGCACGAAACTCGTTGTTGAAACACTCCGCTGTGTCTGTGGGCCTGATGCTGCTGCAGAGGCCGAATTCTGCAGTGTTGTTCTAGAAGCCATTGCCGAAGTTCACGACACCATCACTACCGAGGAT